TTCTCTTTAACTTACTCTCGCATCATACTACGTAGTTCAGCGATTTAGTCTACCAGACTCTCATTAGCTAAATCTCTTTATTATAAGCGAGACCTAGGTCTAGCTATAGAAGCTTCTTCTACCTCTAATTAGTCTACATTACTAGCGCTAGGTATTTACACTCTAGCAGGGGTACCTTAAACTAAAGAGAATAACTCAGCTTCGTTATCAACTCTTAATTAGTTCAATTCATCTTAATTTTCCGTAGAAGTTGTATTTCTACTCAGAGAGCTATTATTACAGCTACCCCGAGTATCGTATCAAGAGCTCATAGTTCGTACTATCAATTAGCCGCTAAAATCGCGGAAATCAGTTAACGTTTAACCGAGATATCATTAAGTAATAATAAAGGGTTTTTAAAGGGTAAGTCAATTATAAAAATAACCCCTTCAGTATATAAGCCTAATAAAAGCTCTTTTCACTATCATAATATAGAATAGTAACCGTTACGTTATGTACTAGTGTATCTTGTCCTATTATAGAATAATAACCGTTGTAATAAGTACTAAAATAACTCTTTTTAGCGTTTTACACTTATAAGTTAAATATATATTTAAACTCAAGGATTTAATTAGTTCTTTCAGGGAGCCGCGTGTATTAAAGAATAAGGGCTATAAAAACAGTCTTTTCTACTACTACTAGGAGCACGCTAATAGGCTCGCTTAGCTCTCTGAAGTAGCTCTTATTCGCTGTCGTAATGTAATAACGTTTCTAAAAGGGATATTAGCTCTTGTAATAGCTAATAGCGAATAAGACGCTAGTCCGAGTTGGGAGTGTTCTTGACGACTAGCACGACACTTAATGGTCGGATTATATAGCCAAGTCCCGTGACCTAGTTAGATATTCAGAGTTAATATAAGAGTATTAGGCAATAATAAGCACTTATCTGCTTTTAGCTAGCTTCGCAATTCTAACTAATAGTAAAGCTAGGCGATTCTAGCTTTCAAATAACGCTAAGCTAAGCGTAGTCTTATAACTTCGTATAAGTTATCTATTATTATATAACCGAGTAAGTAGCGCTAGTAAGGTAGCGACGATAAGGGTTGAAAAATAAAGGCTCGCTTAGGGTGATAAGTATAAGTCGTCGGGATATTATTACGCTGTTACCGGCAGTGTGATTTAAGCTTAATATAATATAATAGCATAGTTTAGCGTTAGCTAGCACGTGAGCGAAATAACTACGGATCAGGTGATAACCTCTCTATTAGCGTGAATATTAAGCTGAGGAGCCCTTGATTCCGTGGAGGGCGCTCGAGCCTATATAGATAAATTCCCCGGGCTATTCCTGATTAGGCCTAATTACACTTAACATAAAACTTGATGTAAACTCCTATAGTAGCGTAGAGCTATTTCCCTTTGCGTATAACTAAGTGGGTAACTGTCGGTAAACCCCTTCAGAGTTAACTGAGCTCTACCGAGTCTTACCGAGCTTTGCCGAGCTCTAGACTCTTCCTAATCGGGTATAGTAAAGAAGTAGTTACCACTACTTTTACAAGAGTTAGATTAAGTACTAAAGTATTATTACTACCTTCCTCTTCCTTAGAGAGTCGATTAATTAGTATAAAGCTACTACTTAAACTAGAATTACTAAGACTATTAGTTAAACCTTCTTTTAAACCGCTTTTAAGAGTTCTATAAGTACTTATCCTCTTATAATACTTCAATAGACTCGGATTATTTAATAGAGCTTTCCGCGTCTTATTAATAGTCTTTAGATACTATAGAGCTATAAGAATCTCTTATAATATAAGTTATTAGATTATATCTTATAAAAAGAAGTAGAAAGAATTAGTTAAGAAAAGGGAAATACTTATAGTTATTACAAACGCACTCAGAAGGAGTATCACGTGTGTCTTAGCCCTGAGGCTCGGTAGTATTACTACATAGAGAAGCTAAGAACTAGGAACGAAATCACGGGACTATATATCACGTGATAGTATAGAGCTTTTAGAACCATAGGATCCAAGGTTCCTAGAGCCTAGGATTATAGGACCTATAGGGATCTAAGGCTAACGAAGGTTCTATATAAGACTAGCACGTCTGCTATTAGATAGGAGCTTTATACTTAACTTCAAATAGTATTCTAATACTTAGTAACTATCTTCCTATCTATGTGATATACCTACTTCTCGATTATCAGAGATTAACTACAACCTTCTGTATTTACAGCGAGTAAATACCGGACCGTTATAATAGTATTCTATTCTACGATTTTAGCTATCTCCTTATATAAGGTATATATCTTCGCTAATATAACTAATATAACTAATAATACGTCCTTTAGTGTAAGAGCTTTAGTAATAGTTATAATATTTTAAAGGGTAGTAATAGCTTCCTTAATAATAACTTAGTCTCTATTAGTAAGGGCGTTAGTAAAAGTATAATATTTATTAGCTATATAAACTAGGATCTACTTTTATTAGTATTTAAGAGTTATAATTAAAGGGGTTATAAATAGGATTCGGAAAAGAGATACTTATAAGTTTATATTTATTCTTATTCTTAATATAATACTAGTACTTTAAGCTACTAGAACTCTCGAATTTATATAATCTTATAATAGTCCGGTATTTACTTATTATAAATACAGAAGGCTATAGTTAATCTCTAATAATTAAGAAGTAAGTATATTATATAAATAGGGAGATAATTACTAAGTATCAGAATACTATTTAAAATTAAGTATAAAGCTCCTATCTAATAGTAGATATACTAGTTTTATATAGAACTTTTATTCCCTTAGATTCTTTAAATACTAGATCTATAGATCCTTAGATCCCTTCTTTTACTATAAGATTTAAGGATCTAGGGATTTACTATATAATATTAAGTCGCTAAGACTAGCGCTTTTAACTATAGTACTTAGATTATATAATATATATAACTACTATAGTACTATAAAATCCTAGACGAGGAGTTCTCCTAGGAGTCCTTACCTCTTAGAAGACTTCTTCTAGGAGCAGGTGTCTCCCTAAGCTTATAGTCTCCTAGCCCCTCCTACCTAGGAGCCCTTAGGCACCTAGGGGAATCCCCCTAGGAGCGCTAGGCTCCTAGGCGGTCCGTGACAAGTCTCTTATTAACTTTCTTCTAATAATTAATATATCTATAGTACTATATATAGAATATTACTAAGAGAGTATTAAGAGAGCAGGGAATTAGTACTAATTTATATTAGTAAAAAGCTTTATTACTATATTATATCTTAAAATAAGATATATTTACTCTTAAATTACTTAATTTATTTAATATCTTTTAAAGAAATCTTATAATTAGTAAGAATCTTTAAGGTAAATAGTATTAATTTTGAACTTATAGTTATTATTATTATTATTTAATAAAGAAAAGAGAAAGTTTCTTAGAGGAAAGTTATCTTTATATAAATAAGTATATTAGATTTAAGCTTAATTTAAATATAATATAATATTATTTATTATTATTACTTAGCTATTACTATTATCTTCTACTTTTATATTATTAACTACTACTAGATAGAATATTAGCCTTTCGATTTCTTAGAACCTTATATTAACTTAATAATAATATTATTTAATTCTTTATAAGTTTATATATATTCTTTATATTCTAAGATATTATTTAATAGTAGATTACGATTTATTTATATCCTCGCTTAATAAGAGGAGTACTTTTAGATAATAACTAAAGATATTCTAACTATTAATATATATAAGTTAGATATTTATTACTTTATTATATCTTTAATTCCTTTTATTATATCTATATTCTCTATTTTATTCCTTTTATAGTTATTAGAAACCTTTTATTTCTAAAAGAAGTTTTACTAGTATTAGTTCGTAGACCTATATTATAAAAGTATAGAGAGTAATTAAAGGGGATAAATAATCTAAGTTAAAAGAAGGACTACTTTCGGATATAAATTAAGAGTTATTTAGGAAGTAGTATATATTCTAACCTTTAGATACTCTTTATAATACATACTTTTAAATACCTTTAAACTAAACCTTAGATTTTAATATATATTAATATACACTTGTTATTTGTTTACTAGTACGATACTAATAATATACTAAAGTTCGAGAGGTCCTAGAATTAGCTATAATCTCCTTAATTTTCTTAACTTTAGAATCTCAGTTAAACGCGTTGAAAAAACGCTATTTCGCAGGCGTATCGTATCCTTTAAGGTTTTTTTTTCTATACTAGAGGATATCTTTTAGTTACGCTCCGTAATTTCCGTACTATCGTGGTGATTTTAAAATTTAGTGTTGTTGACGTGTTATTTTCAAAAGGGGAAGATTAGCGTCCCACGAATTCCTGCACCCCCTGGTAAACCACCAGCCACGAGCAACTACAGTTGGAAACCTGTATTTGCCGTCAATATCTGCCGAACTCCAATGGCTCCTGCAGTCGTCTACGGAGGTACAGCTGGTATCTTTTACCCCCAGTCCAACAGGGGTCCCCGGAACGCTCAACTTCAACACAGTAGAACTCCCTCAAAAACAACTCGAATTCAATTAAAAAAGTACCTCTATACTCCCCAAGTAGGGGCGAACACAACGGTATAACTTTTGTCAACTTTTTGTGTTGTTGTTGCTGCCGTTGCAAGGGATTGAGAGGATGCCAAGAAAAACAGGGGGTAAAAGATACCAGCTGTACCTCCGTATGCACTCCATTTCAGCCGTCGACGGGGATTTCGGGGAGGAGTTCTTTGGGCGGGTTAGCGTCTCCCAGTCAGTGGCTGGTGCTTGTCGCCGCTAAAGCTTCAGGGCATCGCTTTCTGAAAGGAATTCCCCCACCCCGCCCCGCCATGCTGTGCTCTGCTGTGCTGTACTCCAGCGGGCAAATGATTCCGAGCCAGTCCTGGACGACACCTCATCAATTGCTGACCAACAAACAACACCAAGGTGTTCTTGATAGACTTCTTCAAGCAAAATTCTTCCTGTCTCTTCAATCCAGTATTTCGGTTAGAACCAAGGCAAGCGACGATGTCGTTCATCTCAGCTGTATTATCGTGGTACACACTGGCGGGCCTTGCTGCCCTCCCAGTTCTGATACTGTTCAATGACCTATGGACGTGGTATCGCATGCCACCAGGACCTACACCAGTTCCATTCATAGGAAACAAGCTGCCGACCTCAAAGCCATGGATCCAATTCCAAGAATGGTCTAAGAAATATGGACCAATTTTCACTATCTGGGTCGGCAGACGTCCAACCATCGTGGTCTCTGATCCTCAAGTGGCTGTTGACTTGATGGAAAAGCGAAGTACAAAGTACTCATCCAGGCCAAGATTTGTTGTCATGGGAGAGATGTACGGAAGCGGTTCTGTTCTAATGCAGCCTTACGGCAAAGAATGGTCAATTCGGAGAAAGCTACTTCACCGAGCTCTCACACCAGCTGCTCTTCGAACGTATAGAGCAAGACAAGAAGCCGAGTCCACACGTTTGGTCTACCAAGTCATGCAGAGCCCAGACAACTGGGAGCGAGCATTCGATAGGTTCACGTCTAGCGTTGTCTTTTCAATTTCGTATGGAAGACGTATCGACTCTGTGGACTCCAAGACCATCCGTCAACGGCTGGACTTCATGCAGTTCATGGCTTCTCTGAACGTTCCTGGGGCTTATAAAGCCGAGTCATTTCCATTCCTGAAACACGTTCCATCCATTTTGGCTCCTTGGAAAAAAGAAATCGAAGATCATGCAAAGATGGAAGCGGACGCCAACATGTCGCTTCTTGACGATGTCAGAAGAGATCTGAGGATCGGCGAAGAGAAGGGCCATGAGGTTACTCCTTCACTCGCTTCAACACTCCTTGCTGTTCGGGAAAAAGAGGCAATTCCCTTACCAGACAAAGATTTTTCATTCGTACCTGCCTCCCTTTTCGGTGCTGGAAGCGACACCACTGCATCTACGATGTGTTCCGGAATTCTCATGCTAGTCACAAACCAAAATATTGTTAAAATGGCGCAAGAAGAACTGGATTCAATCGTTGGCACTGACCGGCTCCCAACTTTCGATGACGAGGCCAACCTGCCATATATTCGAGCTCTTGTAAAAGAGATTCTCAGAATTCGTCCCGTCGCAGTTCTCGGAGGAACTCCTCATGCCTCAACTGAAGACGATGTCTACGAGGGATACCACATTCCCACGGGAACAACAATTCTGGGTAACTCGTGGGCCATCAACTTGAATGATGACTATTATCCCAACCCTCATCACTTCAATCCGGCCCGCTTCCTTGATCAGAAAGACCCACGTTATGTTCCCGAGTTGAAGGGAACGAAGACTCACCCTGCAAAAGCGGGACATTCCAGCTTTGGTTGGGGTCGACGGATATGTCCTGGCGCAGATCTAGCAGCGAACTCGCTGTTTATTGCTGTTTCGAAACTTGTTTGGGCGTTTGATATTCTACCCACGAGGCAGTACGATACTTTTGATTACACTGATGGATTTAACATCCGCCCAAAGCCATTCCAGTGTTTGATTAGAGTTAGGAGTGCGGAGCATCAGCGTGTTCTGGAGAAAGAAAAGTCCATGGCTGATAAAGAGATGGAGAAGTTCCCTGCATATGACTAAAGCTTAGACGGTCCTATTTGTAATAATCTTTGTGATCTGGGAGTTACATAGATTCCGCTTCCTTGACAAAAATTACAAACATGTGCATCACTGTGATAGCACAAATTATGCTTAAAATATGAAAATGGACTACTCTGTCAGCTGTGCAGTACCAAGCCAATGAGCCAGTTGGGTGGAATTAGCTGAACACACCTCTTTTCTGCGGCTTACTTCTCAACGTGTATATCAGTTCTAGGCTAGACCTAAAATGTTGTGAGGACAACTACGATCGAACCAGCAATGAGACATTTCATGATATTACAGGTGCTTCAACAAACAACTTTTCGAAGACGCCGTTGTGGGACCGATATCAGTATAATCAGGCTAAGGACGTTCACAGCTTGTTGACGATGCCACAATGTCGGAGCCATCGCACAGCAACAACGAGACAGCGGTCATGCACGCAATAATCTTCCTTTTTTAGCCTTTCCCGGCACTTATGATGATAGAAAGCGTTAGATTTCTCTCTAAGACCTACCTAGTCATCGATAGTCTCACAATTCTAGGATTCAGAGTATGCGACAAAGACCGGGACATGGCGCCGCGCCCACATTTGCTGCTGACATCGACATATGAAGAAACGCTCGAATGGTACCAAAAGCACACAAGGTCGACAGACAGCATCGAGCAGATATTTTTCATGTCACATTCAATCTCTAATTTGCAGTTTTTCTACTGGCAGAGACTTTGAGCAGGCACCTGCCGGCGCCACATCATCGGCGCCAGGCCAACCTCACCGTCGCTTTGCTTTCCAATCCACCAACTACGAACTGGCACCTACAAGGTGTATCCAAATAAGCGATTGGGCGCTCAATTGGATATACTCTACTTCAGCCGTGACATCAGTTCCAGGAGACATGTCCAGTCCTATCAGCGCGTTACGTGAGGGTGAAGGAGGGGGGAAAGAGGGCCACATGGTATTTGCTGCACGCCTCATCTGGAAGTATTAACTTATCAATACTTTGAGTCCAGCTCCATATTGGGCTGGCGGGCAAGGTCGCGACTCTAAAAGAAATGTATGGCCTGTAAGGTTCCATTCACTCGAGCCCCTTTAGGATGGTACAATTTTGCTTTGCAGGCAAAGTTCTTTTCTTGTTCTTGTTATCTGATTGCCTTTGTTTTGCCCACTCTCGCGACATCAACATCGAGAATGTCGTAAGCCGGATCCCAGACAGGGGTCCCAGTAACATGAATTCAGGACGAAGATGTTCATTCTTGCAGTATGATGTTGTAATCTTTCGCCCCACAATATATTCTGATCGAGCATCCGCACCTTTTAATCGAAAACGAGAGTAGTGCTCCACTCTGCTCTTGTCCTGTCGCATCCATCATCTTCTCAAACAGACACATCTCACCCCGCATCATAGTTAGCTAACCATATTAAAGGTTCATTTCTGTTCTTGATTATTGGATGAAAATTGTTCATCGTTGCTATACTATGTTGGACGGAATCTTGCGTATGAACATGATTCTAACGGCATCAAAGTGAAAATTAGAGTTAGGCCTATAATATAGCAATGAAAACGACAAATATTTCAGCTGAGATTATGTATTGTGCTTGTCAATCGTGTCTACCATCACCACTCAATTTCTTTCGATGATATAAGCTCAGATGGGACTTCAAGTCGAAAGAAAACAAACATTAAGCGAGCTGCTTCATAGACCAGGATATGTAGCTCCGGCACCACCCGCCAAATCCGAAGTCATTTACTAGGAGGAAGAACAAGTTCATCAATACTCACAAGTGTTTTCTTTTGGCTGCAGATATTACATGAAGCGAAATCGAGTTCGGTCAACTTTGGGACAAGTCTCAGATCAGAAGCAGTTGACTCCAAAAACAGGAACCAGCGACACTTCTGACTTAAGGACCACTGCTCATAATCCAGTTCCCCTACAAGTGAAGTGCCACGTTAACAATGCACGGCAAATTGTAGAAAGGATGGACGCAGTTGAAAGATTCGAGTCTCCAGAGTTAATTCGCATAGATACCATCGCGATTTTGAAAGCGCTTGGCCGCGAAAGGAAATTCTGCTATGGCAGAGAAAAAATGTCTAGCATCAGATATGTACTCATAAAGATCATTATGTCTGTATACAGGAAGAAAACACGCCCGGATTACCAAAGAGTACTGTACAGAATCCCAAATATTCCCAATTGTCACCGTTGACCCTTAAAACTCCCTGCTAACCATCAGTTGGGTCATTAATCACCGCTTTATCGAGCAACTCTAAGAGGACAAGTATTGGACCCTGCTGACCTATACAAAGAGTAGATCTTGCTAATCACCGTTCCACAACACTGATCGTATCAAATGTGCAACCAACGTTCCTCGCAAGGTGTCATGAAGCACTCCAGAGAAGAGAAATGGCGGAAATCTGCCAAATGCCTAGCCCTCAGATTAGACACTCAAGAGATTTTACCAACCCTTTTCTTTGCTACTTGGATTTTTCTACCCACACGATCCACATCCTCATCAACTCTCTTCAGCATCTCGTTCTGTAGCTCCAGCTCGCCATGTATTGCCAGTCCCATCTCCTTCTGCCTCCGCACGATCTTAGCCAATTCCTCAACATCTAGATCTTGGTCCTGCATCATCTGCTTCTGCAACTGTACAACGCCTTCATTATCCAACTCGCGCGTCTTGTCCGTCTCTGGTACGGGCGCTCCGAGGACTCGACCGGAGGGTCGATTTACATTTGGTCCGAATAGGGCATTCTTATCCTGTTGTGTAGCAGCCGCGCTTCCGTTACCGCTGCCCTTATGCTGACCCTTCACCGCAAGACTCACAGCCAGCTTCTCCAAGCCTTCCCTTTCGACTCTCGCACTACCCAGTAAGTCTCTGCGTCTCCTCAACTCTCCCGCTCCGACCTTCCCCTCGGTGCCTCTCTTTTCTCCCTCACTCATGATCTTCAAACCCTCCTCCAGATTAGCCATTAAGCCTCCAGCCTTAACAAGGCACCTCTTCGCATTTGCCCCAGCCTCATGTTGCGCTTGCGGGGTCGTAGCTCCATCCCTCCTCCCTAGAAACAATCTCGCATCATGCAGCTGCCCCTTCATCTCCCTATGCAAATCCAGCCACACTCCCGGATCCGAAGCAACATGTCCAGCACCCAGTACACCCAACCGCTGATTCGCCTGCACCAGTTCGTTCTTCGCACTACTTCCACTCCCACTGCTCGAAGGCAAGTTCAAAAAACTCCTCCACACGCTCGTCTCCCTCCAGCGCTTATCTGGACTCTCGGCTACGGCTCGCAGATAGGCTTCGAGTCCCACACGCCGAGTTTCTGTGAGCTCGGGGGACGAGGCTGTCGATTTGAACCAGGATTTTGCGGGGAGAGGTGCGGGGGGTGGGGAGGAGACCAAAGACGTAAGTTGGCTGTGTAGGGTACAGAATTCGGAGTAGCGTTTTTGTATGACGAATGTACGGAGGGGAAGGCGAAGGGAGATGTTGTAGAGGGTGTAGGGTTTGCTGGCTGGATCTGAGGAGACGATGGTAGAGGGGATGGAGAGCTCGATGGGGGGTGCCATGGCTGGCTGAGAAGATCTGCTATGTACCTCTGATGCTATTTGTATTGCGAAAGACCTTAGGACTACCGGGGACGTCGCGAGTCTTGCAGTAGTTGTTGATGGTGGTTTATGAGTTCATGTTGTATTTACCTCGGGTGCCTTCCTTGGTGGAGCTCGTGACAGGGATAGGGGTCATTGGCTTGGCAACGAAGAAGCTGTCGGGAACCAATTCGAGCCAGTTCTTTTACCCATCGTGGTCTGCATTTAGTCAGTCTGCAACATGAAAGTCCTAAATATGCTTCTTGAAATGGCAAAGTCATTGCTTCTTGAGCATTAGTGGCAATTGTCTTTCGAAGCTACAAGCAAGAGTTTCACGCAAGATAATTACCAAGGCATACTGACCTTTACAACAGTTACATCCTGAACTAGAAGGCAAGTAAGCAAATGCATTCACAAGTATGTCAGGTTTGGAATCAACACATCATAGATCATGTATACTGGAAGTAGAAATAATATTTAAGGGACTTCATGACTAGGATACTGAAAGTCAAGCATCGAAGTGACAGAAGACTCCCTAGCAGACATACCTGAAATGACTTCAATCTTTGATTCTTCTAGGTCTTTATGTGCCGAACTCTTTCCCAAACAGTGGTTCTTGTCATTTACTGTTAAGGTTGCAGAAATTACATCCTAGTAGAGTTCTAGGCAATGCCTGTTCGCATGGAATAAGACGTTCTGGGGAGACTGAAGCAATGGCTGAGGGAAATTGGGTACTTTGTTTTCTAGTCTGAACCAGACCGCATGACCCAAATGTTGTTCACACAACCAAGGGATCCAAAGAACCGAAAGTCTTTTTGAATGAATTGATTCATCGAAACCTGAAATCTTCTATCAGATCCAGTATGTCATGTCGCTATGAAAGTCTGCAGGCGCACAAGTCCGTCAGGAACCTATAAACAATGCATCTTCCTTCGTATGCTTTCGAGTAACTCCAACAGCCTAAGAGATTCAGTTTTGCATTAACTACAGTCACTGCAGTGTGCCATCGCCCATCAAGTCATCATTGCATCATTAAGGAGTCTAGAATGTCTCCTGGTCGTCAAGACCCTCCGCCTCAGCTGGAATTTCGAAGCCGTCCTCCGTCGAGTAAAGAATGGTTTGGATATGCTTGATCAAGCCGTCCTCCTGCTTCTCGATCTCGGGATCTTCTTCACACGCTTGTTGCACCAACAATTCGATATCGCGTAGTTTGCTGAAGTAGAAGTCTCGCTCTCGCTCCAAGCCTTGTACTGTTTCCTTTAATGTGGCGTTCTCCTGCTGTAAAGCAGCACTTCCTGCACCTCCTACACCCGCTACTCTTGGTCGCCCCGTGGTTGGTGTGGTACCTCTCTTAGCTACGCCAGCAGATGTCCGTGGTGCAGGAGCAGTTGCTGGGGGCGGCGCGCCGGACCCTCGTCGTCTGGCAACAGCATCGTAGTCACCACCAGGGAAGTATTGATCCCAATACCGCTTCGACCATTGTAGGAACTCAAGGTTATCTTGCATCTTGCACTTGATCAATTGCTCAACGTTAACGGGACGGTCAATGCCATGGCGGGTGAAGCAGTCTGCAGCAGAGGTTGATTAGTATTTTGTTTTCGGGGCTTGGCGTTTGACGAGGGGTAGATATCTTACTTTGGAGGATCTTGAAGTTCTGCAGGTATGCGTACTCGGTATTCACATTGAACTTGACTCTGGACATGGGAACATCGAGGTAGATGCTGTCGAAGATCTGGCAGAGCGCGGCACTGACAGCGGGGTTAGCAAGGCACAGATAGAATAGATAGAGAGATGGTGCGAGGCACTGCGGGGGAGGGGTCAAACCTACCCAGTTCCACATTGTTCGACTTTGGTTACGTTTAGCTGAAGCAGGTTGTTGAGCCATGCCACGAGCTCCTGTCTGCAGGAAACGCGCTGTTAGATTCTCGTGTTGCCGGTGTTGGTTATGCGATGCGACTTACCTGGATTCTCCCATCTTGAGGCAGTGGGATAGGGGAAATTATGGCAGATCGAACGTTATGAAGGGTATTCCTTGTAGAACCTTATAGTGTGTGCTGGAACAGCAGCCCCTAGCTGTTGTGGGAGTGTTCGCTGAAGTTGAGGTTTGGTACGGGTATGTTGAAGCGCGATTGAATTGCCTCCTTCGATCTACTTTTGTCACCAGGCAATCGCAAGCAGGCCTTCCAAGTGATCGCTAAGGCAACGGTGCACGTGACTAAACTCTCGATCCAATCATCTGCATTCATGGAGCAGGGGCAAAGTGGGTTGACTGATCAAGGTGGCCGTTATTTATGACCAGCAAAGACAAGCGAGAATTGAGAACATCAAAGACGTTGGTTTATACGACTCACAATGAGTCTTATAAGTACCGAAATTTTCTGAATCGTTTGGGAATCATTTCAAGGAAGCAGTTTTTTCAATGAGACCCTTTTTGTTACATAACTTTTAGAATCCGTTGTATAAGTTGAAGCTTGGTAACTTTCCAAGTTGTGAGGCTTTCGCCTGACACACCGTCTCCTCGCGTGCTACTAGGTACAAAACCAATCCAGATTTTGGTGATTGGATGTTTCAACTGGAAGATGTCGAAAGGTTCAAGAGTCATTGCCCTCAGAAGGCATTAGAGAATTGAATTCGGGACTATGAAATGGATCCGCCTCGGATTCATGAGGTCTGCATTCTTCAGTAGGTGTCATACGTGCTGAGGTGCTGATATTTATTCACAAGCCTGAAGGAGGATAAGAAACAAATCGACTGGATTTCTTGTTGAATAATCACTTATTCACAACATAAACTGCGTAAAGAATCCTCAAGGTCATGGCACTTTTGTCACCTGCTGCCGCCTGAAGAACCGGATCTCAAGAGCCATTTAGCCCATTCGGTGAAGTCATGCTTACCTAAGTTATGATATCTGCGAATTACTTATGCTAGTAGACTTTCAGTGACCTTGGATGATGGATGCATTTCGCAAGCCAATAACAACAACTGGGCTTCAACTCAGCCATAATGAATTAGTTATCACTCTCCATTTGAAGATCAACCATGTTCTCGGATGGCAGACATGATGCTTCATTGTTTTGCTTACGATCTAGTTGCGACGCAAGCATACCCTTTCTCTGTGAAAATGCCAATCGACATCAAACGCTCCGATTCATGTAATTCCCCAAACGCCTAGTTCTTCATGCCAAAAATGCATATAAAGTATGTACAGGAAGAAGGGATTGCTCTCCGCCGAGCCAAACACCACACAGGGCATTCGTTTTGTACGAGACAAGGCTCACAGCATCTAGCACTTAGGAGTAGTGGCACTAGCTACCTCGAAGTATGAGATTGCAGCACAGAAGTTGTTGCGGTTATCTTTGTCCAGCGCAGCACTCTTGCCATCAAGAGTAACCATGTTTACGGCAGCTTTCGTAGACAAGCCATACATGTGGATGCCAGCAGAGTTCTCGACTGAGACCATATTATCCTGGCAGCTTGCAGTATCAAGGCAAACTTGGCTGTAATTGTCGAAGAAACTGTAGAGACCAGCACCATAAACGAAAATTTCGTCAGAGTCAACAACTCGGAGACCCCAAGCCTTGTTGACAGTCGAGCTGCCGCTGAATGAAGGATCAGCGTAATTTGCTTGAGATCTGAAGGGTGTGGTGGCATCTGGGTTGCTTTGGAAGTATGGTGTCTCGGTTTGGATGAGAGCCATGTAGACATTGGAGGCATTGGTAAGCTGGTAATTGTAAAGAACGTTATGCTCAGAACTCGTGCCGTACAGCCAGACTGGACCCTCCTCAGATGAGATAAGTACACCACGTCCGTTGTAAATATTTATTTGGTTGTGGTCTGCGAGATCAAGCTCATGATCAGAAACCCAGAACCAGGTATTCTCGAGATATGCGGTGGCCTTTGACGTGATGTGCAGAAGCATAAAGGCACCGATGCAAGCTGGGTTTGCCGGAGCAGTAACTGTTGGGTTCTTGGAGCAGGTATCGGACTGCAACTTGGTTCCGGCAGATCCACCAATGCGGAAGTGGACATCCCATAATCCAGCAGAGCCTTGCGCGGCCTCCTTGACATTCCACTCCATCATGATGGCACCTGGTTGCGGGCCAATGGTCTCAAACATCAAGTCCGACATCTCCACGGATCCTACATCCCCAACTTCACCGACTTGGAAGACAGGCTTTGGGTTATTTTGGTCCTTGAATGTGCTGGAGCCTCCTACCATGATAAGTGGCCAGATTTCCCCGGTGATTCGGATGTTCTTTGGGACCTTGACTGTGCTAGTGACAACATAGGCTCCATGGTCGAAATAGACAATATCTGATGGACTAACGGAATTGAAGAGAGTTTGGATCGCAGCCGTATCATCAGTCACGCCATCACCCTTTGCTCCTGCAGCCTTGACACTCTTGAAAGCAGAAACAGGCTCCTTTTCATATTGTGGCTTGGACCTCGTGAAGATGTTACCGGCAGAGTTCAAGAGAGAAGCAGGCTTTGTGACAGGGGTTTGTGGACCTTGAACAGCGCTGCCGGAATTCGCGGCCTTGTAGTTCCGGCCTTGAGTCCATGAAGTAACCTTAGTATTGCCTGCCAGAATTGTAGCCTTGGTTGCAGGGTTGGAGATGGCGACAGGAACGTTTGGTGAGAAGTTGACGTTGTCGATTATGAGAGATCCATTTGTCGAAGCCTGGTTCGTGGAATAAACTGTGGAAATACCGATTGGAGTATTGGATATAGTGCTGTCTACGAGGAGAACGGATCCCACTGTCTTGACGGTAACAGGGCAGTCAGCAATTGAGATATCTGGATATTTTGAGAAGAGGAAAGGACACGTCTCTAGAGAGTCTTGAGACCTTCAGGAGAGGACAGAAATGAGTTCCCCCAATACCTACCTGGCTCGATGCACCTCCATTTGCCATGTCAATTCCTATCCCGCAATTGTTGATCGAGAGTCCGGACAAAGTCCATGCCCTTTATAGAATGTTAATTGGCGCCTACAATTCCGACAGCAGGGAAAACCCACCAGTTCCAGTTCATGAAAACAGCAGTTTGACACGAATTGAAAGTCAAATTACGTGTAGTAAATTGCTGGGAACCGAAGAATGCACCATACTTTCCGCCATTGAATATTAGATCAGTCATGAATCCGCCCGAACCATTGTCCATAAAGATTCCCTAAGGGCTATATCAGCACCGTGTCGCTATTCGCTCTGCAGGACTAAACGCAGTTAAGTAAAGTGGCTTACCAATTGCGCATTTGAGGATCCGCCATCCGTTCGCATGTTGAAAACGATATTTTGGAGACTCGTAGCTTGAGCAACTTGCCAATGAATACCAGCACCAGCGCTGACCGGCATTGCAGTTGTATCAAGGACGAAATTGCGGATTTGTCGGAAGAAGTTGTCTGTTTACATTGTCAGCTGATGCTTTGAACACGATTTAGGAAGCAAACATACTTTGGTTAGTGTACCAGTTCACGCCTCCGTCCGCATACGGGTCAGCATCCATCAATGCCATACCCCGGAAGCTAGGGGTGGCCTTGATGACCGGAAGGTTCGTGGCGTCTCCGACAAATTGAGTGTAGTAGTATTGGATTAGGGGTGCTGAAATGGAATAGGTTCCCGCTGGAAAATAAACTATCGCAGGTGTTACAGTAGTAGAGTCGCATCCTTGACCACATCGAGAACCTGCTGTGATGGCAGAATTTATGGCGGCGGTATCATCGGTGGTGCCGTCTCCCTTAGCGCCGAAGTCCTTGACATTTCGGAAGACTTGATAACCGGCGATACCATAAGCTACAGTTCCTTGACGGGCGATGGACTCGAGCCAGTAACCGCCTGCTGCTGCGGCTTCAGCGCCGGTGGTAGCTGGAGATGGGGACGGAGCAGGCGCGCCAGAGACGACGAGGAGGAAGAGGCACAGGGCCGCGAAAATGGTGGAGGAAATTGCCATCGTAAAGTAGTACCAGCTGCTGTAGGATGTTCGAAAAGAGCGTATAGACTGGTCGTAGATCGGTCAGCAATGTATGTCGAAGCCTTATTCGGGACGTTACGAGCAGATAGTATTGTGGGAGTGGAGTTTTCGGGCGCCTTGATCGAACACGTGCTTTTGCAGGAATATTTCGAAGAATGTGGAAACGAACGATGATGAGGAGAACAAGATTGAGAAAAGGGAGAGAGCGGTCCGCCCAGCACAATAGGAAGAAGATGTGATTGTCTTTGACGTGTTTTTTTTTGGCGGGGTCGCTTCGATGAATGTAGAAGTATGAAAACACGCGAAGGCGGCAGCCGAAGGAGGCAAGCGCGATGTGGAACACGAGCGAATCCAAAAAACTCACAGGTAATGACTTGGTTTGTCTCTCGCGGAGAAAGTGAGCAAAAGACGAGCGGTGACTGGAAGGAGGGTACTCTCCACTTTGGACATGTCTGTCCTCGGACGCGATACTTATATCTTGACCTACAGTATCCACGCCTTCCCCTACCTCAAACAGCGCCCCCTCGGACGAACCAATGTCCTGGTGGCTTCTCGGGACATGTGGTCCAAGCAAGCTTGAACTAGACTCATGATGAGGATTGTCTCTTCGCAGGGAGCCACGGCCAACGACAGCCATCAGATCTATCACAAGCCTCCGAAGCTAGCTGGGAATCTTCGATACTCTACTTTCAGGAGATGCACCGTGCAAGACCCCGACACGTCTGACCAGTAGTCAGGCGGTCGCTAAGCCAGGAGGGCCGAATCGAAACAGTCGATCTGGCGGGAAGCCGAGACTTGGGATGCGGGAGTGGCACTTGATTCGAATGGGTGTTTTGATGTACCGGGGTTCTGGGCATGTCGTTTGTTCGTAACTTAGGTAGTAGCATTGATATCCCCCTGCGCAATTACAGTAGCACAGTACAGTCTTTCGGCTCTAAAATCCGGATTGGGCTGGTACAAGTGTACAGAGAAGTTATGGAGAAGGAGCAGTCGCACGCACTCGATGGTTTGGCCTTGGTTCAAATCATGTAGAGCTGCCCCGTGCGTACCACGAAGCTGGGCTAGTCTTGCCAAGAATTGATAACCACGACGAAGATTGGGTTGAGATGGCTGGTATTTTGGACGTATATGTTCTGTTCTGTTCTGTGCTGTGCTGCGCTGTTTGTGTCTGCTGTCCCTGACGAACTGCCTCCCTTGAGGTGGACAGCCTGAAACTGCTAGCTGGATAGGGACGAAGCGCGCTGGACCTGTGGTTGGTAGTCGTTGTGCCTTCGGAGATTTCACAGATTCGCCAGCGCCTGCGTGGCGCATAACCGATGCTGCATCCAGGAAAGTGCCCGTGAGAATCTTCTTTAAGTCACTAGCCACCCATCGGATGCCAAGGAGGCCCATCAGATCCCCAGTGGGCCTGTGGCACTGATCAGTGGCCGTGAGTCTGGAGTAGTGACCAAAATGTCTTCAGGGGTTCAACGTTTCGCTACATCAGAAGATCACCCTAGGATCATAGAGTATGCACCCCGCAATATGCAACGTATCACTTGTCCTGTCCCCCTCCTCGTCTTCCCTGAGATCTATTACCAATATGTAATCTCTTTCTCGGCCTTTTTCATTCCGCTACCCCAGATTACGACACAATGTCGAAGTGTGACTGTGTATCGTGGTGTGTGTATTCCGAGTCATCCACGTTGTGTAAAGCATGCGGTTGTCATCCTTGATCCTGAAGTCCCCAAGCCACAGGTGCTCAGGCCATGTGTGAATGTTTTGTCCATGTCGTTTCACTGCTAGCCATGCACATGCTTTGGTTGGTTCGAAAGGCTGTGAGTTGTTTCGAAACATAAAGGGGCTGACACATCGGCGGTATCCGGCAGAGAAGTTCGGATGGAAAAGAACATCAAGTCTAAGCTTTTATCCGCCGACTTTCCAATACAGGGAGAGCAACAACTAGATCTTGCGGTCCAGGTTTGGGTAGACACCCCGTCAGCTAACCCCTTTTCCCTTGCTCAAGAGGAAACCATGCCCCGGGCCACTGGCTAATCGGCAAAGAAAACTTTCTCAATTTATGCTTATATGCGCGCGAGCAAAAGCTCATCATAGCCCATGTCGATTTACATTCCTGGGTCTTGACAGCAGTTCAAGGATTCGCTGGCCTCTCCCTCCAGTAGGGAGACTAGGTAGGTTGGGTAGGTAGGTAGGTCGATCAAGTCACGTGTCTGTCCGAGAGCTCATTCTCCTTCCTTTCCTGCTTTAGACTCATATATTTTGTGTGAATGGGATGTTACCAGAGTAGGTCGGGCCGATTATTGTGATTCCTGTTGACTAATTGAGCTTGAAAGGCACCTCGAGATCTATTCCCCGATGCATCTCGGCTCACTAGATGCTTTTGAATTGTCTTGTGCTTTGAAGACCGGCTTATTTCCAGGGGGTTCAGCCATTGTAGGCTCTCATATGAAGCCTCCAATCCACCTAGCCTTGTGAGTCTCACAAGCTCTATTCTTTCGTAATCTTCTCCGTTCATCCCCATGTTTTAACTTCACGTTCCTACCGCGCTTAAACTTCCTGTCAAGTAGAGGAACGGACCGAATGAGATCTTCCAAGGTCTTTTCCCAAGCATCTAATTTATTGTCCATAGATCAGAGAAGGTCCGAAGATTAATCTCAGCCGAGACGTCGATGATGATTCGTATCCTCGGTTTGTGCATGAAAGGATCGCTCAAAGTCACGTCTTTTCATCCTACCTACTCGGAACCCTTCATCCTCAAGGTACCAGACAATTTCTATAGGCAAATAACGTATGAATCATTCTTTTGAGTCCTTCCACAGAGCTGGGTAGATTATGTAGTATGGAAGAGATCATGTGATGGTGGATGCTCAAAATGACTCCTCGCCGCTGTGCCTTCATTTCTTACTCAAAACGTAATTCATAGCATAAGATGGGAACCTCGCACACTAAATCATCAATACTAGAGCAAAAGAATTTGTTAGGCGATATTATGCCATACACAAAGCAATGTCGTGTGCAACCAAACAAACAGCGGAGCCCAACGAAATCAATGCTCTCCCATATGGCGCTGAACTACTAGCCAAGCTTGCCGCACCAAATTTCCTTAGCCTACCAGTGGAATTACACCAAGAAATCGCCAGCCACCTCAAAACTGCCGCTATCCCAGGTACACGCCATCTCCGAATGACATGTCGCCTACTATGGAATACCATCGCCTCAGAGTCAAAACAAGACCTACTTGAGCTCGAGCGGTCGGAGCAGTGCATCGCCCGTGGATTTATAGCTTGCACCATCTGTCTGCGTCTCCGTCACGAAACGAAGTTCGTGGACAAGATGCGGACTATTAAGAGATCGGACGGCACTCTAGCCGTGCTTCGACGAGCCAAGAGGAGATTCTGTATCGATTGCGGCCTAGCACGTAAACTCTACACGCCTGGCTGTTATTTCCAGATCGATGGAGTTGGGTACACGATGTGTATCAGAGACAGAGGTACCGAGGAACTCCAAATTTCGGCGTATGAGGCTACGGAGCCAGATGAATGTAGAGAGTTGAAAATGCTGAGAAAAAGGTATTGCCGGAAATGCTGGCTAAGGATCAGGAGAGATGTCCTGTGCATTCTGGATGACATGGAGAGGGAGACTGAGCGTGGGGTCATGGATAACAATACTCCATGGGAACAAGATATCATGGGTCTTCAGTTCTCAGTGACGCCAAGACTTGTCAAAAGAGATCTCTTTCTCTGCAGGCTGAGGGAGGATTTTCGAAAAGAAAATGACGACAGCATGACTATCAATTTCGCGTAACATAAAATGAAAGTAAAATGCCAAATGCATGCAGGCGCAAATCTATTGGGGTCTCAAAGCACCACCCTGCATATTTCCATACTTTTCCAGAATCTGCCTTCTCCACTCCTTGCCAAAGATAGCGATTGGAATTCCAATACTACCGACCCCCAAGATGATTCCACCGAGTGTGGCGTGCATACTCCATTGCCCGACTCTTGCAATCCATGGTTTGATGATGAACGATAGCGCGAAAGGAAGGACATAGGACACGCCCATGACCACTGCGATACTGGCAGCGGCAAAACATGGAAATGCTTCCACAGCCCAGAGGCTATTCTGTTGCAAAGTCAGTAAATCTACCACAGATCAACCACACACAAGGCGCTTACGCAAGTGTAAAGAGAGATAAAGCTGAAATACATCATTCCATAGGCCGTAAATATCCAGCCATAATGTAAGTGCCGCTGCGCAGCAAGTCCATACAAGAACTGTGCTAGGAAACCAGTAATCACAGGAAGGATAAATGAAGGTAAATAATGCTCGACGCTCTGTCTCCCACCATTCCTCGTCGCTAGCCGTCTTGTAATCTTGCGATTTAGGAGGCCCGTGATAGGAAAAGTAGCAAGTGAGCCGAGCCCACCAGCCAGCTTGATCAGCGCTACCTGATCTATCGAAAGACTGTACGGTGGAGAAAGTAGCAGGACTCCGTACCCGAGATCGAATGCCAGAATACCGGTGGTAGCAAGAGCGTTGAGTATCATGACCCAGAACACCAAGGGGTTGAGCAGAAGCAAGAGGATTTGAGGATAGATTGCCCCCATTCGGCTCCACCTATTCGGTATATCCAGTCCCCAGACCTTCAACTCATTGACCTTCCGCTCAGCACATGTGAGCGGAAGCTCAGGCAGTTCCTTGTCCATGCCAACACCCCTCCAATTTTCATAAATTGTTACTCTTTCGGCGGTTGATTGAACGAGAACACGCCCGTCGAACGCAAGCGGGGGCCGGTGGAAGTAGGTCTCGGGACAGAGGAAGAACGCCACGACTGATGAGAATAACGCAAGTAGAAATAGAACGTGGTAAAAGCCCCGCCAAGTATGAAATGTGCTGTCGAGTTTCGGTACTACTGCAATGAGAGCATTCGATATTGCCCCGCCTAGCGACCAGAAAATTGATAGGACTATGATTCGTTCATGAATAAAAGTAAGGTCAATCAGCATCAAGCCGAGCTGCAGAAGTAAGTGAATGGAATCTTGACTGAAATGATATACTTGCAGCAGAGAATGTAAAGCCCGATGCAACTGACTGTAAGCTCTGTGCTGCAACATGGTGGTAGAAGTTTGGCGAAAGAGCAGCATAAATAGACCCCACTGCTAGGAGAATATTTGCGAGTAAGAAAACTGGGCGTCTTCCGATAGCTAGGGACAATGGAATCCAGATAAATTGAGAAAGCCCTACGCATAACAGCGAACTTGAGGCCATTGGTGTGAATGCAAGGATTGAGATTCCCTGTCACAATTAGAAGATAGCACAGGACTTGAATGTTAAGAATTCACCTGTGGTAGATAATCGACTGCCATTACTGGAACAAGAATACCCAAGCTCTGAAGCTGCATAACGGCAAGCATCGCAAAGAAGAAGACATTGCCCAATACAATCCTGCGCTTTGCCGGGTGCCAATTGAGAGGGTCTTTTGGCGAGGAGGACGGGATTGGGAGCTGTAGCGTTTTTCCATCCGAGGTGATCAAAAAAACACTTGTGCTGATGCTGGAGCCATACGGAGACTCTTCTAGAACTAATGACATGGTTCAATCAATAACCTATAACTCGGTTTGGGAGTGACCACTATTGATAGCTCCGGGAAGGAAGATATAACGATTGTCGACCAAAACAAAACATGGTGAACTTGGAAATCATGGGCAACTCACAAATCTTATGAGCATCACTTTTCCGGAGAGAGTTTGAACCTAGATCTCAGAAAGGTAAAAGTTCCTGTATACTACTGCAGGTCTGCCTCAGATGTCTCGCAGCTGTTGAATGGTCCATAGTGGAGGAGATCTCTCCGCTTTGTTGGATAATGCCATGAGAAGAATATCCAATCAACGCGAGTTGAAGACGGTTTCAATGATATCAAGCGCGAAAGGAATAAAGACCATGAAGTAAAGCTCGGGACTTTTTCCGCTTACGATCAGTCCGAGGCCTGTGTGTTGCGGGAGCAGTTTCAAGCAAACTTTAAGCAACCCCACCAGCGGTCGCCAGACCTTTAGATAAGCCGAGATAAGATAACTAGGTGCAAGACCAGGGCGGCAAATTCTGTCCCCGTTGAGTGGAATCCATTCCCATTGGAACGTTGTTCACTGCTCGCAACTTCGTTCTTCCTAGCGTTAAGCTGTCTTCACTCATCATACTTTGCAGCCATACACGTGCACCTTCTCCTCGCCTTAGACTTCCAATTTCATACGCCGGAGCTATGGAAAGTAATCCGGAGATTCATGTACCCCTGGCAGCTGTCGATACAGAGTACCGTCAGGTCACCATCTGGCCCAACCACCGGGATGGCCGTAGTGACACAGTCAAACGTGCCATATATTGACTATGTAATGTGCCAGAACCTTGTGCGTCGACCACAGTCAATCAAAATATGCGAAGCGAGGAAGATGACAGTGTGATGAACTATTGGCAGGAGCTTGGGGTCTAGACCAGGTTCCCCGCCCTTGGAAGATGGTGGCGCAGTTATGGTGTTGGATTTGATTAGTTTGGAATGATAGACCCATCTATTATCCAAACGGCCTTGAAACTGAAGTGACTTCTTTTCTCACACCGATTTCTAATCTGGCTCAAGCAACGGCACTGAAGATACCGTACAGAACCTCTATCCTATCTGATGCATCAGCAAGTGTTTTGAAAAATTAATTCTCGGGTCCTCGAAGTGTTGTAACTTCACACTCATCAACAAGGTATACAGCGTCTCACCACTTGGTGGTTTGCCAAGAGTAATTCAAGATGCGTTTGGAAGAGGAAACTGTAGGATGACGAAAATGGCTTGGAATCTGAAGCACAAAATGTGCAGAAAGTATTTGATGCTGACTAATAAATGTCCTCGATTGGACAAGGTATCTCGTACCATAAGTGGAAGAATTTTCAAAACAGTGGGCCCATTCCCATCGTCGTCACAATGTATTCAAGGATCCAAATAAGAACTCGAAACTCATTCATCAGGACCACTGGCCCAATGGCAAGGCGCTTGACTTCGAATCAAGAGATTGTAGGTTCGACCCCTGCGTGGTTCATCTGGCAAAATACACCTGTTGTATATTTGTCTTTTGCAGTTTTGAACAAACGCTTTTGTTGCTTGGCTCGGGTTTTGACGCATGATTTTTATGGTCTTGGCTGCACGCAGTCTTCTACCACAATTTGACTTGCCGTTTTCACTTGGGGTATGCCTGTGAAATTTGGTACACCATGAATACTGTAGGCATAAGAGATATAATTAAGTACCTTTGATAATGCTTTCTGGGTCTCGTTTCGTAGAGAAGAGACCGAGCCGATTCCCGTCATCATAATAAGGATAATCCCGTTTTCTTGGGTCCGGCAATCACCCGCCATCAATGTATTCAGCCAACGGCAACAAAACATCTTCAAGTGATGGTATTTGCAATTAGTCACAAAGATTGTACGTGATACCTATAGGGCGATCTATCTATATTGTTTCACATATCAAGATGTATCAAAAACTGCTGTCCAATGCTGGAAATCATATCCATACCTAAGCCCGCCTGCTTTTTTGTACTAGCAATTTGATACAGCCGCCCAACCATCCTTATGCTTGATAAGACTTACAACCAACTCCAACCCCCTTCGACAACTTCTCCTTAAGCACCAAATACATCTTCATAACCAGTCAAAGTAAACCGATATCTGACATCATTATTGTGCACCCTTGTTAACGCACTCGCCAGACCCTCCTTGCTAATCTTGATCTCCTCAACCCAACTCTCAACCTTCTTATCGACAGCTAATTGCAACATAGCAAGGACTTCCTTCCGGCTTCCCAAATGACTAGCACCAATCAAGCATCCGTTGCTCAAGAAGTCTTGCGCCTTGACCTCCTGTCCACTGCCCTCTGGCAGACCAACAGAAACGAACTTTCCGTGCACGTCCAACAGAGCAAGGTACTGACTCAAGTCCATACCCTCCGTTGAGCTTGCTGTGCAGACGATGAGGTCAAAGGTCATGATGTGCTCCTTGTTCCAGTCCTTGTCGGCAGTAGCCAAGAATCCATCAGCGCCCATCTTCATCGCGTCGGCTTCCTTGGAGTGTGACCGGGAGATGGCGTATGTCTCTGCACCAAGAGCTTTCGAGAACATGAGTCCAAAATGCCCGATTCCTCCCATACCGACAATGCCGACTTTCTTGCCGGGGCCAGCACCATTGCGGACAAGAGGGCTGTAAGCTGTAAGGCCGGCGCAGAGCATAGGAGCTGCTTTGGTGGTCTCAAGGCCATTGGGGATCGGGAAGACCCTGTGAAATACTAAAGTCAGCTTACTTTGCACACATGGGGAGAGAAGCTTTGTGGGAAGGAATCGAGGAATCTTACCAGTGCTCGTGTGTGCGTACATGAGAAGAATAGCCTCCTTGGGAAACGATTCCGGTATCTGGCCACTTCGCACCGTAGGTATCCAATTGGTGGCGGCAGTAGGTCTCGTTATCGTTCTTGCACTGGCGGCAGTTGAGGCAGGAGTAAGATTGCGCGCCTACACCAACTCTTTGGCCTGGCTTGATGAGAGTAACTTTAGGACCAACGCGAAGAGCTGTGCCAACAATTTCTGAAGTACAGAGTTAGGAAACGTGAACATTATTTTTTGTCTCGGAAGGAGATCCAAGAGACGACGGGAGGTCCTACCATGACCAACACACAATGGGAAATGCTGCTCGCCCCATCCACCGCTTATAGTGTGCAAATCACTGGCGCAGACACCGCAAGCCTGGATCTTGATATCGACATCGAAATCGCCAAAGGGCTTTGGAGTCAGCTCATTGAGCTTGAAATCGGTCCAGTGCTTTGGATCCTCAATCTGGAAGCCTTGGAAAGTGTCTGGGTAAACCATTTTGGGAGAAAACCACGAGATGGATGAAAATGGAAGTAGAGAGAAGATGGGATGAAAGAGACTTAAGAGGTCAATTTTTTGCAGCAGCAGAAGAGGAAGAATAATGTAAAGAGAGAAAAAGGACAAGAGGAAGAGCGGAGGTTAAATGTAACCTGCCCCTCACCAGGCGACTTCACAGCAAACAAAAAAGTTCCCCCACTCTCATCATCATGGCGGGGTTCTTGCATACCCATCCTTGCAGCCGTCCTGCGTAGGGATCCATATTATCCGTGGTATCGTATGGAGAGGCGTTTTCCCCAGAAGAAAAGTTGTACTGATGTTCCGACGCTCGGGCTTCTGGAGGAAGTTTTCCCACCAACGAGATTGCAGCTATCGGGGGAAAACGTGACAAACACAGCAAAGGCAGGACCATGGCCAGCACAAGAGATTCGCTTCTGCATGGAGATTGAGACTGGTGCCAGTGGGTTGGTAATTGTTACACTTTAGCAAAGAATCGGATCCCAAGATCTTTGGTAATGGTTGGGGAAATGTTCGTTGCACCGAGCCTCGGACAAACTTACGGCGAGTCACCCCGAGGCCAACTGGTACCAGGCAGCGCGATCTCACCACCTACAGATACTAAAAACAAAAGAATGATGTGAACAAAAATAGTGATACAATTGAAATTGCCGCGCGGATACCTTGCCCAATGTTGTCCCAGTGCTTTAATCGTTGACCCTTAGAACTCCGCACAATGAACGCCAAAACACAGCTGGAAAGATCTATGATACAATAGCAAATACAGTATCGGTAAATCAACGCCTCCGGGCTTTCTTCTTTGCCTTCCCTTTCTTCGCCTTTGACGGACTAGCAGTAATGACACTGCCAATAATCTCGGTTGGGCCGGTTTTGAAGTCAGCCCCGAGACCTTTTAGCTCCTCATCATCCATTTCACTGAGTTCCTCGCTGACACTCGACATGACATCTGCTCCTTGCAGAAGACTTGTGCCTTCTGGTTGGAAATCCTTCAGATAATATGGAATTCCGCCGTTTGCCAATATGTCCGCCTGATCGGTGGTTGTATCGCCATTTGAGGTAGGTGGTGTTGGTGGTGCGGGTTGCATGATATCTTGAGCTGAGACATATCCATTTGTGTCTGGAGGTGTGTCTGAACTCTTGATGCCATTTGCGTGAAATTTCTTTTTCGAAGCATTCGAGTCAGCCTCAGGGGGTGCAGTATCTGTATTAATGGTATCATCTCCAGATGGCAGGGCGATATTAATGCTCTCATCTACCTCGCCCGGTGCGTCTAACATGTCTACGTCTTCAGAAACAGCTGAGGACCGATGTGCTCCAGCAGTTTTGACGTCGCTTCCATCCGGTCGCGCTTGGGTATCTTGATCGATATCAAGATCTCGTTCTCCTACAGAACCTGCATCACCAAGAGATACCGAAATTGAATCCTGGCCGGCAGAATAGCTAGAGTCGAGTAGCTCCATGAGATCCTTCAAATGTCTGTCGACGGGCTTGCCACTGATTTCAGCTTCCGATTTCACAGCCGCTTCTAACTGTGGTTGGATGGCTTTGATGATTCGCTTTCCAAGTCGACGCCGTTCTTTGATGTCAAGAGGTGTTTTTTTGATCGTGGATCCTTTCTCAAGTTCCCTTGAAACTGCCGTCTCAGGCTTGACGGGAGGCTCGGATAGAATTCCATATCGAAAGATCTCGCTGAAGTCGTGCGCAAAGGACATTGCTGTAGTATAAAATCGACTATCGACCTTCGCTTTCAGCCTCAATAACCCATCTGTGAATATAGATCTGATATCAAGCCTAATTTGAATCAGCACTGAACATCTTAACGGCTGTAGGATACTCACGTAAGTGATTTGTCAAGGACTTTGGGCAGCATCCTTGCTACAGGGAAGTAGACCGAATCTACAAGGTCCTCTTCAAGCGCCACCGCTTTAAACTTCTCTACTTCTCGCATCACGATGTCATCCGACAGGGATTTCAATTTTTCCAGATCTTGGATTAGAGTCTGAGCGAACTCGATTCGACGATTGAGTCTTGTTCTGCCAGCAGGACCCATTCCAGCGAAGTTTCTGCGAGTGATTTCCATGGAAGAAAATGTTTCCATCTGTAGTTGTAGTCGCTTGAGTAAAGCTGCACCTCGTCGTGCCTCGCGTTTAAGTGTCCAGTACCTACATGCATCCGCTGTGTATTCCTTTCGCTTGTGGATGTTGAAGCGCTGAAGGGATTTTTCAACAATATCGAAGCTATAGCGTGGGATGACGGGCGCGCCAGAAGGGAGTTTCCATACCGGCTTCTGCGGTTGGACCCCTTTCTTCTTACCATCAGCGAGAGCTAAAGCAAACTTAGCACCTGTGAGCTGTGACTCATCTGGTTGATGTTCGGTGACGGCGTGCCGATGCGTTGCTGCCATTGCCAGTGCCGACGCCTGGCTGTCTGCCCATAAGCGACCACGCATAGTTTTCTTGTAAAAGTTCCTAGCTTCTCGAGTCGCTCGCGTAACATCATTCTCCTTAGCGTAGTCCGAAGGGCAATGTTTGTCGCAGAAAGCCTTCAGGACAGTAGTACCATCGAGAACTGCAAGCGTGCCATGGTTGTTTTTCATCTTCAGAAACAAGCGAGCTCTCCTGGCACATGTGACATGGAACGCTTGGTAGCACGACTTGTTCCCACACTGGATGCAAGCACCCATGCGTTGATGACAAAGGTAACAACTCAATTTCCATCGAGTCTTTGGGACCTTCTCCACTTCCATTACCGGTTCCATAAATGTATGGTTGCCAAGTGATACTTCCGGAATCCACATAGCGCAGAGCAGATGTGCCCATTTTGAAGCGTTTGTTTGTTTAAAAGCTCCGTCTGTGTTCGGGCAAAAAATGCAGGTCTGTTTGAGATTTAGTTTTGAGGCAATGTAACGGAATTGGAGGCCACTCACGGGGATGCCACGGCCAATTAGTTGACATTTCCGACAAAGCCACTGGCCTTCGGGTATAAATGGGACACCGTAACACTCCTGATGTACCGCCAAATCACAACCATCACAAAAGACAATGGCATTGGTATTTTCACAATCTCCATCATCACAAATGGCACATTTACTGTCCTGCTCCTCTCCAGCTTGCGGCTCACCGTTCACTGCCGCAGCTGAACTCGATCTAGGCCTGTGTGTCTGTGGTGGTTTTGGATTTGGCTTTGGTATACGCTTCTCTAGCGCGTGCCATTCTTTTTCGATCTTAGTGATGGTGATCTCGAAGATTTCTCGGGTGATCGGCTCCCAACTCGATGATTTGCGCTCCGCGTTATAGGCTTCCAGCCACTTATCATCCTGCTCGTCCATATCATATTCTACACGACCCACAGTACCAGTTCCTGTAGGAAATATGCCTTCCGCATCGCTCTTATGCCCAGGTCCTAGGTCTATTTCTTCGTCCAGATTTCCATCAGAGACTTTAATGAGGGTTCGCTCTGGGCGAACAAATATGTCACTCTCCTGATAGCCAACATTTGCCATGGATTTGTCCACGTATCGTACGAGCCCAAGAGCCTTATCTTCGAATCGAGCCAGGGTGTCGGTTTTTCGGTATGATGGTTGCGGCAAAGTCAACCTCTCCTTCGCATTTATGTTGGTCACTGGTGGCATCGCCTTGGGTGTCTTTGGCAGAGACAGCGCAGGGGCGACGATGACGTTGGTTGCACCAAGTTCCTTCATTGCTTTCGCCGTAAAGAATGCGACGGGGTCCTTTGGAGGTCGCCCCGGTCTTCTCTTCCCACCACCTGGTGTTCCAGGGATGCTGATAGTCAAAACCTCCCCATTAATAGAACCAACAGGTGTGGGTATGCCGTCACTCTTAGCCTTTGAGTCGAGAACACCGTTGGGTGTCCGGAGACCATTCGCAGATGTCTCGCCTGTTCCAGGCGTGACTGGCCTTGAATCCAGTATTCCTTCAACCTCGTGGGCGCTGAAGGCGCGCAGTGAGGCATCGATATCAAGATTGGGGTGAAATTCTTCCCACGCGCGTTCTTCTCGTGGTTTGTAGCCATCACTCTGTACTACAGCAGCGGCCTGAGCTGCAGAGGTAAATCTCATAGGGGGCTGCTGCGATCTCGGGAGGACTGTTCGTGTTCGCGTACTTCGATCTCGTCGATTATATACCTCAGGTATCAGACCCATGGCAGCGTTCTCTCGACCAATTCGTCCTCGTGGTCCAACGTAGTTGTATCCTCCTGGTCCAGTGCCACCTACTGGTACCTCGTTCCCCTGATCATCAACGTATCTGCCTCCACCTCCAGGGCCACCCGGAATGTACTTTCGTCTTTTCAGAGGTGGTTCAGAGGCGACGTTCGCAGGGATGGATTTGTCAGACGGGGCCGCGCCAACTGATCGCGGTCGAGCTGTACGTATTCTGGAGGATGCAGGTCGGCGGGGCGTTGCTGGCAGAGGAGCCATTGTCCTCTGCATTCAAAGTGGGCAATGTGTCGGGAGTCAGAACAGACTGTGGTGGGGTTCAGCGCGTGGAGTCCAGATGGGGGGTGAGAGGTAACGCGCTGGCTGAGTAAGGGATGGATCGCATCGAGTGTAGATGTCGAGAGGATCGCGCTTGACGCGTAGTATTACAGAGACTTGGTTATGTACACTGTCTGGTCTAACAATGTACCTCCGATGAAATCACTGGCGAGCACTGGACGTTGGCAAAGAAGGAGTTGAGGTGTAGTCACTATAGCGAGGTGGTTGAAAGTGGCCTAGCTCCGGAGAAAAGTATTACCGGTGCCAAGCAAGCAGAGCCTCATCTTGGATTGAGTCTGGGGTACGGAGGTATTAGTCTAAGCTTTGCATGGTGCTGTGTCGTCTTTTAGTAGGATCCTCAGATTTCTAGTTTCTATGTGACGTGAACCTGTGCAATTCCTATCGGAAAAATGGAATTGATTCGGATTCTCAACTCCTTTTAGACAGCTCAAAAAAATAACGTATTCCTCAACTCCACGCTTTTACCTTCCTGCGCTACTGCGTGCGATAACATGGTCGGCTCAACGTAGTACAGGCGTGCCAACCAGTACCTAGATGTATTTATTGTATGTCCAGTGTCCAGTATATTTCGTGCCACGCATGGTATATATATAGCACGCGGTCCAGTTCAACAATTCCAGACTCTGACTAATAATATCAGCAGATAGATGTGAGATTATTATACTTATTGCGAGACCCTGAAACTCAGTCAGGGGCCACTTTTCGAATAATTGCGAGTTGTCCAGCTGCAGGCTTCTGAGTCGATGGGCTCCATAATCAATTGAGCGACCAAAAATATTTGTGGGACACTGTGGAGTCAGCATTAATTGTCTGATTGACTTTTGAGCTGCAGGTGCCAAGCCCGATCCCATCAGGGAAAGAAATATCAGGCAAAATCATAGGAAATTTTCGAAAAAAAAAAAGTTCCACCAAGCTTTACTGTGCTGCTTTCGAATTGAATTCTCACATGGCTTTAGTAGGACGGATGTCCAACTGAGATTGACAACTCTCCTATCACTTTTTAACAGATTTACCAGCAAATATTTTGATCTCTTCCCACTGTAGTTTTCAGTGTCCCATCGGTATTTAATTGAAAAGTGGTATTGTTGGCCAAAATAGCATTCGTTTCGGTCAGTAATCTGCGCCATGTGTTCTGTTCTCCCTTCGCTTCTGAATAATATCATCATACCATGAATTTCAACTTTTGGTTTGCACCTGGAGCATTATCAATGATCGAACTCTACACTCGAGCTTCTTCGACACGAGAATTCTGCATCACAGATGTCAGATGTTCTCTTAATTCCTGGCATGGCTCTCCTGACATAGCTCAAAGTCGAGTATGCGAAGAACAGGAAGATGGACATTATTTGGTAGACGCCGCTGAGTGACATCTTCTCAAGGGGACACGAGCGGGTGTAATCCCGAACAATATATTCATTCTGGAGCTAAGTCAGACTTTCCCTGGTGCCTCTCTCCGCAGTGCACTGCTTCTTCGATCCCGGTTAGTGAAATTTCTGATGACGATGGGTACTAGACCAGAGGGAGAACACAAGTTGTGGTCGAATGTACAAAAATACCAAGAGACCGCAAGGTGGCCGTGATATTCGGAGCTCTACAATATGTTTCATTGATCTTTAGGCACTTACATGTGTGTAAGAGGCTGTTAAATCCGGGCCGTCGTTTGCTGCCAGCAAGCAGAAAATCTCGTGCGAGTTTCTGAAGATGTCAAAGAGGAGCCAATGCATCTCGCAAGGAAAACATCTATAGCTCGAATTTCTCAAAATTTCCGATTGTGTTCGACTTATTCACCATGCGTGGGTACAATACCGTAAAAGAATTATCTTATCTGGCAGAGATTCAGGGCTTGGGAAAGAGGGTGAGATGTGACCAGCGAAGTGATTAGCTCTGAATTGGGTGGAATCTCAATATTGGCCGACGTCCTGTTGGTTCTTATACAGCCCCGCTACTTTCACTCTTGAATGTAGTGCCTGTAAATAGATCTCTTGAACAATTGAGATTAAACGGTACTGACAGCTCTATTAGAAGCTCTGTTCGCCTACACGGATGTACCTCGCTTCTGGTGTTTGGGGAAAGTATACCTTTCAACCTCTGTGCTAGCTTCGCAGCTGATGACATAGCGTTATCTCATTGGCTTCCGGAGCACAAGTTAATTTAAGAAATGCGAACTTTGACTTGCATGAAAGTCAAAGCAGGCCTGCGTTTGAACGTGTCAGTTGTCGGACGATTCGCAAAAACAGTTGATTGTTGGCCACCGGTGGACTTCATCCAGTGTGATCAAGCACAGATATTGCCTGTGATATTGCTACTTCCACGAAAGTAACCATGGCCTGATAATGCCAATGGCACCTTCAACACTATTGATTGATTCGAAGTAGCATACTGCCGAAGTTGAGCAAAACCCCTTTACGTTCTCGGGGAGCCGCGTCTCTTGTGATTGATCGATGTCTCTCATTTCAAAACTTGAGCACAAGAATCATAGCGAAAGAGCACAAGGCAGCTCTTGCAGTCTAACATTAGAAGGATCTCGTGAAGTTGGGTCTCCAAATGGCCAATTACAAAACATTCAAAAAGCAGCAGCACTTTTCGGGTATTTCGAGCTGTCAGCCAGAAGTTTAAAGACGTGGAGGCGTTTTGGAGAGCCTTTAGTGCACCGACAATGACATCAGAAGCGCCTCGGAGACTCCGTACCCCAGATTCACCTATCAACAGGAGAGCTATTTCCCGTTGGTACACCATCTACTGGCCAAAGAAATGGATGGAAAGGGACGAGCGGAGTGTTCTCTTAGATTCCAAGGGTATCGAGAGAAGAAGGTTATCTTCATGAAAGAGCTGTCACGGTCGCAGGGCTTGCATCACCAAGCCCGATGACGACAACCCCGCTACCAAAAATCCAGGGTCCAATCATACCTTCCACCATCTTCCCCACGTTCTGTCTACTCGAGCTACTCGAGCTACTTGAGCAACTTTAGATACCCTAGGCTTCTTCTGACTGTTCTCACGACTGAACACTTCGATTGGGTCAGCTTCCCAGATCCCTCTACTGCCCAAAGTCGAAAGCTCTCGGTAGACAAACCTCCCGGACTTGGATGTAGATCTTGCCGGCGTGTGCTCTAATGCTTGCTGATGCAAATATTACTCCTCGATCTCAGAGTGACAGGAAGGAACTCTCGGCTATCGTCACACTCTCAAGAGGGCGAGGAGGGGTATCGGGCCAAGTGATGAGGTACCTGGAGATCCCCAATTCACATACAGTACTTCTTGGTTATGAATGTGGGGCATAGTAAGAGCGGCCGCAGCACGGATGGATCAACAATGGAATCAGATCCCTTGGCCATACCTTACTGTATTGATCGGATATCGCCAGTCCGGACCTACAGTACTGTACTACTGTACTAATGGTTTGAGCTTATCTCCCCGTCCACTTCCGCAATAATATATTTTGCCTTTCCACGGTACAGTGTGTCCTCGATGATCAACATGTCATGAAAGGAGATTCCGAATATTCGAAATTGAGGCGAGCTGGAACACTCCCCTCAATGCTCCTTAAAAATTCTGGACCGGTCGACGTTGAAGACGTCTCCAAAGTATATAGCTGTTTCGTATCATCGTGGCTGGCGGAACTCTCGCCTTGGCGTCTGGCTGGACCCCATCACGCCTTTTGTGGTGGTTGCTGGAAGCGTCGTGGGCTGAAAATCCCCAGTCGAGCCTCTGCCCGGTTCGGGCATCGCCAGGGCTGGATAGGGCTTAGACGGTGTGATTGACAATTCCAGGCAGCCAATAACGGGAGGATCGTCAAGCCCAGCAGATACAGTACAGTAGCACATTCACACGCACTGGAATCGAGATCCTTGATCCCAGCGCACATCAAGCGAGTCCAGGAGTCCTGGAGTCCAGCCTCCATCACGCTGAAGCTTGGAGCTCTGACAGCCCCGTTCCTCCTCCTCGGAATCCTAGTGTGGGGGAGAGGGTCACATCGAGATATCCCCGGCGGGCCTTGATTGTCTTGGGGGACCTTCGCTTGAGGGTTCCAGGTGCGACCGACTCAGCGACAACACCGTGCGGGCAGTTCATGATGGAGTCTGATGTACCTTATGCCCCTGCCTTGCTGCAACAAATTTTCCCATGGCCTCGCCTCGCCTCGCCACGCCACGCCACGCCACGCCACAAGAAAGGAAAAACAACAATTGAACAGCGAGACCTTATCAGATATGTAGGTACTGTACGGAATAGGTAGAGAGCACAGTGCAGGAGCTGCGCGGGGTGAGCATCGATCATCAACTCGATCCAGCAGACCACGGCCATCTCAGGGCCTAGCCGATTCCTGTCCCTCGTTTACTGAATCGGCGAAAGTGGTACAGCTGAGGGAGGATATAGCGAGCGGGGGTAGCGTCTTCCAAGGCGAAGAGCTCATGGCCATAGATTTGCCTCTTGGTCTGTGGTTCTAACTGTAGTTCCATTGCACACCACCAGGCCAGAACGGGGCCAAGCCATCATAGAGGGCTACGGAGGTACTGTGTACCTAGTACGGAGGGTAGGGTAGATAAATTTACTAGAGAGCAGAGAGTCGCTGCTTTCAGCTTCAAGCCACCACCACCAGGACCAGGGCACGACCAGGGCACTGCGATTCCAGATTTCGCGGACTGCAGCCAGCCAGCCAGCCAGACAAGCAGCGCGTGCCGGCCAGGCTCCTTGCTCTTGGTGCACCACCACTACACTGCACTGCACTGCACTGCACTGCACTACACTACACCTCACCCATGCCAGCACCTCCACCTCCACCTCCACGTCCACGTCTTGCCGCTATTGAAAGTTCACGCTGCGAAGGTCTCGTCCACAGGCGGCGGGGCGGCAACCACCACGGCTGGCTGCCCCGGCTGAGACACATGCTTGCTTATCATTATTCGTTAAGGTATATCAAATCCGAGTCCCATCATGGCTCCCAGAGCTGTCTCGTCACTTTTCTTTCGACTTGATTATTCGAGATTCCTAATCTCATACCTTTCCCTCTCTTGAGCCTCCATATTGTTTGGAACATCTGATTGAACTGTACCCTACCCAGAGAAGCTCCTCTGCGAGAGTCGGTCCCTGGACACTAGAGCTGCTTGATCGACAACTGGCGGCTCGCCTTGACGTCGTACCGACGATCACAGAACACCCAGCGCAGTGACGCTCATGCAAGTGGAAATAATCCAGTGACTTGTACAATATCTCGAAATGAATATCAGCATGTCCCTGGCCATGTCAATGGCTGGTAAGCCAAAAGTACCCTCCAGAGCAAGCTCGATACGAACGCCAGCCAAAGAACCTGTCAGATCCAGTTCGGTATGCTCCAAGGACTTTTCATTGTACAAAGGAGTTTCAGAGAGACCGCTGGGCTGGAAACCAAAACGACCAGAGAGGAACCCAGGAAGGCTCTCTTTCTGCAATCCAACTCTGGGAGAACCAGTAATTGAAATGAATGTAAGAAGGTGGGACGGCGCAGCAAGGAGATCCGTTGAATGGGATGGACTCAGAAGAGTAAGATCTCAACTTTTCTGTGTGGTTGACATACCTGCTCACATGTGTCGTCAGGATCCCGAATTATGGTACAACGATGGCAATTGTCTTGTCCATTTGTACGGACAGGGTCAATCCAGACGAGGACCGGCATTCAAGATTCCCATGGACGCCCTTCTTCAAACAAGTTGTCGCCCCCTTCTGGACCGATTCTTAGCTGCTTCGCCGGGAAGCTCACCGTCCTCGCAATGCAGCAGCGATGACAGCTACTTCGGCCATTCGAGGCAGAGAACTTACGAACTTTACATTCCAGCCCCAGCTAATGTCGACCGAGGAGAGGCGTTTCTATACCACACAGCAACGAGGAATTTTTTCGCCTGGGTTTTTGGAAAGTCTCTTGTCGGAGTCCACCTCGGCGGTGCGCTTGTAGGGCTCTTGAATAGTATGAATGAGTTTCGATCTCCAGACGAGGACAATGTTCAGGGTATCATCGACTATATGGATGAAGAAGGATATGCGGACATGAGGAGTGCCCCAGATCATGCTTTGGCAATTCTCTACTTTGCAGAACACTTCCGATTCAGGGACCTTTGGATTGATGCATTTGCACACTGTACTGGCATGAATGAGAGACTCATTGTCAGTCCTGGATTCGAGGTAAGTTGGAGTTGCAATGCTCTTAGAAAGTAGACCTCTGCTGACACGGCGAAGTTCATTGCTAGAACCACCCGCGCGCTCGTAACACGATCGAGATACGAAATGGATATGAGATTGGACCAATGTGGAGAAAGACTCAGCTCCTTCCTCTCAGACGACCTCTCCGATTCACACCTCGGCCTATCATCCGCCGCGCGAGCTCACCTCGACAAGTTCAGATCTTTCTTACAATCCTACTACGTCGCCAAATTTGGCTATTACCCACCAGCATCCGAAGATGGACGTGCTGCCTTTCCCAAACACATCTATGCTCAAATGTGTTCGGAATTTCACAAGCTATATGAATACATGGTGGATAAGTCGCGCACAAATGTCGACTCTCTCCCACTTACCCACTCGGGCGGAGTGTGTGTTTTGCAGAACGTGCAGGCATTCGACCAGCGGCACAAATACCAACCATTGGAGCATCCATTTCCTCTACTCCCAGAAAGCGAGGATAATTCGAAGCCTCCAACAAACAAGCGATTTAGTCTTTCCTTCAAAGCAGACAAGATGAAGCCAGATCCACGACTCGTGACGCTCGCTCACCTCGTCAAGGCTACCAACGTACATGACCAAAGTCTCCTTGACTCAACACTTGTCCGGGCATATAGAGGCTTCGAAAAAGACTGTGTCTTCTATCCTACCAAGGACAGACACGAAAAGTTGTCTCAAACCGATGCTCGCAAGGTCAGATGGATTCTCGTCTATTCAATACTGCAGACTCTACTTTCAGCAACCTTGGCTCCAGAGGAGGTACGCGACACACACAATGTGCCATACAACATTTGCGTGCTCACAGCCGGGTGTCCACCTTGGAAAGAACGGCCGTACGAGACTCTTGTGAGAACGCAAACAGACCAAACGAAACTTGACTTCGAGGCAGCAACCTCGCAGTCGCCGGTAGACAACGAGCCCTACTCTCCATCAGAGATCAGACCCGATATCGACTACTTTGCCATCACACATGCTCGACAGAACAGTGAGATCTCGCTATCTTCCACAGCATCGAAGAAGGGAACAGTCAGAAGAGCACTCAGCACTCTTGGTAATATGCCCGAGCTTCGCCATCCCAAACCTCAGCGAGCATCGTTCCACGAGATTTTGGTCCACGGATATGGCAACGGTACGAATAACGTTTGCATCACAGCCCGACCTGCAACCACAAGCCCAGAAGATTCGCCACACAAGGTATCTTTCGATTCTGGCTCGTCATCTATGGAGGATCTCTCCTCGAGATGGTCGAATACTTCTTTCGGTGGTCCTGACAGTCCTCTGACCAGTGCCTCCAACAGTCGAAGAGGTTCCGATGCTAGTGTTGAGATCTCGAAGAAGTCTATCAAGAACTTACTTGATCGACCATTGAGTGCATTCGGCCTGGCCAGACCACCAAGCAGTCTCTACTCAGAAAGCGTTTATAGCGTGGATCCATTGCAGCCAGACCCATTACAGGTGAAGAAGGCTGACCAGGAGTTTGTGAAAGTTACCACGGAGGTGAAGGTTGAGTATGAGGAGAAGGATGAGCCGATCCGAAACATTCATGTCGCATTCTGAAAATGTGGCTTTCAAGTTTTCCTTTGTGTTTGGAGTCTCTGGAGGGAAGGAGTTGTCCGGTTTTCATGATACCCAATCACGCTCCCTTCAAGTTTTGTTTCCTTGTTTCAAGATTGGATGTCGTGATAGACTTAATGTCTAATTGCATCCGAATACTGTATAATTATAATGTTAGATACTTGTTCATAGGGATTAGCTAGGCAGCGGACAATAAAATTTGGTCTGGATACTCAGAAACGTTCAAGTCCTCTCGAAGCTTGTCGCCAAATGAGAGCCATGAATATCATAAAGTCATCGAGACGACCAAAATTATGTTGTAGGGTGGTTTGTACCAAAGATACCCTTTTCAAGCTGACATGGCGGCGTGGAAAAGAAACGTGAGAGACTCAAAGAATTTCGCGAGACCTCGAACACGTCCTCCTGGCGTCCTAGCGCGTCGTCCCTTATCTCAGTCCGAAGACCACCACAGCTCTCCACACCACCCATCCACCCCACCATGTCTTCCTTCACACCGTACACCTACTTCCAGTGTCCCTGCACCGACACCTCGACACCTACGCGCAGACTCGGAGAAGATAGTCCCGTCGTCTCAGAAGCAAACTCCGAAGATGATGACCGAACCTTTGACCCTCGAGCTCCCCGCGCAAACTACAGCTTATATCCTCTCGAACACCTGCTCTACTGCGAAGACTGCCATCAGATCCGGTGTCCGCGATGCGTTCTAGATGAGATTGTGACATGGTACTGCCCGAACTGCCTTTTTGAGGTGCCGAGTAGCACCGTGAAGACTGAAGGGAATAGGTACGCTTCCTAGCATCTTAAGCTTCACATTCGGCTGGCTAATGGCATTGGGATTCAGATGCACACGTAGTTGTTTCCAATGCCCAATCTGCATCGCCCCTTTATCTGTCAGTAGCCTTGAAGCACCACCCGACGGCCTCGGAGCAGAACATGCTTCTCAGAATGGCACTTTCGTCCTCAATTGTGGATTCTGCACATGGAGCTCGAAGGAGATAGGCATACAATTTGAGAAGCCGAACGGGATCTTCGCACAGCTGGCTAAGATCAGAAATGGCGGAGAGGCTATCGTAACGGCAAAAGAGCGACGAAAAGATCGCGAGGACCGCAAGAGAGACTTTTCAGGGACGTCTATTTCTGAGGAGAGTCCTAATCAAGATTCATTTCAGCCGCTGGACCCGAATGAAAAGTTAGATGCTGCGAGTCAGTTCTCGAACTTGAAGGCTTTCTATCAGTCACAGCTTGCGGATTCAACATCTGTCGGGGCATTGGGGTTTTCGGGCGATTATGGCTATGGTTCTCCTGGAGCGCTGTCTAGAATCATGGGACTATATACTGGGGGAAGCATGGTGGACAAGAAATCCAAGAGTAAAACCGGTAACATGCGAGAAGCACAAGACGCTCTTGAAGGTCTCCAACTCACACCCTCGTCGGACGAAGAAGCTATCATGAAACTCCACACCCAAGGTTGGCACAGCACATCAACAGCAGCTCAGCGCAAGGAGCTACCAAACAATGGCGCACAGTTTCTTACCGATCTGCGTCCCATAGCATATCTCCTCCGCACGAAGCGTTCTAAGCGGTGCAAGACATGCCGACATATCCTCTCGAAGCCTGAATCTAAGATCCAGACCACTCGCTTCAGGATCCGTTTAGTAGCGCTGAATTACATCCCCGCTATCAACATCAAGCCGCTGCAAAACACATCCGCACTGGCACTTACACCTATGAAGCCCGTGCAATTTTTACTCACTTTCAAGAATCCTCTCTTTGATAGAGTGAAGGTTACCTTGGCTACGCCAGCAAAGACCCCCGGGAGATTCGGAAGCAAAGTCACTGTTCTGTGTCCACAATTTGAAGTTGGAGCCAACACCGATGCGTGGGAGGAAGCATTACGCGAAGGCGGCAACAGGAACAGCTCTGGAGAGAAGCGTCGCACGAAAGCTGAAACAAGTGAAGGGCAGAACCAAGCAGAAGCCGGCAAGGTATGGGAAAGAGGTCGGAACTGGACGAGTGTGGTTCTCGAGGTTGTACCTCCGCCGTTGAGGATTGATGGACCGGATTTCATGAGAACTGAAGAGCAGAAGAAGGACGATGGGCCGTTAAGGGAGGACGAGGATGTGGTGGAGATTCCAGTATTCGTCAGGGTGGAGTGGGAGACTGATGCTGCGCAGGAAGAGGGCGCCGGCTTGGGTGGCAAGGATAAAGATGCGAGAGAGAAGAGAGAATTGGCTTATTGGTGTGTGCTAGGTGTTGGGAAGATTGCCAGAGGTTAGATGGAACAATGGCTGGCGCAATATACCCATTTGATATTTGCACATTTCATTATTCTCGTGTCTCATGTAGTACTATACATCTTTTGGATTTGTGACGTGATGAATTGAATGGCAAGCATTGACATTTGCAAGCCGAATCTATCGAGAAGCCCTAGCTACGCCTCCCATGTAGAACAGATCCCATCCTTCCATCCCAACCACTCCATTCACGACGAAGCAACGACTTTTGACTATGAAGCACCACATCTAGTACTCAGCAGGGCCAGATTGGGGGAACTCGAAACCGACACCACGACCGGTCAATTTTCTGTAGACCTCAGAGTAGGTATCGAGTCTGTGATCAACACCACCCTTCTCCTTCTCATCCAAGACAACCTTCAAGACCTTGCTGCCATCTTCCTTGGTGCGGAGACGCTTGCCGACGATCTCGACTGGGTAGACGAGATCGCTGAGGATGGCGTCGTGGACGGCAGTGAGTGTTCGGGAACGGGGTCGCTTCTGAGTCTGCGAAGTGCGAGAGCGGTTGGAGCGCTTGGGGCGGGGGAGAATGCGGCGCGAGGCGAGGAAGAGGACGTGGCGGTCGGAGAACTTCTTCTCAAGCTCACGGGTGAGACTGCATATTCAAATCAACAATCATTCTTCCAGGGCAAGTAAGGGAAAGAGCTACATACCGTTGCTGCACACGGTGGAAGCCCTGAAGGGATGGGACGGGGACAAAGATGACAATAGCCTTCTTGCCGTGGCCAACTTCGACCTGTAGAGGATCAAAAGTCAGCATGCGATCTCCATGTTTGTTGAAGAAACAATGGTCCGCAGCCCGTCCGATTCCGAAAGTCCACAACAACTTGGGCGGCAGAAGCAGAAGCCAGCCAAAACTTATTCTCTCGAAAGAGGCAAAGAAGAGCCAGCCAAGTACGACCCGCCGAACGACAAACATCCATTGCATAGCATAGCACCACAATTGCAGTATGTATCCATTCTGTATCTCAAGTATGCTAATATAAACCCCTCATGCATGTATGTATGTTTCTGAATGTATGCTGTCTGCCAGCGGCGCCCGCGTCGTCATTTCGTTCGTTCGATTCTACGGCTGCGAGCCATTCCGATATCTCGTCGCAAATATTGCGACATTGATAACGAAAATCTGGTTCTAGAGAAAGAGCTTTTGTCAATTGCTTACCTCTCTGGCGGAGACGATCTGAAGAGGGCGGAGAGCGGCCTTGAGGTCAGAGGTGTTGCTCTCAAGGTCGTACAGAGCGCCAGCAATGCTGGTCTCGAGCTCGCTGGGCTTCGCACGCGATGGGCTGTTGGCCGCGATCTTGTTGATGGCACTCATGATTGCGGTTTGTCGTAAGGTCGAAAAGAGAAATGGAGCGCTTCGATATTTCGCAGTTGGTCTCGGGCGAGGCGTGGATTTCATCTGTGGGAGCTAAGAGGTTAAGCGAGTCACATGATACCCCTGCTCAAATTGGCCAATCAGCCACTGGCAACTCTTGATGCTGTACTGTGCTGCGTAGGAACGCGTATTTCCATACTGAGTCTACCTTGAGTGTTTACAAGTAGTACAAATTTAATCAGCATTCTGTCACTTCGAAAGCCGCCTGCAGCTATTTTTCAGCTCTCGTGTTATGGTTGACATTATACATTATTGGTAGTGAAAAGGAGCTCATCGAAATGAGCACGCAGGTCTTTGTTAAATGAAATTCCTGGTACGCCAATAGGACTCGCTAAGTTAACAATGCAGATCAAGCATGTCCTTCACATGCCTATTACTTCTTCGCGGCTTGGTTTTATAGACAGAAGGGTATATGTAAAGCCCAATCCTCGGGATTGCTTCCTCCAGTATACAACTTCAACCCCTAAAAATCCATGCAGTTGGCTCACTTCACTCAATCAAACATCTTCGACCATACCAGTTGGCAAATCGATTTTTCTGATATCGCTGCGCAGCTTGTCGATGTTCTTAATTCCTTTGCCGAAATCCAATATCAAAATCTTTGGATCTTGCCCAGTGCTGATGATTCTTCGGTAATCTGACTTGGCTCCTAGTACCCAGCTAGCATGCCAATGAGGAAAGACGAGGATTTCTTGTCCTTTCTCCATATTGAACACCTTGATAGAAGTGTCATAACTCCCAGATACCAATCTTCCGCTAATCGAATCGATGTGGAGTGACCGCACCAAGTTGTCGTGGGCTTCATCAATGGTGTACATGAGTTGATGCGTGTTTGCGTTCCAGACATTTATAAGCCTGTCGTTTCCAGCAGATGCAATGTATCTCGAATCCTCAGAAAATTGGCTGCATGCAAGGCCCTTGCTGTGATTGCTCAAGGTTTGGATGATATTCCCAGTCTCAATATTCCACATCTTAACAGTGAAGTCGCCGCTACAACTCACGATCGTGTTTCCGCGCAATTGAACTGCATTCACGGGTCCGCTGTGTCCTCGAAGCTGCTTGAGGAACTCACCCGTCTGGCGATCCCAAATACAGATACTTATATCTTTGGAGCACGTAACAATGTACTTCTTATCAAATGCTAGATCGAGGACAGCCGCTGTATGGCGGTGAAGCCTTCGTATCGGCCTATAGCCATTCTTGACATCATAGACAATGCAAGTGCTATCAGATGAGCCAGTGACTAGGATGTCCTCGTCGTATTGTAGACAGAGAATTGACTGTTCGTGATGTATAGGGAAAGAGACGGTCTCTGGCAAGCTTTCTTGTTCCCTGACAAAATCGCTTTCTTCAAATGCGCTCCCCGCTTGTCGTGCCGCGTAGTGTACTGGGAGATTGTCGTTATCTTTCAGAATGGAAGGATCGTGAACCACGTTTGGTGGACCAATGACAAGTGTACAAGAGAGAGTCTCAATGTTCCAAATTCTTATGGTCTTGTCACGAGACCCTGTGATGATTTTGTTCCTGTAACATGTTAGCATGCAACTCAGTGTCAATATAACAATACCACGCTTACTCATCGAACTGGACACAATAAATGCTGTCCAAATGGCCGTGAAGATAGTGGGCGTCACAAACCCCAGTCTCCCAATTGCCACGAAGCTGAGTTCTTGCTTGAGACAATGCCATCCAGTCATTCTCGGGGCTGTGAGCAGGGAGTCCAACACCAGCCCCTAAGGGAATAGGTTTCCCAGTAGCATATGCCTGAGTCTCCTCTCTCAGGAAAACCTCTCTCCAAACCTGCTGAGAATGCGCAACTTCATACCAACGTCGAGACACATGAAATAATCCCCTGAGTGTCTTCGCATCAACTTGGCCAAGAATTTGCATGGCGAGTTCATTCGGCAATGCAGTGATAAAGTCGCGGTTGATCGTCGAGCTTGCAACCGCTGCTACCACGGTGCTCTCGGCTTCAACCTCGCTCTCCATCCGCCCTGGATCCGAGCCGTCAAACGGCATGGCGATCGCGCTCTCTCTATCTACATCCCCGCTTGTATCTGACAGTGTGAGATATGGGTTGAGTCTTTCCCTGCCGTGTTCCATTCCATTGTGCAGAGCTGCATTTTGTCGTGCCGCAAACCCCCCATATCTCGGTATCCTAGGTGGCCGATTGCCACTCCCTGGGATAGGTGCAGACATATCCTCTTCGTGCGAGTCGAATGGGCCGTCTGTATCATAGCTGACCGACACTGCCCGTGAGTAGCGGTGGAAACTTGTGGCTGTCTTCAATCTCTGCCAAGGGCTTTCAGGTTGTGCGTTTTCTTCGCCAGCCACACAAGACAGATGTGAAAAGCGCCGCTGTCGGTTTTTAATGGAGACCGAAGCTTTTCGAAAAAGGCCTTTCAAACCTCCAGATTTCTTTGCGTCGTCTGGTGCCAGGTACATTGAATTGTCCGACAACCCCTGTGTTCTGAACAGATCTGTGTCCTTCCGAGTGAGAGGTAGGGATTGCAGCCTCTGTCTAAAAGGAACGGCTTTGAGAGGTCTCGAATCACTCTCATCCGGCCAGAGAGTCGTGCTGTCATGGCGTGGATTTGCTGCTGGGACTGGGGCATCTTCAGTGCCGGTAGACGCCCAATCCTCATACCGAAATATCCTGGCCATAACGCTCGGCTGTCGCGCCGTTATTATGTGCAAATTTCTGCTACAACCTTTCCGTCAAGCCGTTGGAAGAGGCTGTTCAAGACTATGGAAGATGGAATGTCGGCATATAGCAACGAACGGTGTGGTGGGGTATGCTGTTGTCCGGGCCAACAGTGGATTCGCAGTAGGGGATTCTCCGCGTGGCCGTGGTCATGAATTACTTTAGGTACCTTAGGGAAAGGTTGGTAACGTAGACTTCTTTGAGTAAAGACTGGTGGGAGGCGAGGGGAGTCAATATATGGGAGGGCGAGGAAAGGAATGGGCATAGGCATAGGCAACGAAAGATGAAAGGAAGGAGCGCATATTTTATGCGAGGGACGGAGGGAGGGAGGGATGAGAGACAGCGGCGCGGGATGTTGATGAAGGGATGGATGTGGTTGTCGCACCGAGCACTCTGCAGCGAGTGTTTACCCTCAAAGAGGAATCCATGGTAGACTAGCCTGCTTAGGGAAAAGGGTTTGCCCCCCTTCCCCTTCCAGTTCCAAGTGACCCACCACGCCCACGCAGGTTACCGTCCCCTGCGCTTCGAGTGCCACAGTGCCACATGTGATGACCAAAGGTCGAGTAGGTAAGGTAATTATTACCTATAAATTTTCGGTACGGTAGTAAATTTACGGTACTGTGCTGTGCTGCAGTAATTTACCTAGTTCGTCCTAACTTACCTAACCTCGCCAACCTTGCAAAGTTTTCACTCCCGTCTCAACAAGGCTGAGTCGGTCTGCGTCTGTCTGTGCCTGGATGCTGACTCTCTCTCGAAGTTCTGGAAGTCCTGGAAACCCACCAACGTGAACCGAACCAACCGACTCAACAGTCTCAACAGTCTCAGAGACATCGGTCAGGCCGCGACTCGTCTGCCAAACCAAAACCACTGAACCTGCGAGTAAGTCTGGGACACAATAAGGTACGGGTAGAGTACCGGCGATGTTGATGCTGCATGAAATACCCGACTCAATTGGACCCGCTCCGAGATAGGTTTCCTGCACTCCGTGGTGCATGAAATGAAATTTCATCTCAATCCCAGTCGATGATCAAGGAACGAGCCAGGGTCCAGCGTTTCAAGCCTCGTCCATTTCAGACCTCCAGACAACTGCATCTCAAACGTGCATCCAGGTATCAAAACCCTTTAGACACTCGACTGAGTTGGACACAAGAACCATCGCCAAAAACTGGAATAGACCCGTCTTCACCGCATCTGCAGTCTATCACACCACCCAGGTCCCCCGCACTCAGCCATCTTCCAACAGTAAAATGCCGACCCCAGCTTTTGCCCTCCCCAGGTTCTACACCGCCTTTTTCCTGATCATCGAGCCTATTTCTGCTCTGGTGGGAGCTTTCTATGCACATTTTCGACCATTAGAATACCTTCAGCTTACGCATACTGGTTCTGCACCTTCGTGGGAGAGTACCATACCCCTTTCCACGTCCATCGTCCTCTCTCAACTCGCCAACCTATATCTCCTCTTTGCTATAAATGAGGCTCTGGTCCTACGATCTACATCCGACCTCCGTGTATGGAAGACGGTCTTGTTTGGACTGTTACTGGCAGATTTTGGGCATCTGTATAGTGTGAAGGGTTTGGGCGCCCAGATATATTGGAATGCGTTGAAGTGGAATAGAATGGATTGGGGTAATGTGGGATTTGTCTATGCCGGGGCAGCCATGAGAATGCTGTTCTTGGCTGGATTTGGTATGGATACTGCCAGTGGGAGAGATGCTGCTGAGAGAGCCGCTCGCAGGGCGAATCTTGAGAAGTCCAAGTGAGCTGTAATTTTACTTCTATACCTGTATGCCTGAAGCGGAAGAGCATATTTCCCGACATTTCGACTTACCAGAATGCATCTTCGAAGTGGAGATACACCAGTCCCTTGGAATGTCCCTTCCAAAAACAAGACTGGAATCTATATTGACAGTCCTATAAATCGATCATAGTTGCCGGCGGAGGCTGGCAATCTTTTGAACGAATCGTAATACATAAGCTCCAATTTTGGAGGCTACATTTCGATGTTTCTCGGTATGTATTAAAGCCAATTCATTTTACAGATCTATTCTGCATGCTACCTAAACTTTGATTTCCGTAGATTTCTTGATTGAATCCCGTCTGGCATGGTTTACTTAACATATATGCTACCTCGTCGACCCTTTCATCCTTGCATTCGCTATTCAGAGCTTTGTGGTGCAGCTCTCTCCCAAGGATGCCCTTTCTCCACCTAGACAAGGATTTTCACTTCAGAAGAGGCTCAAATGATCAAGCAATCACTTCGAGATGTTTGTGCGCTACATGTACCTGCGGGCGAGGTCGGTCATCTCGCAAGTGTTGCAACAAACTGGTTCGCATCCGCCCGTCCGCTAAATCTTCCTATTACGAGCAAACCACTCCAATATTGTTTCAAGTTCTGATCTGATACTTTGTTAAACATAGCACCACGTATGAAGGTAAGGGCAATGGGAACTTCTGACAGGGTATTCTTCAACCTCATCTGATTTTCAAGCGGGTGACGGCGCTTGGTTCATCCTGAGGTAATGATACAGTCGTACGTGCCCTTGCGTCGGCAGTGTTCAAAGAGTAAAGACTTGATCCATCAATCAAACATATAAGATACCTAGTGCCAGTACAGTCGTTCACGTTGAACTTTCTAGTACATGTTGCGTCGCCATATTGGAAGCTTCACTTGTACGATTCTTCTCACGATCAGAGGTGAGCTCATACTCTCACGATACTCAATCCAGCTGATAGCCTCCATTCACTATTAATCAGATCGGAATTCAATTCTTAGCTACTACTTTTATTCATAAAAAAGTTTTATTGCAAGTACCCACGTTCCTTCGTCACATTGATGACTTTTTAAAATCATAACAGGCTTATGGTTTCTAATAGACTGGTCGCTTCTCGGTCGGATTGATTTCCGCCTTATCGCGATCAGTCTGGGAGTTTTGCACGTTTCCTTTGATTGGATGGGTTGGCCTTGGCTTTTTTCCACATTTCTTATAAGGTGAGGTGGTCTCTTAAAAAAAATGTTTGAAGCCTTTCATGCTCCCTTTCGACTGTTTCATGTGTTCTTTGATTTCTTGTCAGTCGCCGCACATCCTACATTGCTGAGCCGAATCTCATTGCAGGTCTCAATATCTTGCATTAAAGTCGCTTCATCCAAAGGAGCAACTTCAATAAGGTGGTGTATGTACGGGGTAGTGGCCGTTCCTCACAAACTTGACGCAGGTCTCCTGTTGTTGACTTTGACGCCTTGCGTTCGCTTAATCGTTTTCCTCCGGGTTGTTGCTGATGTGATTTCCTCCCCCTTTCAACAGCACATTCGCATTTCCCTCGCGCCTTAGGACTTTCCATAATTCAACCTCATTCCGCTTTCTTTCAGAGGCAAAGGCATTATGGAGCTAGTTTTACCATCTGTTGAGCTGAGTATGGTGTGTTTGAGAAGCAGTGAATTCCTCGGCACACATTGAGGAAGCCACGCAGGTTGTCAAAGCACATTATAACATTGTAGTATTTCAAGCTCCAATTAGTCACTGGTGAAAACACGATAAATCTGAGAACTCTTAGAGCCCTTCTCTTACCCTGCCTCAGAGTATAAATCTGACCAAATCTCGGCGCTGTCAACGACAGCAAGAAAAGATGGAAGAATTCTTGGCCCAACGCGTCCATTTGGACGCCAAGTTAAAATGCATGCGACAAGGAGTTAAGTCTGGGGATGTCGCGATCGAGGAGTTGAGAGCCCTTGAAAATAAGTTGTTCCGTGAGAGTGAAGCTCTCCATGCGGAGTCAATGCACGAGTATTAAAGATCTGAGGTTGGTGAAATAGACTCTCGGTTAGACCCTTGTAACAACATTGTCCCTGTTGCCACTTCGTCATTAGAATGGATTTCCGCACTAGCATTTACACATATGGGTGGCTCTTTCAATGTACTTGAACTCATTCGTGATCTGCTGTGAGAATGATGAAGCTGAGACGAGAGTTGAAGAAAGCTAATTCTCAGAAAGCACACTTCCAGCTCGCCAGAATTGAAAAGCCGCGACAGCCCATTCTTCCAGGTATCACGAAGCAGTGTGGACACACGTGTCTCCTCGAACAAATTGAGCTGATACTTGCCAATAAGTCAGTGAATAGACATTGGATTGTAGGCTGAAGATCAGCAAAGCTTCAATTTCACCGGCATCCTGCATTTATTGCGCTTCTCATCATCCCAAAGCGGGAAGAAAGGAGGATGTTGACCTCGGGTGAACCAACCCGTCCATTAACTGAACCGACTGCAATGGATCAAGCAACTTGTTTCGTTGCGTATCGTAGAAATCTGAAACACGGTATGTTAAGAAAGAGCTGTTTGGTTCGTTTCTGAGTTCTGTTTGCTGTCCTGCCGGAAGCGGGCTGCCCATTCTGGGAATGTTGGCTTGACTGCATACGGAATGCGGGAATATACTGCTTGTTGCACTCAATCCCAGCAAAGTTTCCGCAGAGACGGGAGAGTAAGTATGCAATTCCAGCAGAGCGCATGAAGGAGAGTGAGACATGAAAATGCGATGTGCAACAAAATGAGAGTGCTTTGGCAACTAGAAGGAGAGAGTGATATGTTGGGTCTCGAGGCAGTTGGAGAAGAGGTGTTTGCCCGTTTGTTAAGCGAGAAAGCGAACAACATCGCGGCACTCCAGTCAAAGTTATTGAAATATTAAATCTTTAAGGAAGCCATTGAATTTAAATCATCTCCTCTACCGTATATCCATGCACTAAACGTTATCTTTGGACCCTCCAAATGGCTAGGCGATCATCACTCACTCAGCGACAGTTGAACCATCGTCCCTAAACCCCAGCAAATTCACCTGCAACGACCCAGCCCGATACAGAGAGCATGATAATTGTCTCCGAGATTTTTTTCAATATCCACGAAGAAGGAAAGTACCTGGACGACGCTTCCAACTCCAAAAGTCATTATAAAATCACGTACTCTACTGGTAACAACTTCAACACTCAACATTATCTGGCTCCAAAACAGATCTTACTAAAAGCAAGAGCCACGTAAACCTCAAAGTTCGCCTCCAAAATGCCTCCTCACCTCTCATAGAAGTTCTTTCTCAGCATTGTCTTGCTGTAGTATACCCCATCATCGATTGAAGAAGATCTCGCAGTTTCGATAGCCGAAGAGACGAACTGCTGTCAATTTTCTCAACAGCGCACGGCAGCGTTTCATATTCAGGATCATAGAGACATCTCCTACAACGATCGATGATTATGTTTCGCTTGTTTTCTGATGATATGTCAATGTCGATTTTGCATGAAGCAACGATCACGTTCTTACATTGCTGCAGCCCCACTCCGAGAAGGGAAGGAGCATGAGGACGCAAGCCCTCAAACGCGGCCACCCAACTTAGTCTGAACAGCACAACTGTTATTGTATGATCCAAATCTCTTGTTGGACGCTCTATCCGAAACTGGTCTGACTATTCGTACCCGTGGCAACCAGTCACCACTTGATAGTGTAAAATACATGGAAATCTCCATCGCGTTTGTGCCTTGCCGCCAACAATGATGCCACTCCCCAGAAGATGGGTACCCATAATCTGCTTCTTCATTGCCACAGCCATACTTTGGATCTTCTCACCTATGCGAACCAGATCTCGACAGAGCCTCTTGTGGCTTCAGTTGAATGGCTCGGCGAGCCATGGTACCGAAGAACTCCAACTCGCTGCTGAAGGCAACAGAATATCGAATCACTTGATCCACAAAAATACTTTTCAGCCGGGAACTATCAAGCCAGTAGGACAGCAATATACAAGAACGCTCGTCATACCACGAACATCATCGGAAAATACAGATTGGGTCCAGGAATATTTCCAGAAGGACGAGTACTTTGACTTCAAGTTATACGTTGTAGATGATGTTGGTGCAGCATTATCCATACCAAAGAACAAGGGGCATGAAGTGATGGTATACCTGACATACATCATTGATCATTATCACAACTTATCAGACGTGAACATCTTCATGCACTCCCATCGCAAGGCTTGGCACAACAATGACCTGCTGGATGGTGATGCTGTGCAGGTGGTAACTCGACTGTCATCAGAGAGGGTTCAGAGAGAAGGTTACATGAACTTGAGGTGCCACTGGGACCCTGGCTGTCCAGACTGGATGCATCCTGGGATGGTAGAGGAGGATATTGGGAAGCAAGAGCAGACTATGCTGGCGAGGTCTTGGTCCGAGTTGTTTCCTCTGGATCCTATCCCCAATACATTAGCACAACCGTGCTGCGCACAATTTGCTGTCTCTGGGCACAGGATTCAAGAATTACCATTTGAGAGATATGTCTACCTCCGGGAATGGTTGCTGAGGACGAGCATGTCGGATTATTTCAGTGGAAGAATTTTTGAGTTTATTTGGCAGTTTATTTTCACTGGGAAGAATGTGGCATGTCCTAAGGAGTATGTGTGCTATTGTGATGGTTTTGGGATTTGTTTTGGAGGGGAGAAGGAATATGATGCCTATCAGGAAAAGGTCAAGGAGAGGACACAATTGGAGGAAGAGCTGAAGACATGGACTGATTTAAATGACAAATGGAAGTCTGGTGATAGAGCTGCGGAGCAACCAGAGCCTGGCAAAGACACGGAGCTATTCCAGAAGATCGATGCCAACATTGCTTGGTGCGAACTGAAGCAGAAGGAAGCAAAAGTGCGAGGCGACGTGGCGCAGTACAGAGCGCTCGAAGCTGGGAGGGAATGGAATGACGGAGATGGGTACTGAATGATCATAATGATCACATATGCCCTGTTCTTCTTGTCACAGTACGCTACTCTTTCAAGCTTCAAGAGGTTTCACACGATAGCCCATTGCGATGTTCTTGTGGCGGCTGGAGTCCCGAAACATGACGGAACACTATCATGCCTTACGCCTATCTCATGCACAGGACAGTGTACTTGCCATGACAGCTATTGCTTTTGTTGAGAGTATTTGATGGCAGACTGAGGGGCAGATATCTTTAGAGCTGTCGGCAAGGGGTCGCTCAAAAGAAATATTCATGCATCGCATAAGTTTAGCAGGGAATAGGAATATACTTTGCAGCATGTGCAAGTTGGTGTGCCCCTGACGCCCCTGCCCCCGAACAATTACCTCTCCTCGCAAAGTGGTAGTAAATTTACATCTGGCTTCTGGATCATCAATTTGTGAAAAAGAAGTTAAATAGCATGCAGCTCGCCCGTTACAGAAGTCGTCCACGCCACCAAAATGGTCCCTCCCCAACCGGCAGCGTGATGATCGAGCCCCAGCCGCAGGCGACTGTGTTCTTCAACGTCCTGATCCGGTCCATGCCCTCGGTTCTGTGAGGTTTGTTGTCACATCGCTTTGACGAGTTCCCGGAAAAAGTCAATTGATAGTCGTCCACTCATCTTATCGGACAACTTACCCCCGACTGCACCCTGTCATCCAGCCAAGCATCCTGTTTAGAGCTCCACACGAGCTCAAATTGGGCTTGCGCTTGTCTAGCTTGGGAAATGGGCAGATCAGCAGTCGATCAAAGCATCCGGTACACGAACGAGACTGATGAGACCTTTCGTCATCAGCGTGTCCGTTTGTCAGTCAACAGACACAAGGGAACGTGGAGAGAAGCCAAGGGGAGCGGGGGTAAATGAGAGGAAATTTGGGTTTCTGCTTTGGGATGCAACGCTGCGGTTGATAACCTTAAACCTTCACAGACATGTCAAAGCAGAGAATTGAGCAATTGATAGGCAAGCCACAATACTACCTGACGGACGCTTCGCTTGTTGCCATCAGTCGGGTAGCTCCAGCTGCAGATAGACCGAACCTTGGATTGTGAAGATATAATTTACATTATTAGATGGAAAAGAAGAAAACATGCTTATTGAAGTCAAACGCAAGATTGTTTTGTTTGTGCAAGCAAGCCACTGCGTCATCCACTCCATACCTTTAATCCGAATAGGGCCGCCACCTAATGCATTTCGGGATGATCACGGAGGATAGATTCTCAGAACCCTGCATGTTCCCTGGTCAGGTCCCTGAAGAAGCTCGCTTCCCCTGCCCTGCGCACACCACGCGCTATTGAAGAGGAACCTGGTCTCGTTGTTGATGATCTACATACAGCTTCCACAGGGCCTCTCTTTTGGGAATGAATATACGGGGAGCTCATCTCAATCTGCTCCAGACTCTTGACTCAGGATGCTGGTGCTGTTTGCTGTTTACTGCTGTCCTTCTCTCCCATGCCAAGATGACTTCACGACCTGACTCCATCACAGTCTCAGGGGAAAATAATAATCAAAGCACCCAGCAGCATACCCTCTGTACGGAGAAATTAAATGCTGCGCGGTCAGATGCACCAACGGGAAAAAAAAAACAATCATCGCATCGTAGAGTACTGGGGTGTCAAGATCGAGAGGATCTGATCGATGCTTCTGAATTGCGACCTGTCATCTTTTATGCCCCGCTGTCTGGGGTCACTGCCGGGTGAGAGTGGCTTGTTACCAACGAAGTCGTGCATAAAAGCGACCTTATGTTTACTTCTGCCGATCGTGAAACGTCGTGGACGACATCGCTTGATACTTTCAACTTGCGATTGAAGGAAGAGCAGCCGGGCAAACAGAAAATGAAATATTTATGTAAGGGGTTTTTAATGAAGTACATGCAAACGAAAACACATTCGTCTGATGGGTGCATCGCATCGATTTACGGGAAGTCCAAATGTGCTTGCCGTGCAGGGGATCCTGTCCGAAGTCCACTCTTGCCCTGAGAAGGGCCCGAGTATCGTGAGTTTTGCTGCTGATCTTCAAAATGGAAGACGTCTACAGCACGCAAACGCAAACCTATCCCGCGAATTCAATCCAATAATGGTCGCGGTCATTATTGGGTTTCATCGAAGTGTGTCATTGGCGGGAGGGGAGGATGGTGGTTGAGGTGGACGAAAAGTCTATGAAGCCTACACTGCGACTAGTGCAAATAGTGTCGACCCAGCGCTCGCTCTCAAGTGCAACGGCCACGATCCGATTCTTCAGCCCGTGCCCAAGCCAGTTTGGTCTGCGTCTGCCACTGCCACAAGCAAACACCGCCAACGGCACATAGTCTTTCTTGCCTGGACCCGACTTCGTGCCTGCAGCTTCACGCTGCTGCACGGCAGCCAGGGAGTTCAGGGAGTTCAGGGAGGCCCGGCCGGACCACTTACACCACTTTGGCCCACGGTGGCTGCATCATGGCGAGATGTCAAGCATAGTCAAAAGCACATGCACTGGCAAAGACGTTCACTTCAGCAGATCCCAGGCCCAATCCCCATCCCAGGCCCAATCCCATTCCCAGGGCTGGTCTTTAGTAAGTCTTTCCCCTGTTCTGGATCCCGTCCCAGTTCCTCTTTAGCACAGTGCGCGTCTACATATGGCTTCCCAGCCCCATACCCAGTCCTTGTAGTCTGCCCAAAGCTCCATACCCTCTTCAGCCGCGGCATACAAGACAAGGCACAGACTCTGGGCTTTCCTAGCTACAAATGTCATCAGACGACGCTCTGTTCATATAGCTCACAGTCCGTAGTTTCCCACTCCGTCAAATGTTCGCGAAGATATGAACACTTTTGGACTTCGACGACTTCCGCCCATCCACGACCAGCAAGACCAAGAATCAGAGGCTGGTGCAGAAGTAAAAGACATTCCATTTTATAGACCTCCAAGAATTTCTTCCCGGAAAGACGGGCACGAAAAGTCGAAGAATTTGGACGGTTCAAATCCCATTCCGCATACACACGATCTGGAAGCATTGATCGCTTCTCCACCTCGTTCCCCATTGCGAATTCCGTTCGAGTATAAGTGAGTTTTTTAGGTTTTTTCTTTTTTGTTTACATATGTTGAACGTGGAACGGTGCTGACAATACATGAAAGCGGCAGCAAAGTGATTGATTTTGCTCCTACAAACAATATAGCATCCCACGAGTCCACACGAGAAGAAGAGCAACCACAGCCAGAGGAAATAATGGACCGATTAGACCTTGTTGATCGCCCAGAATCGAGATCAGAATCTAGAGCTGAGTTCAGATCGGAGTCAAGAGGAGAAGCCAGAGGAGATTCCAGAGCAGAGTCGAGAGCTGGTGGTAGAAAAGCACACCGTCGTGCGAATGCAATGCCTTCAATCTCGTCTCCTTCTGAGGAGGAATCTGCAACTCGATCGGCTTCTCGTGCTTCCGACAGATCCTCATATCAGACGAATGCGACTTCCCTCCCGCCCCTCCAACAGAAAGGTGTAGACGAGCATGATCAACTAGAGCCATTGGACGAGGAGGACATAGATCCGGGCTCGTTTGACTTAGTTGCAACTGCACCGGAAGGCATCAAGCCATATTCTTTGGAGACCAGATCAGAGCAGCTCTTCTCAACTGAGCATCTCCAGGTCATTTTCAATGACCCTTCTCTTCTCCTGCGATTCACAGCCTTTCTCAGCTCCCATAGACAGTCTTCTATCCGTATTTTGATCTACTATCTAGATGCGATCAAGGCATTGAAAGCAATCAGCTATTCGAATGCAATCGCAGAGGCTTTGGAGCCCATCAACGGATACGATTTCACCGCTGCCAGGAATATTAAGACGATCAACAGTGCGCTCGAGGAGAAGGCGAAACAGGCTTTCGGTGTCCTTGTTCGAGAGGATCTGCCGGCCTACATCACGCACACTTATTTGCAGACTGTTAGTTTGTCAATTCAGCGAAGAGTAACTGGAACCTTGCCACCAAATCTCAGAGAGGCTTCGGAAGGTCTTGCCGAAGTATTTTGTCTAACGGATCCCTCAAGACCAGACAACCCGATTGTCTTTGCATCTGAAGGTAAACTGTCTAGATCAATTGGGAAATGAACAATCTAACAGTTGATCAGAATTCCATAGAACGACCCAGTACGGCATGTCTTATGTCATTGGCCGCAATTGTCGATTTCTCCAAGGCCCAAAGACGAATCCATTCAGCGTCAGAAGAATCCGGGAGAAGATTGAAGCTGGTGTTGAGCATTGTGAAGTCTTCCTCAATTAGTAAGTACTTCCAGGAAAATGATTCGGCGCATTCTAATCATTTGTCAGTCGACGCGATGGTTCACCTTTCATGAATTTGCTCATGTGTGCGCCTCTTTGCGACAGCCGTGGTACAATCCGATATTTCATTGGTGCTCAAGTTGATGTGTCTGGTTTGGTCAAGGAATGTTCCGACCTCGAATCTCTGCGACGTGTCGTGATTAAAGCAGAGGAAAATGAAACCCGCGACCATCATGATGATGACCTGGAGTATGTTGCTGCGGATTCAGCTCCTAAAGATGAGTTCCAGGAGCTTAGCGAGATGCTCAATCTTCAGGAACTGGATACAGTCCGAAGATGGGGAGGGAGAATGCACAAGGAGGCACAGGAAGAGACACAGGACACTAATTACCAAACTGGGAACTGGGGCAAGCCTCGCTTGTTGATCAATTCGACCAGTCCCGATGGACCACCTTCATTCTCCAAACCCTCCAGCCGAGGCAGCGGTCGACTCAGTGGAATTTACGAGAACTACCTTCTTGTCCGACCGTACCCAAGCCTGCGAATCTTGTTCGCAAGTCCCAGTCTTCGAGTGCCTGGTATCTTGCAAAGCCCTTTCATGGCCAAGATTGGAGGGTCGAATCGTGTTCGTGACGAATTGACACAGGCATTGGCAGATGGCCGTGGTGTCACTGCAAAAGTCAAATGGGTTTCCAAGTCTGATCTTGAAGGAAGAAACAGGTGGATTCATTGTACCCCCTTGATCGGAAGCAATGGTGCCATTGGTGTCTGGATGATTGTTATTGTCGATGATGAAGCTTCGACGGCCGCGGATAAACGGTTCAAAATGGCACCCCCTGTGGATCCCAAGTTCGGTCGGTCTATTCCTGCACACAAGGATGATAACGGCAGTCTTCGGGATTTCGCAATGATGAATGGCGCTAGACATCGCAATGAAAGCATACGGGACAGCAGCAGTGTTCTGAGTCACCACGAGACGGAGAGAAGTGCCAGTCCATACTCTTTGAGGATCTAAGTCGGGCAAAGACGAGAGTGATTTCATGAGAAGAAAATTGAGGAAAAAGGAAAAAGGAGGTAATCTGTTTCACTAGCCTGGGCGGTTTGTTTTTGATGCAGCTGTTGCTCCATGATTGGTCTGGGCACGGGGACGGAGCGTGTTATACCACATGGCGTTGATGGCTGCTACTTATTTTGCTATTATTTTGTTGTTTGGCGGGAGCTACAGGACAGAGCCCGAGAAAATTATTCTCATGTACAGATAGAGAGCTTCATTCACATGAAAGAGATTGTTACATCTCTTAGCTGATACCAAATTAATATATACTTATATCTCACATGACTGTGAACTTCAGACGTCCTATGATTTTTATATTGTCAGCTTTCAATATGCATGTGTTATTTGCTTCTCCTTTTGCTCAGTGGCTGTGGCTCACATCAGGGGCGGCCTCGCCAACGGACAGCGGCGAGCTCTTCTGAATTCGTGTTAAGCAGTCGAGGAGTCGTGGCATGCATAGAGCACCAGTTGACTGAGGCTTACACGCAGAACATTTTTCAGTTCATCATCGTATTCTCATTATTTGAGCTCCTCCTCTGCAGACTCAAACCCCCAGCCTCTTCTACAACTCGTTTAAATTACACCTTCCTCCTCACCACCTGCGTCGCATTTCCACTTGCACTTCCTCCAACATTTCCATACACAATTCCATCCTCACTCGCCTGCTCAGCCCACGTACTCTTCAACCCCCAAACCTCCACCCCAATAACAGTCTCCTCGTTCAATCCCCCAGCCCTAATCTCAACTGTATCCAGCACGCCCTCGGGATAAAACGTCACTGTCCCACTGCTTCTTCCGCCATCCAAAAACACCTCGAGAATACTCCTGTCGATAACACCCTCTAGCGTGAATGTTCCATCTGGGTTAAGCACATTGCCGATGGAGAATTTATCCGTGAAGAAGGGGTTGGTTTGCCCGAAGCCGAGGACGTTGGCCCGGGAGAGCCAGAATGGATTGTCGCCACCGAAATAGAATCCACCAGAAACAGACTCCCGCGTGGACGAGGAGGAGAACGTGAAGTTGAGTGTACCCTGTGCGCGTGAGAGAGCAGGGAGCTTAGTCACGTTGACGCGGAAGTAGAGAGCGCCGCTGGACACGGAGCTGTAGGAGGCGAGGAGGGTGTTGTTGCCGAGGGAGGCATTGGTGATGAGGGGTTCTGGGAGGAGGATGGGGGACAGGTCGTAGGGTGTGCTGATTAGAGCCCAGCCTGTGCGGGTGGCGTTGGAGACGAGGTAGGAACGCCGGGGAACGCCCATGGCGGAACGCCAGCCTTCTTGGGTACCGGTGGGCACCTGTTGGGCGTATTGCCAGTTGGAGGACCATGCTGCGAAGGGTGTTAGTGGTACGATTCGATGGCGTAGTGTATTTGGAAGAAGCGAGCAATGGAGAGGAGACGAGAAGTGAAGAGTTGGAGCTGGGACAAAAGCTTACCGATGAAAACAGGATCAGCCTCTTCAGGCAATCCATAGAAGAACTGCCCAGCATAACTATCCTTTCCAAAATCCGCAATCCTAGCTGCTCCGTCCACAGCCTCAAAATGCGTCCCGTTGAAACTTCCAGGGAAGTATTCCGTGATCGAACCACCCAAAGGCGCACCAGGGTTAACACTGATCGCCAACAGCCACATCTTGTCTCCGCCTAGCACAGGCATGGAGACCAAGTTCGGGCATTCATATTGCAGGCCGAGAAGACCGTGCGATGTGAAGTTCGAGGCGTGAGTCCAGGATTTGAGATCAGGGGAGGTGAAGATACCGATCACGAATTCTTGGGCATAGGCGATAACCATCACCCAGTGATCCTCGTACCAAATGACTTTCGGGTCACGGAATTGGGTTGATGGTGGAGAGGCGCGGAGGACGGGGTTGGAGGTGTAATTGGTGAAGGTGTAGCCGCCGTCGAAGGAGTAGGCAATCTCTTGCGTCTGCTCGGCTGCGGTGTTAAGTGTGTAGATTGCTACTACGCCATCTGTCTGGTTGGGGAAGAAGCCGGATGTGTTGTTTGTATCAATCACGATGCTACCGGAGAAAATCTGGGAATTGGGGGTGGCGAAGATGGCGATCTTCTCGTTTTGCCAGGTGTAGAGATCTTTGGATGTGGCATGTCCCCAGTGCTGGTTTCCTGCTACTGTTGAGGTAGGGTTGTCTGGTTTGTGTGTTAGCATGGAGTGTTCTTGTTGTAGTGGTGGAGAAATTTACATTGGTAGTAGAGATGCCATGTTCCATTGCTGTCCAAGAAACACCCATTCGGGTCATTCATGAAATTACTGGGTGGTGAGAAATGGACCTGTGGACGCCATTGGCCATTGTAGTCACCTGCTCGCCAATTAATATATACTTTTGTTAAACCTTGACCCCATGGGGTAGCCGAGAGCAGCCTTTTGAAAACACAACACTTTATGGGAAGAGGTGCTAACCTGGAATGGGCGCATCTGTCGGAACTCCAGCATCGAATGCTGTAGTCGTTGCAGGAGTAAGAGCGGTTGAAGCGTTCTGTGCAACTGCAATCGCAGCAAAGGCAAGACTTAGGAACAACATGATGGTTGGGATCGATTGGCTTGGGCTCTGACGAACTGGGGAGACAGTTTCGAGGCGGGATGAAGTACCGTCTTTATAGCTTTCTGACGGCACGTCTTCGCCTTCTCGATCGAGTAGGCAGTCGTACTCCATTGCAGTAGTCATTTTCAGATTGACTTTTTACTCTTTACCCATTCTCCTCTTCCTTCTCCTCATCTGACTAGGAAGCACACAGGTATGACGGGGGTTTACCAAGGAGCAGCCGCTTGACAGGCCCATCTCCAATCTCCAGATTCCCCTCACTGGTAATTTTCTGCGGGGTCTGGGACCAGCACTCTTAAGTCTTGCCAGTAGGAAAGGAGGGGTAGGTTGACAAGCGGGGAGAAGGCGAGCGAGCGGCTCCAAAACATGGATGCAATCGTCAATGACAAGGAGACTAGCACTCGTCGGACCGACAAGCACGACTGAAAAGTGGCCGTCGGGCTGCTGTCGTGCGTCAGGGAAGGGACTCACGACTCACGGTCCTGGTGGGAGTATGCCGGGTGAACTACACTACACCGTCATCGCGGCTGGACTTTTCGGGTGAATTATTCTCGTCCCATCCATGGCAGAGACTGGCAGAGACTGGCAGAGACTGGCAGAGACTGGCAGAGACTGGCAGAGACTGGCAGTCGATGCCAACAATTGGAAAACTTGGCGAGGGGGAGGCGGCGCCGCGGCGGATACAGTACATATTCTCCTCTCCATGGAGTACCCGAGTACCCTTGCTTCGTACCTACCTAGGTAAACATGCTCGCATCCTAGCAACTTTATCCAGTAAATTTATCTGGGTTTGATTGTCTAACAGCAGTCCAGCACTTTACTTTCCACTCTGAAACTCATAACAGCGGCAACAGATCCAGAAACCCCATAATAAAAAGTCGCGATGTTGTGTTCCATTGTCATGAAAGTCTCAAAGCCCCGCCTCCACCACCTCTTTACGCGCTTCAGAGCAGCGCATCCAATCGTTCCGTCCCTGCGACCCCCCGAGTCCAGCCCTGACCACTCGGAAGACGGCCTGTCGCGTCTTCTCATTCATAACAAAGAGCCACCAGGGGAGCGAGGGGCGAGCCGATGAAACGCTTATTACTGTATTGGGTATTTGTTTTGATCTGGCCTTGCATTGACATGAGCCCTGAGGAGCAGAGTCGCGATGTCGACCGCGACGTGAGGTCTCCTTGACGGTCTCTGCTCTGGTAGCTGCTGCACCATGGTGGAGAGGGATATCGAGCGTGCTTTGGTACTATCCTCTCTTAACTCAGCATTGTGCTTCTCTTCTTCATCTTCTTTCTTCAAATTGCGAGTTCGCAACCTTACAACAATTCATGTTCTGGGTTGTCGTTCTGGCTGGCTGAAAAGTGAAGTCGTCTATCGTGAATTGCAACGTGCAACTGGCTTAGGGCGCTTGATTCGGCTTAGCGTACTCCGGACTTCGAGTTCACAACCTCCCCTTACGCATACGATTGTCGAGCTCCCGCCTGCACGAACAACAATAACGACGCCCAATTCAACCTCTCGCGGACTACGGCTGTTGCGTGTGGTGGAGGACTCTTGCCGGCAATCTTGCAGTCGATGCAATTGTGAAGAAGGCTGAGAAGGACAATAATCATCGCTTGGGGTCGGAGAACGAGGCGATTGCGGTGGCAGGGCAACAATTGATTGTCAATAACAACATCTCAATTCCACGACTATTGCGCGTAACGACGAGCTTGCTTTCTTCGGAGCTTCAAACATTTGTGGACGGTCAACCAGTCGAGACCGACTCACCAGAGGCTGTAGAGCAGCGGCAGATCTGAAATCGAGCTCGAGACGGATCTTCGCAACTCATTCCTGCTTCAACCAAACAACACCATGGGGGCCCAAGAAGAGCTGTTCACCTCTGTGATATCTCGTGCGCATATTGCAAAAGCTGCAAATTCTCTCAATACACCGCCTGTGGCTACTCCACCCCGCAGCGCTACCCCTCGTCCAGCGGGCGAGAAGAGGAAATCAGATCGGAAGGCGGCAGAGGAGAATGCGCGACATGGAAGATCTTCTGGGACACCTGGTGCTTCAGCGATCGATGCGAATGACTTGAGCAAAGCGCTCTTGAAGGAATTTGAAGATGCTGGAAGGCCGCGAGATGTGACGCCTGGAGGAAGCCCAAGCAGAAAGCGGCAACGAGTGTATGGTGACAGGTGAGCACGTTACTTTTCTGTCAAGGAATGTGGCTGGGCTGGAGGCTGCAAGCTGCGAAGAGAAGGCAGATGTCATAGGACGACGCAATTGATCTTCAGACAGTCAGCTTCCTGTGCACCCGCTGTCACTTCAGCTCTGGCGTGGCGAGTAGGATTTGGGAACATGCAAAATGCTGACTATTGCAGATTCATTCCGAATCGAGAAGGACAGGATCTTCAAGCCAGCTTCAGTCTACTTCATGATGATGGATCTCCGGCAACTCCCTCTAAACAGAAAAAGCGTACTCCTCATGGCGAGCTTCATTTCCAAAAGAGTAAGCAGGAGAAGAATTATAAAATTCAACCCTTTTCGCTGACTTAATCTTTTAGCTGAAGAAGCAAACCGAACATTTTCGACGTTACTTCGACATGAGATCTTTGATACGACTATCCCACAACCCACACCCCCAGATCTCTCGCCAGATCCCTCCCGCTTACCATCATCTCATTCGACGACCGTTCATGACCCGACACGCTCACATACACCCCCTAATAATACATCTAATACATCTCTTCCAGCCTCTATGACACCCTCGACTCCTCACAAGAACCTCTTTACATATATGTCACCGAGACATCACACAAATATTGCTGGACACCCCACCCCCTCAAGGACACCCCAGAGTCGACATGGCCCGCATCTTGACTCCAGGTCAGAGCTTTACAGTCTATCTCCTGTACGACTTGGCAGCCAGCAGATGTTGTTGAGCCCGAGGAAACAGCCCCGGGCTGTGAGCAAAGTACCCTACAAGGTTCTGGATGCACCAGATTTAGCGGATGATTTCTATCTTAACCTTGTAGACTGGGGCAGTAGCAATGTGCTTGGTGTAGGACTTGGAAGCTGTGTGTACATGTGGAATTCACAATCTGGTCGAGTCAACAAGCTATGTGAGCTCCAGGATGATACTGTCACGAGCGTGTCTTGGATTCAACGAGGCTCACATATTGCCATCGGCACTGGGAAAGGATTTGTTCAAATCTGGGATGCCGAACGAGTACGGCGACTAAGGACTATGACAGGACATACGGCACGGGTCGGAGCACTTGCTTGGAATGATCATATTCTCACCTCTGGCTCTCGTGATCGATTGATATATCATCGCGATGTTCGTGCACCGGATCAATGGCTCCGAAAGCTTGTAGGACACAAGCAAGAAGTCTGTGGACTACGGTGGAACTGTGAAGATGGGCAGCTTGCTTCTGGTGGGAACGATAACAAGCTCATGGTCTGGGACAAGCTGAACGAGACTCCTCTCTGGAAGTTCAGTGAACACACAGCAGCTGTCAAAGCAATTGCCTGGTCACCTCATCAGCGTGGACTTCTCGCATCTGGAGGTGGAACAGCAGATCGAAGAATCATTTTTCACGATACATTGCGAGGTACCGTCGTCAACGAGATTGACACTGGATCCCAAGTCTGCAACCTCGCTTGGAGTAAGAACAGCAACGAGATTGTCAGCACGCACGGCTACTCCCAAAATCAAATCGTCGTGTGGAAGTATCCCAGCATGAGCCAAGTTGTGAGCCTAACAGGGCACACCTACCGTGTCTTGTACCTGGCCATGAGTCCTGACGGACGAACAATCGTAACCGGTGCGGGCGACGAAACTCTACGCTTCTGGAACGTATTCGGCAGGAAACCCGGACAAAGAGAGGATGGCGACGCAGGGGGCGGTGGAAAGCTTGGGGACTGGGGTGTGATTAGATGAGCGGCATCATCGCTCGTATCTTGGCTTTTGCGCTCATGGCTGTCATCCGCAAGACATAGATGGCGGAGGTTTGACAGGTGAATGGAGGAAGAGAGGCAGGCGTGGAGTGATCTTTCGAACAAGCATAACTGGCGTTTTCGGAATGTGCTAATATGGTACTGGAACAATGGGGTACACTATGGGACATGGTTCTGGTCTGGTTTACATTACGCATTTTCATGAAACGAGCGAGCGAGTGAGCGGCAACCGGAATGGGTTATTTTTGGGATCATTTGCTGTTTTGCTTGTTGCCTTTGCTTGCGATTTGAGCATAAGCAAATGCAGAACATATGTGTGTCGCGACCGCCGTCATATCATATGAGGCTGGCTGGTTGACACGGTGGCTAGATGGATGCATGCATGGATTCAGAGAAATATTCTACGCCGATAGCTAGGCAGGCTCTGTTTTGTGCACCTTGATTGACAAGCAGCTTAGCTGAGGTAGCAAGCTCGCTAGCTAGTGAGAATGCAGGACACTGCGAACGTAATCAATCTCAACTACCTAGATATCGTACACTTCGAGCTCCTTATTTATTCACAGGGTTGTAAGTGGTGATGTGAGAATCATCATTGATTTCAATTGGAAGTGGGGTATTATCATAATATCTTGAAACTGATGGACTACTATTCATTCATGCCTCATCAAAACAGACTAAGCGAAACAAACGATGGCGCCGTGGTATATCCTCCAACTTTCCCTGCCTTCCATTCTCGATGCCGAAACCAAACCAGACCCAACGCAATATACTGTCATAAACCATTGCCAAACCACAATTCGCTCCTTGTAAGGGAATATACTCTAGCTGCCCCCTGACATTTCATTCAGAAGGAGCTTGATACTGAGAAAGTTTAAACCCAAAATAAGAGATAGAGAAAAGCTCCAGAATCATTGAGGCAGGTCTCCAATCTTCCGCTCGCGTGCCACGTCCCTCGCTCCTCCATCCATGTCCATGCCCGAACTGCCTCCTTGGTCGTTCAAGAGAGGTATTCTATCAATACTCCTGCTCCGGGAATGGCCTTTATCCCCACCGTCACCCTCCAGTACAGCACCCAGCTCGGCACCTCCATCCGGCCTCGGCGTCATCAGCGGCGAGGTGATCATGTCCGGACTATTCTGCCACTTCAAGACCTCCTTCTTCATAGCCTCCAACTCGTTTTGAAAGCGCTTCCCAAACACGTCAATATAGTACGTCGCACCATTGTACACCGACCAGCAGAATACCGCCATCAGGAAAGTGGCTGATGCGTAACGGTACCAGAACCATATAGGGCATGGCAGCATAGTGGCCACGGCGTATGAGTACTGGATCATCATGAATGCCGGTTCCTGGAGAGAATTAGGGAGGGACAGCACGAGCTTGCCAATCCAGGCTTTGGAATAGGACTTTCGCAGCCATGTGAAGGATGTTGGACGCCCCGCTGCGATCTTCTCGCGGCGCCGGACAGTGATGAGGAAATGGTAGGAGAGTTGCCAGATTGCGTAAGGAATGGTGGACCAGAGTGTCATTGCCAGCAAGCCGTAATGTGTCTTCGAACCTGGTGGTGAGGTCTTGATCGTCCAGATTGCTGGGAATCGATCGTGTTGGTGGGCTGGTGTGATGAGATGGACCAAGCAATGCAGTGTCACGCAGGGCATGATGTGGATGAATAGACTGGTGACTTTGTCGAAGCTGTGGAAGACCATGCTATTCCTCCACATGGCAATGGCGATGGCATTGTTTCCGAATGCCAGGCAGTAGGTGCTGATGAATAGGCGTTTGGAGTTCGGGAAGAACCATATTGTCAAGACGCACATGAAGTTGACAAAGTAGCAGAGGTCTGCTAGGAAGTAATGGTAGCCTCGTTTGTGATAGGTGTAGTATCGGATGGGCATGAAGTAGAGAAGTTGAGCCGTGTACCAGTAGTGGAAGAATTCGGGGTACCCTCCGATCAGATATCCGCTGATGAGAACGTTCAACACACCGCAAATGAATGCGATCTTCTCTCGAGCCGTGACGAGCTTGGTATCATTCCAACGTCTTCCTAGCCTGTCGACATTCTCGCGCATCTTCTTTCTGTACCTGTCCAACTGCTCGTCTGCCGTTGGCACACGTCTCCTCCATTGTTCCACCACACGATCTTTGGCATACGAGCCCCGCGTTTTCAAAGCATCTCGTTGCTTTCGAACCTTGTCGGTTTGTGCTGATATGTTGCGTTGAAGCTTTTCTAACTGTTGAGGAAGTGCGAAATTGTCTAGTAAATCAAAGACTGTAAGTCTCTCAAGTGGGGGAAATGCTTCCCAATCCTCTTGATATGATGAGCTTCCTGAGAAGGACGGGTTTCGTGAGAGTCGCGGGCTTCCGGGAGTTGACGAGGACATGACAGGTGTTTTGCTTCCATCAGGCGGCGAGGAGCCCGTTGAAGCACTTTGAACGCGTGCCAACTCTGGAGATAATCTGCCGCTGTCTATGGCCTGCTCAGAGCCTGGTATGGGTATAGGTTCCGACATCTCGAATATAGTACGGGTGTGGACAGTGGATGAAGAGACCCCGAATGAGACCCTTCGAAGAAGACTTCCTCCTTTTAAAACTAAACCGTCAGCCATGGGAATTGTGTTGATTCCAGAGCATGTAAATAAAAGAGCAGAAGGACTGGTTTCTGTCCATGAGAGCCTTATGCAGCAGTAGCTTACCTCGGAGTAGGATCTGAGTAAGGTAGTCGTTCTAACGTCAACTAGGTTGCTCAAGTGATCAGAAGCGCGACCGCATGTGGCCAAAATATGCGGTGAATCGATTTCGGCAGCTGAAGATTAATAAGAGAGGCTAGAGCGGATGATACAGCGTTGTAGAGGAGATAGTTGCGCGTGGGCGATGGCGATATCTACGCGTAAGTGGTTGGAACCGTGTAGTTGAAGGTCGTGAGAGAATGGTTGGCTCAGAATCGTCTATGGTGCTGGCTTTGGACTCGACGTTTTGCGGATCGTGCAAAACATTGAATAAAGAACCTTGCTGCTTCGGGATTATGTTCTTTGTGGGATACCCTTCGTACGGTTATTGCATTGAGACATGTGTCATGGAAAGGAAAGTCACAAGCAGGCAAGGTTTCATTTGGGAGCTCTCTCACGCCTCCGTCATAGTACAGCTGAATCCCCATAACTTTTGGCACAGCGGCCCGTCGATTTTCCGACTTGATACACGTGACTGTAGACACTCAGACAAGCGCGACCATCTCGACGCGATCGCGACTTCCAAATGCCTCTCCCTCCTGACCGCATCAACAACCCCTCACCTTTGACGTCGCCGCCTGAGCAAGTTCGAGGTCCAGAATCTTGCGCTGTATTTCAATGCGCTTGGACAGAACAATTTCTCCATTGTGACCACTTCAGTCGACAATCCCACCTCGCAAAGAGCGCCCCTCTCTCCATATCGAAAACGCGTCAGATTCAACATGGGAAAGTTAATACGACTAGAACTCTTCAGTAAGTCGGTCGCAAACCGTCTTGAATCCCTGGGCTCACAGGTGTATAGACTTCAAGTCCTATAAGGGCCATCACACTCTCCTTTTCGGCGATTCCTACTTCACATCGATTATCGGTCCCAATGGCTCGGGAAAATCGAATTCGTAAGTAGTACAAGGCGAATCAAGGAGTGTCTATACTGATTCAATGCAGAATGGATGCCATTTCTTTCGTGCTTGGTATCAAATCATCCCATCTTCGCTCCGCGCATCTTCGAGATCTTGTCTACCGCGGCCGCGTTCTGAAAACCTCCAAGATCAATGATGATGGCTCTGCGGCTGCACCTGCCGCAAATGGCAATGCGAATGGTGATGGCGAGGCATCGGATGAGGAGACACAGTCTCAGCGTCCTGGTCGAAACGATCCGAAGAGCGCGTGGGTGATGGCTGTCTACGAAGATGATGCTGGAGATGAGCAGAAATGGAAACGCACAATTACCAGTCAAGGATCAAGCGAATACAGAATCAACGAGCGTGTAGTTACTGCGCAACAGTACAACGAGTCGTTGGAGACTGAGAATATTCTGATCAAAGCCCGAAACTTCCTTGTCTTCCAGGGAGATGTTGAGGCAATCGCGTCGCAGTCACCAAAAGATCTTACGCGATTGATTGAACAGATATCCGGAAGCTTGGAATACAAGGCCGAATACGAGCGCTTACAGGAGGAGTCGGAACAGGCTGCTGAAAATCAGAACTACAACCTTCACCGACGCCGTGGCATCAACTCCGAGATCAAGCAATATCAAGAACAAAAGAAGGAAGCCGAAGCATTTCAAGCGAAGGCAGACGAACGCGACGACGCAATTGTCACTCACATCTTGTGGAAACTTTACCATTTCCAGCGCGTCATGGAAGAGTCAACCGCCAGTATTCAGGAACATCAAGAGAATCTGAAGGAGTACCGCCGAGGTGTTGAGAAGTACGAGAAAACCCTCGATGAAGCCCGCCAAGCTCAGACCAAGGTCAGCAAAGATGTCGCCAAGGTGGAGAAGAGTATCAAGAAAAAGGAAAAGGACGTTGAAGCCAAGGAGAATGACTTGGTCCCGATTGTTGAGAAGGTCGATGTCAGCAACAAAGAAATTGTGATGATCCGGCGGAGGATCGAAAGCGTCATTAAGGAACGCGATAGTCAAGTCGCGGCAATTCAGAAGACGAAGAAGGATTTAGCGACCGTCGAGAAGGCCGAAAAGCAGTTCGAACTCCAGTGGCAAGAGACTTTGAAAAAACAAGGGAAGCAGCTGAGCGAGGCCGATTTCAAAGAATACAACAGTCTCCGATCTCAGGTTGTTGCCAAAACCGCGAGCAATCAGTCCAAGTTGGACAACCTAGTCCGACAAATGAAGACGGATGAAGTCACCGTCAATAGTCTTAAGGGAAAAGTCGAGACCCTTCAGGCTGCCGTTGAAAAATACGAGGCCGAAGTTGCTTCTATCAACGAGCGGAAAGAAGCTACGAAGCTGTCCGTGAAAGAAATCTCCAAGAATATCGACGCCAAGAAGAGAGAGTTCAACCACATCCAGTCTGAACGAGTACGAATTAATCAACTGCACACGGAAAAGGAAGAAAAGCTCCAAGCTCTGATGAAGACGATCGATGAAGCAAATTTTGGTCGAAGACAAAATGCAAAGGAGCAGCGGACCAAAGACACAATTGTTGCGCTCAAGCGCCTATATCCTGGAGTCCGTGGTCGTGTCGGTGATCTTTGCAAACCAAAGCAGAAGAAATTTGAGGAGGCCGTCAGTACTGCTCTGGGTCGAGACTTTGACTCCGTGGTTGTCGACACAGAAAAGATCGGGACAGAATGCGTGCAATATCTCAAGGACCAGCGAGCAAGCCCTATGACCTTCATTCCCCTCGACAACATCAAAGTTTCCGCTCCAGACGCCAATTTGAAAGGCCTGTCTAAGGCTCGCCTGACAATAGATACCATTGACTTTGATTCCTCCTTGGAACGAGCCATGGCCTATGCCTGTGGAAGTTCTATTGTTTGTGACGATCTGGCAACCGCCAAGGATATAGTTTATAGGAAGCACATGCAGGTCAAAGCCGTGACTTTGGAAGGATTCGTTATTTACAAGGACGGACCAATGACGGGTGGTCGTCTTCCTGAGAACAAAGGCAGCAAGCGAAAATTTGGAGATGATGAGATTGAAAAGCTGAGAGCCCAGGCTGAGAGGTTCCGAGAGGAGATTGAGGCACTTCCTAAAGTCAATCGGAGAGGCACAGCAGAGGAGGCACTTCAGAGTGACCTGGGCGCTCTCGAACAGCGTCTAGCTTATGCCAAAAGTGAGCTGGCTGCGTTTGAGCAGAATCTCACAAGCAAGAAAAAGGAGCTGGCAAATCAACAGCGCCAACTGCAGGAGATGACACCCAAGTACAGAGAAAAACAAGGTGAACTCGAGAGCATCACAGATACCGTCAACGAGTTCAAAGAAGCTGTCGCCAAAGTTCAAGACCAGATCTTTGCTGGATTCTGCAAGCGGCTAGGCTACTCAGATATTCGTGCATACGAAGCGCAGCAGGGTAGTCTAGAGCATGAAGCCGCCGAGGAGAAGAACAAATTTGTCGTACAGAAGCAAAGATTAGCTCGCCAAGTCGAATGGGAGTCTAATGAGCAAAAGGGAACGGATCAGCGAGTCAGGAGATTGGAGGATTCTGTCGAGGCTGTTGAGCGACACATTGAAGAGCTTGGTGAAAAGAAGCAAACCCTTGAGAATGCTATCGATGTGGACCGAGCGCAAATTACTGAACTCGAAGACGAGGTACACAAGTTGAAGGAGAAGCTTGCGGCGAAGAGTGAGAAGGTTAACCAGGCACGCAGCGAACTGCAAAAGCGAAGCAAGGAGATCGACAGCCGGACCAAGGCTATCGCATCCTTGGAGACCGAAGTACAGCGCAACGCTTCTGGCAGATACGCCTTGCTTCGACGTTGTAAGCTGGAACAGATCGCAATTCCTTTGACGGAGGAGTCGAGGAAGCTCGACTCGCTCCCTGTTGATGACAATGTCCTTCAAACCGACCCTGATGCGATGGACGTAGACGACGAAGATGATGAGGCAGCGGGGGAAGTAGTCAAGGATTATGGCATTGAAATCAGCTTCGAGGATCTTGAAGAGGATCTGAAAAAGGTAAGTCAATACATCATTCTTGTTGACTTGTCCCTAATGATATGGCAGCCTGATGAAGAAGAGGTCGAGGAACAACTGTTGCAACGAATAGCCGACCTAACTTCGGAACTTGAAAAACTCAATCCCAATATGAGAGCTATTGACCGCCTGGACGGTGTTGAGGCTCGTCTCAAATCCACTGAAAAGGATTTTGAGGATGCCCGGAAAGCAGCTAAGAAGTCAAGAGAAGCCTTTCAAGAAGTCAAAGAGAAGCGCTTCGATCTTTTCAACAAAGCGTTTACACACATCTCCGAACAGATCACTCATGTTTACAAGGACCTGACACGATCTTCGGCTTTCCCTCTCGGAGGTCAAGCATATCTTGATATTGAAGATAGCGACGCGCCCTACCTGTCAGGAATCAAGTACCATGCCATGCCTCCTTTGAAGCGATTCCGCGATATGGAGCACCTTTCGGGTGGAGAAAAGACGATGGCCGCCCTTGCACTTCTATTCGCGGTTCACTCGTATCAGCCAAGTCCTTTCTTCGTACTTGATGAGGTCGATGCTGCGCTTGACAATGCCAATGTCGAGAAGATCAAGAATTATATTCGGGAGCATGCTGGTCCTGGAATGCAATTCATAGTTATCAGTCTGAAAACTGGTCTTTTCCAGGGTAGTGAGAGCTTGGTTGGTGTATTCAGGGACCAGGAGGCCAATAGCTCCAAAACTTTGACCCTCGACGTAAGTTGTACTTATTCTAAAGTGATATCAGCATACTGACTCTAGTTTAGCTGCGTAAATACGTCTGATTTTTACTTTGCATTTGGTTTCGGTTCATGGTTGAGGAGTGGGAAACTTGACAGTCTCGCTGGCGGTGGCAAGTCGTCGGCATCAAGCATGATTACGAGGAAGCAGGGATCTCGAATGAGGTGGGGGGTGGTATATATGTTGGATGTAAGTGTTTCTACCTTGGGGTTCGGAGCTAGGAATTTGCTATGCGGCTCTTTTGCACATGAGACGTTTCTCTGCCAATTGGAGTGGAGAGATGAGGAAAGATTGATCTTTATTTCCTGCCTGTATTCTTGGCCCTATGTCGCTCCAGCATGTGAGCATCTACGCTGTCCTTGGGCAATTAGACATCCCTCACCAAGTGGTCATTGCCTTAAAAGTTGCCCTTGTGCCATCTTGCATTGTCCACCTTTTGGGATAATTGCACAATGAGTTCTGATCACCTTGAGTATCACTGTTTTGCGCACTCCAACCGCGCTCCAGTCAAAATCTGCATTAGCTCTCTCCTACCGACTTCCTTCACTTCGATGCAAGAGTTTCGATGGAGTGTTCCAATTGGATCCCGAATCGCAATTCTGTTTACCGCCAGTACTACATTCAGATTTGCTTAAAATGTCTTGGCTCGAATCTAAGCAGATCGTACGAAGTGGCAGTATGGTGTAAGCGTCGAAGTTTACGTTTCGTCACAGTGCCCGGGAAATTAGTAGATTCATTGTTAGGACAGAGCGGATCTCTGCTCTGCGTTCCGGGAAACTTAAGGTACCGGATTTTCAACGGATCATGCTGCTCTGAGTGCCTGATGAACTAGGTATTCTCAAGGCAGGTTCAGTTCGCACGTTGGCAACCAATCAGTATTAGAACTTCACTTGATGTGAATGCTGCAAAGGTACCTTCGACAATAAAACGTGCTAAAAGTATATTAATAAGTGACGTTGCAATTACTAGTGTATTTCTACAGCAATCCCCCCTTTGTTGATTTGCCAAGTTGTGCTAGTTGTAATGCCCCTACATAACCTGATTCCTAATCAAACTATAGAGGAGTCTTGCACCGGCAAAGACGGCGGGAAAGTATCAAGCTTGATACGAGAGCTTTGAGTGGTAGGCGTGTGAAGTCCAAGGTCACCAGGCGCTTAAAAGCAGGCCAGCAGCTTCCGGCAAATTCTGACTGAGGAGCTCATGCAAGGTCTCAGAAGCGCAGTTTTGGGGTTGAAATCTCTTCCCATTCTAGATCTCAATGATATTTTCCATATTGAGACCTCTTGCTTGAAGGCTTTACTGGTACTTGCCTCCACATCCAGTGAATGGGCTACCTGGGCACGGTCACAATTAATCAATATATAACAACACATGCAGCATTCGAGATAAAGTGGTTCATAGTAGAAAGTGACTTGAAAATATCAGCAACGTGTAATGCAGATGTTGATGTCACGGCTAATACTTCACCCCGACGAGCTCTTGTAAGAAGTATTTGTATATGGTCGATGGGGCTGTGCCTCGTAACAAGATTTTCACGCCCAGGAAAAGCGTTGTTTCTTTCACAATCAGTATCTCGTTTATTATTCGATACAATAATGATATATTGCTACTCGAGTTTGTGAAGCAATCACAAGTCTGTGTAGCTTCCTTCACTCATCACCTTACCAACCTCGACAGAATTCGGTGCTAGCATCCTCCCCGAGTATGACAACCTCCTTCCCATTTGGAACAAACTCCTGATCTTTCCACCAAACATATCCCGCTGTCTATCTATAGTAATTTTATCCCTTGCAAGCGTTCAGCTTACCCAAATTTTCCAACGCCTCCAACAACCGCCCAGGCTCAGCTTCAACCTGAGACACTTTAAATTCTCCGACGCAGCAACCTGCAGCCCGCACCTATCACTTCGCACCCCTCTTTACAGCACACTTCAGCAGCGTTTTCGTGACATTAACCTGTTCCAAGACGTGTTTGCGATCAACTTGTATGTTTGGATGTCACTGAACGGAGACACGCTCTCAAAATATTGTGCATTCATGCCATGCAAGGCTTCTGATCGATCTTCACCTTGTCAACTGCGAAGTATTGGACGAACCGGTTTCAACGAGGCCGCTGATCTTCACGTCAGTGTGCAAATAAATCATACGAGATGCAGAGGTGCTGTGATAGCAGATTGGAGCTTGAATTCAAGGGATGTGGTTCTGATAATTTCCGAGGAAAGCCTCAAAAGTAAAAGTGACTGCCTAGATTTGAAAGTCTGGTAGCGAGGGGTCTGAGAGTATCGATTAATTTTTCCGTCTGGATTTGAAGGTTGTTTTGTTTGATGATGTTTATGCGGTTTAAGCTTTAAGTGTTTAGGGTTCGGTTTGATGATCAAACCCCCAGCCGAACACCCACCTTCGAGAAGGTCTCACAACCTCTCTCCAAAGAACAGATTTAACAGAGAACTGTCTGTCTGTTCAATTCAGATGATTCTCAATGTTATAAGCTTCAGTACATCAGCAACGGATATGTAGTGCAGCCAAGAATTGAAAGCCAAATTACAATTCGAGATGATGCTGCATGCAATCCATTTCCGGGTTTCACTAGCGAGCTGCTTCAATATTGACAACCGTGCAGCCTCCCCATCCCTCCCTTATGGAACCAACGACCCCCACTCCAATGCAGGTAACCGCCCTGATTGACCTCGTTACCAAACTTGTCGTCTGCGATGTGCATCAGAAAAGTCGACTTCTGATATATCGATGTGAGTGCTTCGCTGATTCGAGGTGTTTCTCATGGAAGCACCGAGGTCAAGTCAGGGTCATGTACTGCGCTGCGGAACTTGCATGCAGTTTACAGCTCGCTACCACTCTTTTGGATTGCTACTTGCAACAAAGGCATCTTTGTGACACTGTTTCTCGGGTTGCTTGCTTCTTCTGTTCCATGCGTGTTGAGTCTGACCCGAGTCTCTCAACCCAGCTTAGTATCCGCTCGAGTCAAGAGTTGATAGTTTGAGGTATGGCTTGCATAATCGCAACCACACTTCTGATTTGCTACTTGCAACAAAAAGTTGTTTCTTTCCCAAAACTGAGGCGGGTCATCGTCTTATTCGAAAAGTTCTTCGAGCACAGAGCCTTCCGGACCATAGTTTGATTACTGGCATGCAGTCTAAAGGCTCGCTGCCATTCTTCTGTATTGCTACTTGCAACAAGGGTCAGTCTTTTCGTTATATCCATTCATCGATGGCTATTCTTGTCTACTTCCACTCGGGATGTCTCCCAGCACAGAACGCTCCGGGATGATGGCCCCATCCGCCATTGTCGACTTGCCTGCTTACATACTCCAACATCCTAGGACTGCTGCTTACAACAGAAACAGCATCTTTCTTGTATCCTTAGTCTCATTGCTGCCCTCAATCGGGATACTTCTGAAGCAAAGATATCTCACAGAACGAGTCTACCATCCAATTACATGCACGCCAAATTCGCTACCACTTTTCTAGACTGCTACGTCCAATGTAAGCCACTGTCACCCTTACCTATCCAAGACATCCTTGCATCCCTCACCATAAAAGCCTCTCAAATGGGAATAGCTCGAGTCAGGGCTAGACATTTGAACTGTCGTTTCTGACTTGTCGTATAGCGAAGTGCAACAGAACATCTTGCGTCCTAATATTTAGCTAGTATTCGACGTCTTCCTTCCGATTGGCTTGTGTTTCAAACTTGAGTTCGTAAACACCGCCAAGCAGCCAATCCCAACAGAGCAGAACACACAACAGAAGTCGTCGTCCCTACCACATATCGATCTCAGCTGTCAAACTCTTTACCTTGAATCGTTGACATTAAGCAGAAATCTGGGAATACTAGAGTCATGGGAGTTATCCGATGAGCCTTGGTCCGTGGGTGATCCGAACCGACCTCATCCGAATCAATCTCCCGTCCATATCAAACTCCCCACAATCCTCTGCCGAACAACCAAACTGCCGGAATGCGACATGCAACAGAACTCTATCCAAAGTGATCGCCCGTCAAACATTCACAGTGAAACTCAAATGCGGCCAATGTGACAGATGACTATGCATGGAGACGTGGTCCAATCAAAGTGCACGCAGTATGTTCGAGACAGCTTGGAATGCAAGATGTCTTGAGATGACAGGAAACATCAGAATTTGAAAGTAAATAAAGGAAGATCACCGTCTAAAAATGCACAAATCTACGACTCTTCGCTGATGAAAACAAAATGTCCGTTTCTGCGTTTCACCTTGAAACTGTACCAGATACAAACTTCGAGCCAGGCCAAACACAAACACAAACAACAGCGGCAAGTCGGCGACATGCCAACTCTCTCCGTCATCAAGCATCGCGGCTTAGTCACGGTCGAACTGGAAGATCTCCTAATTGAAATGACATGTCACTCCCACACGCCTTAGATGCAGATCTGCGACCACTCTGGCCCCATGCATGAAGCGAATGGACTCACGTTTGCTCTTTTCTCCTCAGTGTTTAAATTAACCCCAAGGAAGTCTGGACCTGACACGATTTGCAACAAAAATGAAGAAAGTGAAAAGTGTAAATCAGCCAATATACATTTGTGGAGGTCGCTTGACTTAGAAGAGACGGGAGAGACGACGGGCAGACTGCTGTGGCTTACATTGAACTTGCGAAGCCAGCAAAGGGTACAAGACCGACGACTTGATGAAGTATGAACGAGATAGAGGTTACGGAATAATGAGACTGAGATGCATCAAACGAAAACGCGTTAAGCGTCAAAATCAGGCTGTAGGAGAGCCAAATCATGTAAGCTTTTCTCACCAACCCTCACACACACATGTAAGGAAACAGGACAATCGCTTCTGCAAACGGGAGGATACAGAACGAGGCGCATCGGTTCCAAGTTTCTCGATCGCGACATGCAACAAAGAAGACAAACACATTGTTGACCAAATGTGACCTGTTGTTCTTAAGCCTCTTGAAGAGGCGGGAGGTGGCAGGCCTGGAACAGCGTCGTCTGTTGTGTGGCGGATCTAGATCTTGAGCCTGCCACGAGCGTGGCTGCGGCGCTGCGGGCGTGCGTGCTTGAAACCAGGTACAAAATTGCATGTCATGTTGCACAATACCGAGATCCAGTCTACACTGTAGATCGTGTATGCAGGATGATATATGTGGACGGTGCTGACTTCACTGTTTTTGATGGTAATATGTAGCCTGTTAAGATATGTATGCCTATCAAAATGTGAGGTACGCACCCATGTGTACGTCGCTTGCTTCCTGGATATGGCAACTCGACTCTTACCCCTCCACAACATCCTTCTCAACCTCCCATTCCTCCCAAGTCGGTTTATCAAAACCATTCGGCCTGCTCGCCCTCTCAAACCCAACCCTCAACCCTTCCACTGTAACCGGACTTCTACACCAGCAGATATCCTCCCCAAACCCCTTACTGTACGCTGTCTGCATCAACTTTCTCTCAAAAAGCTCTGGATGCACCCTTCGCATGCTCTTTAAAGCTCTCCCACCAACCTCATCAACGCTATCCGCATGTCTAAGCCCAAAGAAATCCTCATCGTGTTCACGACGCACGCGCTCTTTTACTTCAGGGCCGTAGAGTCCTAAACCAAGGAGGAAGACGTCATATTGACAGAGACTAGTTCGCCCTATCCAACTGCCTCCTTCCGTGGCGCGCTTGTAGAGAGCAGTTAGAGCTGCAATGGCTCCCATACATCCAGTACCATAGTCGGACATGGGAAACGGGGGGACAACCGGCTCGTTCAGGCCCATGAATTCGCCTTGCGCCCATGCTACGCCTGTGTAGCAGTCTGCAATTTGTTGCCAGCCTGGTCGACCCGCCATGTCGCCTTTGTCGCCGAAACAGTCTTCCGCAACATAGATTATGCCTTTTCCTCGGCCTTTCGTCAACTCGACGAGCTGTTCCGGTCCGTATCCCAGACGCTCCAGACTTCCTGGTCGGTATCCATCTAGCACTACATCGGCGCTTTGAAGAAGCTCTTCGAATGCTTGACGGCCGGCTGGGGTCTTCAGATCGAGATCACAGGTGTGTTTTCCAGTGTTCCCATCAACCTGGAAGAATGGGACGTCGGAGAGATTGGGAGAAGTGACCTTTATCACCTGTGCACCGTATTCTGCAAGGGTACGGCCGATGGCTGGCCCGGCAATGATACGGCACAGCTCGAGGACACGGATGCCGGAGAGAACTTGAGGTTCAGAGGAGGAGGACGAGGATGAGGAAGTTGGAAATGGGACTGGAGGAGAATCGGCGATCTTACGGACTTCCCATGGTGGAGTGGAGAGAAGTGTTTGGCCCTGGGCTGGGATTAGCTTGGGTTGTTCGAGAGAGATGGTTACGTACATGGTTAGTTTTCTTGAATTCTTCCCATTTGATAACAGGTACGCCTGCTTGCTTTTCCCTTAAGTTCATCTTCTCTAACTCCGGAATAGTAAACTTCTTGACATGGCTCTCGATCACATCGATACATTCTCGGTAGTCTGTCAAATCTGGTCGATATGCTTCCAAACCAATCATATTCAACGTCTTGCCTGCTTCCAGAGATCCATGGATATGATAGTATTCCCCAGGAGTCTTGGTCTCGTACAAGTTTGCAGATAATCTGCGATATAAGATCGCCTGTGCCTGGAGCAAGTCGGTGTCTTGGCACGTTAGAATATATGATTCCACAGTAGGGGCAGAGAACTTGCTCTTTAACTTGGATTTGACCTCAGGATCCTGCTTTCCCATTCCTGCAATCGTTGCTATGTAGGTTGAAAAGAGGAAAGTAGCCGTTCGTTCCAGATCCACCTCTATTTTTCTTTTCGTTGTTTCATTTGGGAATCTTAGATGAGCGAGAGCTGCAACTGCACTTGCCTCCACTGATTTCAGAGCAACAGTTGCTTCGGTTTCCTTGAACGGGCAAGGAAAATATATTTGAGTCCCATCAGTTGCTGTAGTTAAAGTGACATCCTCTAAATGCTGTGCGAATTCCGCTGGAATCTGGTCCCCCGCGACCTTTCTCAGGAAAATGGTCGCTTTCCTACTGCCATCCAGCACCGAATAGGAAGCACGAATGCCGTTTGTGTGACCAAAATGATTATTGACGACCATCGTGCTATTGCGGACGCCACGTTTGCTCCGGCATGACGATAAAAGGCATCATATAAATATGGGCAAGTATCGATGTATTTGAAGGCGGGTATGAGATGCAAGCGGCGGGTAATGCCTAGGTCTGACAGCGGTGGAGGGGAAAGCCGGACAAGATTGAGCCAGGCAACCCTTGATTTAGGAGGTTTGAACAAAGATTACACTACCTGAAATTGGCCTGGCGTTCGGGTTTGACAGTGCACCTGTAGTGATTTTACTTCGAAGCCGGGTACATTAGGTAAGTGTCGGGGGCGTTATCCGATGACGGTCCCTGAAAACTCCACTGTAAGCTCGCCGTAATGCGTCGTTTTGATTATCCCGAGGCGGAGCGCTTCAAGAGAGGGTTTTGCTGAACATGGAAGCCAAAAAGGTTGTAACCGGCATAGGATCGAGATGATATCCTAGAAGTTCTTCCGGGCCTTGATTGATTAGTTACATTGCGTCAAGGAGGGCATCATGGAGGGGTAGTTTCGTGGCGCCGGATATGCCCAGTCCAGACGGGGGTGTTCGCGCAATCGAGAACGCAACATCAACAAAGACGGCTACATGCTGGATCATACCAAATGAATGAGAACGGGCAACAAGTCGAACCGATCACACGGAATAGCATACATGGAGGGGTTTCAGGGCAAATCTCCTGTTTATGCATGCTCCCGCTGATGCAATCCAGCGGAACAGTCGGCAACAGCGGTTCTACAACAGTAACCCCTGTATTCCGGAGGAAAGAGCTGTGAACGAGGTTTGTGAGGGGTTGTATTTTCGGATGTTGGCTATTCGCGATAGGAATCTCGATGTCGGGAGTTAACTGATCAACGAGGTGAAATTGATGCCTGTGCACTTCTTGCACAGGCTTTCTAGTGCTGTCAACTCGCCAGATATCCAACCACTCCATCCACCCGGGCTACTTTGCTCCAAATCAGATCAGTTACCATATTGTAGTTGGCGTTGCAACTCTCGCTTATCTCTACCTCCTGGGTGTTGATGTTGGTTAGGGGTGATACCAAAAGAAACCCGATACAATAACGGATACCGAGTACTCGGGTCCACGAGGTATTGCTTTCTCAACCACATCTGCTTTGGAAGCGACCAACATCAAGGCACCGGATAATGTTCGGGCAATGCAGAGGTTGAGATGCGTGCGCGGAACGTGGCCAAACTGAAAAAGCTTTGTAAAATATGTTTTGATCACGACGGATCTTTCGAACACGCAAACATCTTTTATGAGGCGACAGCTGCGGACTTTTACATATCCAGGGCATCATCTGGTGGCGGCAGGGAAGCCGCAGTATCCATCCTCTGCCATCAGCTGCTGGATCGGGGGGACCTTGGCGACGCAACACCAAACATTCTGGAACCTACCTATCAAGCAAAGCCGTAAGCCGGAATCCGTAGGTATGCATGTCTCACAATATGTATAGAGAGAGAGAGAGAGAGGGGGGGGGGGGGGGGGGGGGGGGGCTGTAGATGAAATGAAAGGTGGGAGTTGTGTTTGTGCAGACAAGAGAGAGCAGGTTGAATTAATGCTAAAGCAGGTGCGGTGCGGTGCGTTGCAACTTTGCTTTTTCATAGTACGAAGGTACATGTCTAGATTTACAGTACAGTGCACTGCATTAGTATAATAAGTTACAGTACCAACGGGACTGTCCCAGGTCATACAGTATAATATTAAATATCAGATCAGAGCAGGCCACGCCAGACCAGGCAAGGGCAAGTGCAGCCCGCCCAGCCAAGCCTAGCCATCTCTTCACATTCCTGCGCTCTACGTAACGTACGTACAGTACAGTACAGTACAGTAACTTGACGTCGCCCGTCAAGAAGCAACTATCAATTGGTAGTCGACCGGTCTCCTGATAATACACGGCATACAATACTGTATTTGCCCAGCGCTTCATCGATCAGTAGACTCGGACTGTGCTTTGTGGTGTCGGTGTCTCTGTGTTCGCCCAGCATCCGACGGACTTGCGTCGCATTCCGGCTTCTCTCCGACCCCTCATCCGAGCAACTCCTCCTCTTTCACCCGCTCTATCGCCTCTCACAGAATTGCTCCTATACCTACAGTACCGACGATATCCCTGCCCTGTCCGATTAACGTTTGCAGTGAGCCGCAGGGTAGGTAGTCTCCAGCTTTCGTCGGAAGCTATCTACTACCCGGAGAGAGAGGAGCAGCCTCACGTTACACATTTATTGCATTGGCCGGATGTAGTTCAGCAGCACAGGCTTTAGTCTGGTCACTCTTGAGGGGCATGGTCAACGATAGAGACAGACGAAACCATGACACGGCCGAAAGTGGACCCTGACAAGCGGATTCGTACGGCCCAAGCCTGCGAATCCTGTAAGCGGAGGAAACAAAAGGTCAGTATTGCTTCTCCTTTACCTCCTGAACCTGATGTTATGTTTCTCGATAAAGAGAAAGCCCACTGGAATTACGTTCATATCACATGATCCATATTTCGATGTGAACACAGCCCACCTATCTGGGTACATCCGTGGCCTACATCGGTGGACATATATGCACACCAGTACATCTACGTCTAAAGCGGGGGAAGTTCCGCCTCGCACCAGATACGTCCAGTTAGTGGGACTGCTGATTTTCATAATCGAGTCCCTGATGCGGAAATTGAATGGCTTGAAGGAGTATTTCATATTGTTTCCACTTTCTGTCTCAGCGGGCGTATTAATATGGACTTCAATGGCGACCATTGCTTGCAATTCTTATACCGTGTAGTGTGTCCCAGTGTGTGCTTATGAATCATACTCTTGGTTCCTCACTCTGAGATTGCACGCCTCTTGTCACTCAATCCGATTTCAGACCTTTCACGAGCGGTTAAAGCTAGTGTAGGGAACCGACGACACTGACGCTGACGGGGTTCTATAGTGTAATGGCCTGCGGCCGTGTCAAACATGTACAAAGCGAAGCCTGACCTGCACATATGGAGAGGAGACCGGATCTGAAGGCATACAAACATCCCCTAAGCGTCGGATGTTGGAGGCTAGTCTGGACGCCCCCAAAAGTGTTACCCTTTCCCCTGGACACGGCAACCGTCTCTCAAATGGGAAGTCTCTAGCTCGACCGGAGAACAAGCAAAATGGAGGGAATGGGATCTCAGATAATGGGGATGGCAGTATCAAACCCCTAGATCAGTACCAGGACGGCCTCTATGGAGGGAAATCTCGGCGACGAGGCTCCAGCGATCGTCACATATCAGACGAAAGCATAGTATTCCACTCTGGAGCGTCGAACAATACCAACGGTCAAGAAGAGGAAGTCGCTGACTATTACGAAGAAGGCCGGATGTTGCAAGATCCAACCGGTAGATTATGTAAGTCTCCACGACTTCAAGAATCCCGACTTTCTTGGTGCAGGTCAAGCCATGCTAACAGGAGCTGGTAGTATATATTGGAGATTCGGCAGTATTGTCTTTCTTACAATTCATCCGAATGATTGTTGAAAGCGTGTCTGGGCACTCTGATTTTACTCAAGACCCGATGAGGCACATGATTGTCGAGAACACTACGTCTTTGCCGGTAAATGTGCGACATACTCACCTTCTTCCAGACAGGCAGACAGCCAATGTTTTGGTCGATTCTTACTTTACAAACGCAAGTTGAACTTGCCCCATTACAAGTGAATTCTTGTTAACAGCACACAGATAAACGGACTAATAGAAGTCTGTCATCGAAAGACTTTTATGACTTCACTCGAACAGTGCTACACAGATCCGCTTAGCATTGACCCAACATGGCTATGTCTGCTTCATCTTGTATTCGCAATTGGCTTGGTCATGGCCTCGCCAACCCCGGGATCGCCAGAGGATTTCGTTATCAAGAAATTGAGAGCAGATAGATCAATTGACAGGGCTGAAGTGTTCTATGCCAATGCAAAACATTTAAGCGATCCATTTACAGGCTTTGAAAATTCTGGATTTTGGAGTATACAGGCCTTGACACTGATGTCTGTTTACATGCTGGCTGTTTCAAAGAGGAATGCAGCTTACGCATTTCATGGTAAGAATATCATGCCTTCCACCGCTGTAGTCTAATTCCGTACAGGTATGGCCGTCCGATCTGCATTTGCAGTGGGCCTTCACAGAAAAGAAGCGATGAATCTCTTTGGCGAGGCCGAAAAGTCTGTTCGCAGGAACCTCTGGCGGACGCTGTTTGTCCTCGATCGGTTCCTTTCAACGTCTCTCGGCCGACCAACCGCCATTCGGGAGAGCGACTGTTCAGGAGACACTCTTCTGACCGGCGAACGAGCTCCATTTCCTCAGGCGCCCTTTCCAACAGCTGCGAATGCGAGTTTTACCAGTCCGAACGCTGTTGGTCTAGAGGCATCAGTCCGCAGTTGCCACGTCATTGGAGTAATTCTGGAAAAGGTTTACTCACAGCGAAAGATTTCAACAAAGCTTGCACAAGAGATCGCAGATCATTGCAAAGGTTGGCCAAAAGCCCTTGATCCAAGTCTGAACCACACACAAGCACATTCCGCTTCACCTAGTCGAGGAATTGCAATATTGCACGTCAACCTGCTCCACTTCCATTCCCTCATCCTGCTAACCCGGCCATTTTTCCTATTTTTGATGAAGAAAAAATACACAGCCCCTGAAGATGCTGGTCAAGGCATTCATGTATCACGGATGGAAAAGTTTGCTATAGCATGTGTGGTTGCTAGTAATCAAAGCATCGCTTTGGTACAAAGTGCAAGAGACAGCGGATATTTGTCACAAAGAAACCCTTTTGTACTGTGAGTTTGAGACATTCAGTTGTGTCGATATGTTGGGCGCTCTTCGCTAACCTAGGCAGATACTTTCTTTTCGCTGCAAGTCTTGTCGTCCTGTCCAATGAGTTCTGTGGTCTCTATCAGAATCCAAACGCCAGCACTTCAATGGTCACTGCCATCAATATCATGCATTACTTCTCTGAGCAAGACCCACAAGCACGCCGTCTACTTGTTATCTTGACATCATTTCGTGATGTCGTATCCCAGGAGCAAACAATGCCAGCCCAAGGACACGACGCCTCTCGAGCAAGTGGGGCCATTCTACCATCAAATCCTGCTCTTATAGAGGAAAACAACGACGCAATGGCAAATCTGTTCCAAGGAGGCTTGCCTTACCCAGGCAATAGTCCATCACTCTCCTCACCCCTAGTTGGATTCAATACCGCACAACGCGAATCTCAGCCAATGTCCTTCTCGACACTGAATAATACCACATCTCAAAATAACAACCACTTTTCTTCTCAAGGTCAACAAGAACAGCGTCCTTCATCTCGCCAAAACTCCATGGACGCCTTCGTAGATCTCGCACGAGTCACAAGCAATCCCAATAGCGGCGATAGCAACGATGGGAATGAGTCCTTCGCCAACGAGGAGATCGATTTTGAAGCCTTCTATAATTTTCCGTATTCAAATAGTGCTGTTATGACACCAGGTCTTATCTCTAGTATGACACCAGGTGGCATACTTGGGGAGTCACAATTAAGACCAGACGAGATCCAAGGCTTCGGCGACAGTCGGGTGCCAATGTTCGGGTTGACGAACATGGACTTTACGAATTATCCCTAGTACCACCGCCCTGATACCAGATCAGTGCTTATGAGAGTCTTGGGACAATTGGAATGAATTACTGATGTTATAATGCTACCTGGGCTTTGAAAGCGCATTCAGTGGGCCGGCTTTTTCTAAAAGAGGGCTGCAAGGGTTGTGTAAAATAGGCGAACTGGGTTGGACCATCAAAAGGAGGCTTCTTCTCGGAATGGAATTCACCATTGTTTACCTGTGCATGATATCGGCTTTCAAAGGAACGCTTCGCCCATCAATATATATGCTCAACAGTCCCTGCACTTTCAGCCCATCTACAGCAGATAAACACGTCGTTCACGCCACCTTTCTCATCGCCAAGCAACCCTACCCCACTCATAGGTATGCATCAATCCAAGTCGATCCCCATCCATCCCCATCCATCCTTCTCCTTCCTGATAATCATATTACCCCGCTTCTTGTACTGTATGTCCTTTTCGTTTCATGTGATACCAGCTGTTACGAGAGATTGATCCGTGCAATCAGCGTATCGCCTCCCCCTCCCGTTCACCTGTTGCCTACACTGTTAAAGTGACGTCAGCCCTAAAATACGTACCTTTTAGATTGTATTTCATGACTGAAAGGAGGAACGATATGTCGCGAGAAGGCTCAATAGAGAAGGAGAGTGTGCTTATCGACGTCAGCGATCTTCACATTCAATGCACACTCATCACGATCCATACCTGACCCCCACCGTTCTGGCCAGCCAGCTTCGAGTAGATAAGTAGGAACTGGTTCTCTGATCTACTTATTTATTTCTCTCTTCTGTTTACTTGATCAAGACAATTATATGTTGAAATATAACTCAATCCGATAAACAATAGAATCTTAAAATGGCAGAGTATGCCCCCCATGCTTAATACCTCTCCTTCCCACACCGTCTTCTCTTCTCCATACAGCCAGAACCTTACTAACCGCCCTCACCCTTTCAGATCTCTCACAACATCCACTGCAATCGCAGACGACAGCATCGGACACAGCCACAAGCATACCGCTGATCCCTCAACCACGGCCAACACCACCACCGAACATGGCCAAGAACACGAGAAGAAAGGTATCTTGGGCAAGATCAAGGATAAGCTGTCCCCGAGCAGTAACAACCATGGAGGCTCGCAGTCGGTAACTGGTGGGGACGCGACGCATATTGGACGGGTGAGTTTTTAAAATTCTTGTGGTTTGTATGGTTTGTGGTTGGCTGAGTTCGTTGTTTGCGATTTCACAACTGGCTGTGTTTGGACTTCGTTGCGTTTCAGTAGGGGAGGGATGAATGTTATGAGAGGAGGAATCAAAAGAAGCGATGTGTACTGACTTCAAAGCAGGACGAAGGAGTGAAGCATGCCTTTGGAGGAACGGCTGTCAATGCAGAGACTATGCATCGAGGTCCAGCGGCGGGTCAGGACTTGAACAGAGAGTAAGATAGGGTCCGTTAAAGCGTACCATTTGGACATATTGATTCTCCTTCAAGTATCTTTGGGGATGGAGCCAACATATTGGATCTTGGTACATGATTGAGGGTGGAAGCTGGGCGGGCCTGTCTGTTTATTGTTTGCGCAGTTCATGATACCTATTCGTGCGGTTTTTTTAAAGTTTTGAATCAATGTTGTATGCAATCTATTCAGTACATTCTTCTCATCTTCCGGCACTACTCACCGGACACCGTTTTGATCTACGCGAGCCTGCCAGCTCTCATTTCCATTGTGTCCACCATCAGAACACTGCAGCAGAAGCCTCAGATTCAATCAAATCAGACACTCTCACTATTTGATAATGCTCTCCAAATATGTGAATCTCACTGAACGGTTCTCCATCTCCCAAAGACACCATAAACTTACTGTCACTTGTTCGCTTGATCAATTGTGAGTCAGTTCCAAACCACCTACATACCATCTGTTAACCCCCTCTCAACCGCCTCACAATCACCTTTGAGAGGGGCCTCCAGATTGCGATATACAACAAAACCTTTCACAATTCTCTTCTGAAGGCTTATTGGCTACGGGAGAGGTGCTGGAGATCCACGTGCCCAGCAAGATGTTGCTTCAGGTAGGTACGGGTACCTGACCCATCTCGCATCCCACAATGTCCTCGTTGGAGTTCCACGGATATTGTCATTCGAACCTCTCGTGAAATTGATCTTATTCGCAGAAGCCAAGAGTCCCTCGCAGAGGACATACCTATTGAGTTCGGTCACTATGACGCGTGACCACATTAGAATTACCATCAACTGGATCTCTCGAGCTTCAGTCTTTCAAGGTAAGCATCCATGGTACATGAAAGCTGGCCAGTCAGGATACTAAGAGTACTAAACTCACCTTACTCTCCCTCGACTCTTCCAGACTCTAAGGTATCCAAACTTGGCTCATCCCACTCAATCCCAACCCAAGTAAATAAGAACAGGAATTTGCCCACCAACTCCAAAATCTCCGTGAGCCGCTTACCGACTCCCCTATCCTCCTCATTGTCACAGAGCCGAGTTTTGCAAGTCCACAGAAAGCCAGAATAATAGCTACATACCAGGACAAGTGAGACATCAGAATTACGATTTGCAACAAAGTCAATATCATGCTTTTTGACCGGGTTATTGATTTGTTTGTTGGCAATCGCATGATAATTCGCTTACGGCCCCTTGCTTGGCTACAGCCACAACAGTCGGCTAAGACTGGCACCACCCCACTCTGCCGCCTGGACGGCAAGTGCAGGTGAAGGCGGCTGAATCAGCCGAGGACATGCGAGATGTTGTAATTACAAGACTATTTTATTTCAGCTACTTTCAACTGGCTATCATTCCTCTCCACGGCTTGTAGCATCTACCACAGAACTAAATACTAAGGTAAAAACATTATGAACGAAAAGTAGTCACAAAGATTATTAGAACGAGTAAGGAAATGGACTCTAGATGGGAGCGCTCATCACCCGTCTATGACCATCCCGAGTTCCACTTGCCGCACCTGTTTCCAGGCTGAACGTCGTTGTTCCATTTGTAGCAATCCCACCATTGGCTCTTACATTTCTGAGTGGCGGTATCGTAATTGTCCCCTCGGCGGTTGTTGCGTCGGTTATTCTTGCATCCTTGAGCATATGTATCGATACAGCTCCTGTATTGACTGTCACAAGCATCCTTGCATGCTTGCGTTGGGCCGTTGTTACCGCCCCGGGGGTATGAAGGGCAGTTCTTGGATTGGGGTGAAGTGTAAAGCTTGAAAGGATATCCAGCCTTGTAGTCGGAGTAGATGTTGTTGCAAGTCAAGCATGGGAGCCCAATATTTCCAACAGGAGCTGAGGAGCTGTATCCTTTACCAGGGTTATGTGGTTGCTTGCAAATGTTCGTATCCGTTGGGATAGGTACACAAGTCGTAGGAGATGCTGTGGAAGATGTAGTGCTTGGCTTAGCAGTTGAGACTGGACAAGGGTAGACTGTCGTGGATACCGCTGGAGGCTGAAGGGGCGGGCCAGAGGGTGGATATTTTGACTTGCAGTTATCCTTCGAGCAGTTGTTTCCTGGGCAGTAGCCGTTACAGTAGGACGAAATTGAAGTACACCAGCTGGAGAATTCGAAGCAGTTCATGCTCTCTGGGAAACCAGCATTCAAGAAGCAGGACGCGACTTGAACAGTGCATGACGAGAATGCAGACCAGCACGAGTTCTTGTCGGTAAACTTTGGGATGGGGTTCGAGCACCATTTGCCGCATTTGTACTCACAAGTCGGGGTTGGTGAAATAGTTGTACTGGGAAGTGTCAATAGGAGCAAGAATGTCTCTCTGGTCAAGAACGCTTACGTTGATGTGCAAAGCGAAGCTGGCTTGGACGTTGCTATTGGAAGTTAGTGCATGAATCGTCCAAAGAATTTGTAGGATTTGAAGCGAAGTGGAAACTGAACAAGGTAGGAAATGGATGCTCACTGGTTGTGGGAGGGGTTGAGGACGATGATGGCAGCTTCGTTGTAGATGTTGGCGATGAAGATGTCGATGATGAAGTCTTGGTAGTGGATGAAATTGATGAAGATCTAGAAGAAGTCGAAGTCGTAGTTGGTGGCTGGGTGCTGCTTGAACCTAAAAATTGATCAACAAAAAGAAGCGGCAGAAGTTAAGTAAAACTCACTGGATGAGGTAGACGTTGGAGGAGAGACAGAGCTGGAAGATGATGACGATCCTCCCTCACATGGCTCTGTGGACTCCAAATCCTTGGCGACGTAAAGATCAAGTGTTCCCCGACCACCACAGGTTTTAGTAGAGTCTCCGTTGCAAGGCATGTCACATTTGCTGCTGTCGAGCGGCAAGGTTCCATTTCCCAACACAACACCACTAATGGCAGATCAACATTGTTTCCCAGAATGATTGCAAAGAAGTGGAGACATACCAATAGCACTCAGAAGCAAACTCGAGGCCTGCAAATGAGTAACCACCGGCCTTGCAAGCTTTAAGACAGCCCTCCACGGTCATTGTAGCGGCAACGACCTGATCCTGTCTCCAAGCCAGGGAGCGACCCATGGAACCCTCGCTATAACAGCCTGATTTGACATAATCGGAGACTGTAGTGTAATCGGCAACCGGAAAGGTAGGATCTTGGTAGATGCTGACACGATTGAACCCTCCACAGATCTCGGAGTCATCCCCTGCACAGGAGAAGTCACAGTCGGCCTCATCCGCTTGAATATTGTTGACTGAAGCACCACAGAAGCACTGTAGAAGTCAGCTTTATGCAATTCTGAATGACATTTGTCGACATACCTCCTCGCCATATTCAAGTCCAGCATACTGATAGTCATTCCCTAAGAAGGTGTTACACCGAAAGGCCCAAAACAAGTTGAGCTTAGAGCATACCTTTGCAGAAGGCGACGCAGTCCTGCACGGTTTGGTTCTGGTTTCTGGGCCCGGTATATAACAGGGTACGGGGGCTACCGTTATCAACAAAGCATCCAGCGTATTTAAAAGGAGTGAAATCAGTGCAAGAGGGCTGAGGTGGCTCCTCGTTACGCTTTACAGGGTAAAGCCCAGCATTGACACCGGAAAAGAGTGTAAGTGCTGCCGAAGCAACAGTCAAGGATTTGAGGTTCAACATGACGATGTTAAAAGGGCATCTCATCTAATTGGGGCTCAAGTTGGAAAGTAACGAAGGTAAAGAACGGAAGGTGGACGCTGTTGAACAGACAGAGAGTAAATGAGACGACGAGGAAGGAAGGCAGACCATATATAGAAAGCGCCCCCCGACATGACTTACGTTCCTGAAAGGTTACACCTGCCCTACAACACTTTCGGACGAGAAGCATGTTTGGACACAGTGAAAGTATGTGGAAGGGACGCTTAAGCATTCAAAGGCAGGGTAGCGCCAACCGAACCCATGTAATCGAGAAGCTCCCCAGGTGGCCAGACGCAGCGTGGCGCAAGTATCGTGACGCTTGTTGAAGTAGGCCAATCATGTAAACTTTGACCCTAACAGTTGTGGGAAGTCCGGTATGGATGGGGACGATTTGTGTTCAGGGTTTTTACAGCCAGGTTGAACAGAGGCCCTAGTCGCCGTGGGCTTCGTCCGATCATCCGGGAGGTGTTGAAGAGATTCGGAGAATTGAACAGTGGCCGAGAAGTGTAAGATCCATGAGCATTTAGTGGTAAATTACTTTAGCGCAGTAACTTCGCTATTATTTCTCCTTGCTATCAAGTAGCCCATGCATCTGCATCTGCTGAGTTGGGTGGACTCTGGCAGAGTTCAGCAGCAAATGTGACACCTCGAATCTCGATTCGTTCGGTCGACTCCTCATAGGTTCTGGAAAGACATCTGGAGCTTGGAGTGCATGGGCCCCAGAGATGCAGCAGAGATGTCTTCGTGATTGGATATATTTCGAAAAGGGGGAGGGGGGCTGATGGAGATGGAGGCGTCGGTGATGGAAATTAAATCCTCGGTTAAATAACTCCCGCAGTCTCTTTTTGGCCCCCCTGCACGCTAGATATGCAGGAACACTGAACACAAGCCGCCAGCATCTTTTGGAAGGTCGCCTCCAGAGCTTGGACGACTGCATCCTAACCTCTTCTCTCTTCGACCACAACAAGGTGAGGTGTTACACTAACTGCACTGCACAGACAGACTATTGATTTTGGAAAGAAAGAAAAAAGCTTTTCTACAGTCTAGCGAAGAGCGAGGCGCCAATCGGCTTCAATTTGGAACCGAGAGCGACTCGGATCGTGGCAACTGTAAGTGTAAGTGTTGATATTCCAGCTGGACCTTAGATTAGAAGACAATGCTTATGGCTTCTAGCCAAGAGCCCGGAACCCGACACCTTTGCGCAGGAAAAGAACCAGCTGCAAAAGAACGTCCTGTATTCGCTTCAGGACTTCCTGATCCTCAGACGTACGACAACAGCAAGTTGCACAGCATAATATTGCCGCGGTACTCTAGTCACTACCTGCACCCATAGGATTGTTGCTGTTGTGTTTCGATGCTCACCGCATGTAGATACGGCACTAAACACAACCATCCTATCAGATGCCACGTTTTGGAGCGAGCTGAGCGTGAAAGCCAAAACACAGACACATCCGATGGAGAAGACGACCGCACGGCCATTAACCCCCGCACAAAGAACCAGATAGAAAAGCCATTTGTTTCAAATGCTACCGAATCTTCCGATACCTCAGAGAGGCATGGCACTACTTCTGCAGACAAAATAAATGCCCGGATTCCTCAAATTAGAGATGTTGACTAGTTTCCTCCGAATTGACAGTCCGTTTGTTGATAGCCTCGGCGCTAAGGCAAGTGCAGGGACTCTCTGGACCACCATACAGGCACTGCCTCGATTCTCTCGTCGAAAGATGATAACACACGTCAAAAGGACACACGATGTTTGTTGGCCGTTCCTCCAGTAAAGACCCTTCTTCGGGTAAATATTCGTTCTCGTACTCTGTTCGATTTCCAATGGCCCCCGGATTGTTGCAATACTTCTGAATCGGGACAAGGGTATTGACGACGCATCCTATCGAGAGATTTCTGACTCTTTCGCAGAATACAACGGGGGTTGAGGAACGTACTAGTACCGAGAGGATCGTAGATTCAGCTTATGCCACTTTCCGAGGTCGAATGAGAGGTTCCTGAGACCGGTCAAGCCAATCATGTGCTAACCGCATAACCATCAGGGCTAAGAGACATCTCCAGAACCGATATCTGTCCAGCTAAATAAGTCCTCGGAAGCCGGCACTTCAACCACCAGCCAGATACCTACTGTTTCTACAACTTTCCGAGTGCAATCAGGCACATGTATGTGCTGCACATCCGTGAATACTGGCTCGTCTCCTCTCCTTTGACATCTCCTCGGCCAACTCGTGAGATGCCAGTCCCATGGCAATTTGCTCGGCACAGCACAAGATGATAGACTGAATGAGTAGACCTGACATTAATGTTGTTTGAAGGAGAAGTTTCCAGCAAGGCTTGAGACTTAAGGAGCTTCTTCGAGGCTCGATTCTGTTTCATGCGTCCCGGCATGGATTCCACCTAGCTGGCCCTGAGTCAAGCTTTTCCCTTCTGTCGATCTCCCGCAAGATATCACAATCCAGACTTACAACTTCACGCTAGAATAGAAGAACGCCCGGTGATTTTGTGACTAACCACAGCACTGCAACAATTCAAAGATTCTGCGCAACCTTACCCGTGCCAGCTCCGAGCATAAGACTTTGAGCAAGCTGTACATTCATTCCCCACGTCAGACCTCAACGCGCTCAACTTCTACAAACTTAGAGTCCGAGAAGACTGGGACCAATAACAAAATATCAAAAATGAAACGATCCCCAACATCAGCAACTTGCACGTCTCTCAGGCTGCAAGCAGAATTCCACACCAGCTTACTTCCGAAGATCTCATAGCTCACCTCCGCCCGCTAGAAGAGAAAAGGCCTTTCCACCCGAGTTCATCTTGCACAGACAAGCTTTTTCAAGACAACACTGATCGTCCCAAAGAAGCCATCATCCCATACCAAACTCTCAACGCAAAGCACACACGGAAATCGACTCCCTCCGAGTCTACACACGGCCTCATGCAAGCCATCTCATCACAAGAATTTGATCCTCGCAAAGCGTGAACTTCAACTTACCGAAAACCATTCGACGCCAAGCCCATTGGAGGAAGTACAGCTGCACGGCTCGCTTTCTCAAGGTTGCGACTCATCGGAAAAGGCTGCAGGTTACAGCTTTGTCACATGTGCCTGGAGCTACTGGACGCAATTTGCTGTAGATTTTGATTCGACCAAGATCCAACTAAGTTGGTTGTCTCTAGGCCCGGCAGGCCAGCCACAGCTAAATTAACAGCAGTGGCTAGTTCTTCCTGATTTAGATAGAGATAACGCCAATGGACAGAAAGGGAAGTAACAAGCTTGCGGCTAACTCCGGCCATATGACCACGGTACGGGATGATAAATTTACTTGGCGGCTATCAACACTGACTATTCTTACTGTGACTATCCAACTAAGTTTTCGGAGTACCTGGTCTCAGGAGCATCAAGTGAAAAGGTGGAGGAGAGAAGGGACTACCTTCAAAGGATTTATCGAGAAAATGTACTGTAAATCATCACAGACATAAATGTATTCCATTTTCACTTCCTTCATTCTCGACCATGCTTCGTTTCTTCCAGGCGAAGAGGCAACCTAGTCGCATGGAACCATAGAACGCCTATTTAATTACAAGATGCATGCAAACGCGACCCCTGAGATCGTGATTCCCCAGATTTGTCCCTCGAAACGCAACGCAACCCGCAACCGCAACCGTGCCCGATAAAGAAACCCAATCAGTTCTTGTTTCGGAGATGGGGAGGCACGAATCTTCCAGGGGCACCACTGGGCTTGAGACCATCACCTGATGGAGTCGCAGCCGGAGCAGGCGAGCCATCACGTCCCTCCTCACCTCGTCCAGACCGACCGCGCGAAAGTGGAGCTCCTCCGGATGAGGAAGGAACTCGGGCTGAAGGGGGAGGACCGGCTGGCTCTCCACTGCTGGCCTTAGCTGCTTCTCTGTCTCTCCAGCTGGGCTTGCCACCCGCGAGGGCAATGCGAGGAGGACCGGTAGCAGCAGGGCGATCATTCGAATCAGTTCGCTCCATCGGTGGAGCACGACTGGCTGGAGCAGCACGTGCCATTGGGGATTCTGTGCGAGTTGATGGGACCTCCTTGCCTTCTGCTCTGAGCTTCTCCTTCTCTCTCCATCCTAGCTTAGCACCAGCAAGTGGTAATGGTGGTCTGACAGCTCCAGATGACCCGGATCTCTCCATAGCAGGAGGCGGACCTCTGGGTGCGGCCTTCGCCTCTGCGCGTCTCTTCTCGGCTTCCTCAGCTCTCCGTGCTTGTAGTGCAGCCATCTCCAGTGCCTCCTGTCTCTCCTTCTCGCGAATCGCTTTTAACTCGGCAAATTCAGCCTTCTTCTTTTCGTCACGGGCAGCCTTCTCCTCAGCCTCTCTTGCTGCACGCTCTTCCTCCTCATGCAAGATGCGCTCTTGCTCGGCGATCTCTCTCTTCTCACGTGCCTTACGCTCGCGGAACTCCTTCTTGCGTAACGCAACAGCCTTCTCCAACTCTCTCTGAGCATCACGTCTGCGCTTCTCGAACTCATCGTGTCTGCGCTCAACAATAGTCTCTCTGTAGCTTTCGTAGTGGCTCACCAGGCGGCTCAATCTGTGCTTGAGTTCGACGCTTTCTTGATGCTTGGCTTTAGCGTCCTTGAGGGTCTGCTCTTTGGTCTTTTCATAGGCTGCTAGATCCTTCTCGCGCTGCGAAGCGTAGTCTTCAGGCAACTTCTTAGCTTCCTCTTTACGGAAAGCTCGCTCAAGATGATCGATACGTTTGCCAGTCACACGGAGCTTCTCGGTCATGCTGTTCTTCTCTTGCTCGAGCTGGGCGAGCTTCATGCGGCGGATGTCGTCGCTGCCAATGTTGTCCAAGTTCTCCATATCGATGCCGTCCTTATCCTTCATCTTGAGCTCCGCAATCTGCTTCAAGAGCTCAGCCTTCCGCACTTTCTCCAACTCAGCCTTCACACGCTTGTCTTCACGATCCTTTTGCTCCTGTGCAAGGCGCTTGTCTTCGGCTTCCTGGAGTTGGGCTGCTTTGATACGTTTGCGAGTTGCATCTTCCTTCTCCTTTCTAGCCTGAATTTCTGAGGCTTCCTCCTTTCGCTTCGTGATAACCTCCTTTCGCGACAGAATATCGAGATGCTCTTTCTCAGCGCCTGCTCGTGCCCTAGCATATGCTGCATCTCGAGCTTTGATCCTCGATTCGTTGAATGACGGATCGGTGTATTGGCAGGTGATGAAAAGCGATCTGGCAAGGCGGGTCAATTGAGTTCGGACGATTTCTGATGGAGTGCTTTGGAGTCTTTGCACAGAAGAAGTCTCGCTCTCAGCAGAACCACTACCAGAGTTGGCCTGAACAGCCTTGGTGGAGGAGAAAACATCAGTGTCAAAGCTGAGAACACCAGTAGCATGATCCATGCGGATAGCAAGGTCACCCTTCTTGTTTCCATTCATGATGAATTTCTCGATAGTATCTCTTGTGACTTGGAAAGGCTCAGGGAACTTAGCAAGATTCTCAACAAACTCGAGGTCAACGGTCTCATAGACTTGAGACAGCTGCTGGAAGAGTCTGGTAAGAATAACTTGTTGAAGAGGCAGGACATATTTCTCCATTTCGGGATCAGTGCCAATCTTGGCGAGGATAGGGGAAATCTTTTGGCAAATCGACAGGGGATGGAACTCGACCTCGAGGATCTGGTAAAGCTCACGAATCTCAGGGCGAGCACGCTTCAAGAGGCCCTTGCTCATAGCATCCTTGAAAAGGACTGCACGAGTTGGGGCTTGGGCCATGCCGAGAAGGTGAGTGAGACGAGAGTTCTTGTTCTTCTTGGCTTCATCAATATCAACCAACGCACCGCGGGATCTGGAAGTGCTGATGACAGGTATGGCGAGAGCAGATAGAAGGACGAAAGAAGCAGCCTTGGAAAGATCTGCCTCCGAAGTTGCTGGGTTATCGGCCTTCTTGCTCTGGCCAGCTGCAACCATAGAGGCGGATTGACGGAGGAGATTGTAGTATCTGGACCAAGCAGCAGCGTGGAAGAGGTAGTTCTCTCCAACCAAGAAAATGCGGGTCAACTTCTCGTAGTAGTTGGCCATCATAATGTTCTTTGGGGGCCGCTTGCTAAGGTTGAGTAATGTATGGATATCCTCAACACTTCTGAAAGCCTCCTGCCACAACTCAAGTTCAACTGCGACATTCAGCTGTTGGAAACGGGTTTCGAGATGGCGCTGGAGAGTATCTGGATCGTTAAGGTTGATAGCGTGCATCTGAGCAGAGTACTTCGCAGCAGTCTGAACATGATTTCGGAGGAGCTCGCAGAGTCTGCGGAATTCGGTCTTTCGTGTATACTTCTGGCAGAATTCAAAGGCTTGCATAGCAGTGCTCTGATACATAATCTCCAATCTCGCGTTGTTTCTGAGGATGTCCAAAACCGTTCTGTAGGTTTCCCAGAGAAATTTGAGCCATGGTGTAACGATAGCTCGATCTGTACGGTCTCTAGATTGTTCGCCAGAAACGGTAGAGAGGAGGATGGATTCCGGAGTTTCGCTGGCCTCGAGATCATCGACGCCTGTAACAGCATCGGTCGTCTCGAGAGAGGATTGTACCTCGTCGGCCTTCGCTTGTGCGGTCTTCACTTTCTCCTCTGCCAACTCGATAAATTTCTTCAGAACCAACTAATCCCCATTTATCAGCACTGCTATCCTGCGCCTAGCTTGATGGTTCCTCTCTTACCTCGATTGTGCCAACATTTGTATTCTGACTGATATTCTTGTACTGATACAAGGCATCCTTCGCCAGTTTTCCCTTCTTTTGCTCGACTGATTGCTCGACGAGCAGTATCATAACCGGCTCCAGGGACGTAATAGGTGCATTTCGGCTTCTCTTCGAAGTGATGTGTTCGTGGAGGAGACTCAAGGCAGCAGGCGACTGGCCCACGCCCATGAGCTCATGAGCGCGCTTCAGCACATTCTCCGGCTTCGTGTGGGGCGGCGGAGGAGGCATGATGGGCAGCTTGCTGATGGGGTTTCGATCAGCTTGATGCAGTTGTTGGGGTCGCGACGATGAGGTTTTTTCACTCTGGGCAGATTTCGTGTGGGATCACAAATTACGCGAGGGGTCGAGCTGAAGCCTTAGCTTGCGCCTGAGGCATAAGGCCACAAGCACTGATGAGAATGTTAAAGCGGCACTTAGAACTAGGGTAGCAAAACAAAGTAGCAGGTTTGGGAAGCAGAATTCAAGATGGATGATTTTGAACATAGGCAGGCAACGATGTTTTGAAATAGAACGGGAGACAACATTTGTGGGACAAAAAAGAACTTCAAGGCTTGAATGCTTCAGAAATTCACTACCGCGCCAAGTGACCCGACAATACAGAGGGGCACTTCTCAGCGCTGCTTTTGTATCGGAGTCAATGCCACTAAGCGTTAGACTAACCGCTCTTGAACCTCTCCAAATTGCTGACTTGCCCAGTGTCTGAAGGGGTAAGGTAGGGACAGAGCGACCACGACTTCAACTTCCGTCAATTCAATCCCACGGCTGACAGCTCAATCGCCTCAACAGCTGTCCAGGAAGCTGTCGCAACCTCCTAATACCCTGATTTCAGCCAGTCCTCAGGTACGCCGAGCTCAGATCTCGTCACTCTAACGTCGGATCAATCCTAACACGCTCGGCAAGTTGATTAGGAGTCGCGACCGCCCTGAGCGACGATATCTTCAAAATGCCTTCAGGATACTCCTCCCGCGAAGACCCCGGCCAGATTAAAAAGAACAAGCAATCGATGGCGGATCTTAAGCTACGACGTCTCACAGAATTGAACACACGTTTGAGGGAGGACTTGGAAAGGGAGCGTATTCCAGTTTCGCAAGCATCGAAAAGGTATTGACCGAACGGGATCTGCATGCACAGGGCTACAGGCTGACATCTCGAAGCATCATCTCGTATACGAACAGCACAAAAGACTTCATGGTACCATCTGTCTGGGGCACTGTCGACAAGAAGGACGACCCATACGCTCCACAACGTGAGTTATTCGGCTCCCACACCCCTTCATCGTCACTAACCAAGTAGATGCAGAATCCGGAGGCTGCTGCGCTGTCATGTAGTCTAATGCGACGGACGAGTTCGAGATCAACAGGCGTTCACAGGCGTAATGGATGAGTCTGCAGTAATACTTCGATCCGCATCAGTAGCGTTGGCGGATGGTTTTCACGACGAGGCTCCCAACAACCGATGGATGAATGGATGAGGAGCATGTAATATTTCAGTCAGTGGTGTTTTGCAGTAGGGCTGCTACTTCTTGTGTATAAGTTACAGAATGATTCACGAGCGCGTGTCGTCATGCCATAATCGATGGCCCATTTTCCTTTCCAATCTGGACGTTCTAATCACTCGCCCTGAATGCATTGTGAGCCCCATTTTTTGTGCCCAATCCGGTCAGTCGTGGGTGTCCACAAGCGAGCTAGAATGCCCAGCGGCGAAGTTTACAACCTTGATATCAAATCACCAATTCCTTACCTTACAAAGACCGCGAGTCAGTCCCAATACATGTTCTTCTCTTCCTACGACGGACCCATCAGAAAACTTTAACGCAACATATCGCCATTTCACAACGTCAAAGCTAAGATCAACTTACACTACCTCAAGGCCATGGACAGTCAGGACTCATCTTCACCAACACCACCGCGATACCCTCGGGTGACAATTGAGTTCTGCACACAATGCAAATGGCTACTGAGGTAGATTGAGTCCTCCTCCTTGGATCTTGCTTCTCCAAGTCCTAACCAACATCGATAACCAAGTACTAACACCCCTCCTCAGGGCCGCCTACGTAAGCTATTCCCGCTTGGCTCCTCAACTCATGCTGTCAGAACACAACATCATTCCGTCGAGAGTTGATCAGTCCTATCCCCAAATTCCCCACTGCACCATTATGGTCTCAGATCTCCTCAAAGGCATGGACTGCGGTCCCCCGCATTTGTCCCCCTCACCTCAGCATGACATGCCATAGGGTCCTCGTCTAGCACGTGATGCCTTACCTGAACTGGGTGCATTTCCCTGCATGCCAGGTGTGAGCTTCTGCAGGGGAAGATCATGACACATTTGATCTTGTCGAGTTCTTAATATGTTTCTGTCTGTGTGCTGTGTGTTAGAATCGTGATTTGGAAATGTGCTAATGGTATGACTTTCGGATGGACAGTTTGCTCAGGAATTGATGTCGACGTTTTCGACTTCTCTTGGTGAAGTAAGCTTTGTTTCCTCTAGTGTAATGTTTATCGACTTTAGTGCTAGAGATGGTGGAGCGTCTGTGTAAATTTTTTGGATGGCCAGATGAGTACCAGAGTGCGTGCTAAGCTGCTGACAGGTAGCACTGCAACCTTCGACAGGAGGAACATTCATCGTGAATTTACAAACAGAGCGTCGGGGCTCGGTACAAGGTTCTATAGCCTCGATAAATCAACATGTCCTCTGGGATAGGAAGGCCGAAGGAGGATTCCCTGGTTTGTTGTCTCCATCTCTCTTCGGAGAAAATTCTTTCATGGTCAACTTGACAAAGCTTCTTCTTGACACTACTTCATATCAAGCCTTGCTAAGAACAAGTATAGAAACGAGAGAACTGAAGCGCCGAGTGAGAGATGCCATAGACCCGAAGCGTGATCTTGGTCATGTAGACGGGAAAAAGAGTGAGTTCATTTCGCCCTTGCCAAAAACAGCACTGACAGATGAACAGGTACCTCGTCAAGATCACAACCCTCCAGCCAGCAAGGCTCCGAGCCGTCATCTCTAGAGCCTGCGCCCCAGAATACCACTGGCATAAACACGCCTATCCCAAGGGCCATCAACCGTCTTCAATCTCCTCTGGGTAGCAATGAGAGGAAATTCACGCCGATGGATGTTGATGTTGCCTCGAGGCCGACTTCCAGTAAAGGAGATGCTGGAGAGGGAGCTATCAATCAGGATGCTGGGGAGTTTGTGAACTCTAGAGGGAAGATTCAGGTCGTTGGGGAGACTATTGGAGGGTTTTGCAAGCCAGGAGAAGATTGTGAGGATTGTGCTTAGATTTTGATTCATCTCGGGTGTCAATTAAGTCACGTAAATTCACATCTACTGCAGATTCGTGGCTGTCTTGGGAGAAACGTAATGTCCCGGTGTGCTTCCGAAGATTTATGATATGCCCACTTATCTCTGTACTCCTGTTGCTTCGAGTTGCATTGGCAGTGTATGAATCTTTCAAACCAAAGATCATGGATGAGCTACATCATCAAGTTGAATCTGACGGTGGCAACATAAGGCAAAAGTAGACATCAAAGTGCATTCAATCAAGACACAAGAATCTCGGAGAAAATTTAGTGATTTGCCTGTCTAGACTTGGCCGACTTGGTGCTTGGCTTTGCTCAACCAATGACTGTTGTTGTCTGGATGTTCTTGAACAATCCTATGAGCTCTTCTCCTGAGATCTTCTCCAGAGATGTTATGAAAACACGATTCCGAGACGCAGCACAGCAAGGAAAGTGTTGGTCTCAATGTCGCTCCCGGGACTCGGAGCATAAGCTTCCCCTCGGTACCCCTGAGACGATCCAGGTCGTTCGATCTTTATTTAGATACCCCCCAGATCCCCAAGTAGTCGCTGCATTGAATCTCCAAATCGATGCAAACTACTAGAAGAAAAGCCATGGCACGCGATCTGGTTGGAACTCTACTGTACTGTTGAATAAAGCCCCAGATCAAGATCTAAAACCCCCACTGATCTCCACGTCTGTTTCGTGTCTGATGTGTAGAGATGCGTCTAAAAAAGTGGACCAAGTTCGTCACTGAGCCACGGAAGCAGCTCACCAAAAGCAAGTGCAAGGAAAAGAAGCCAATGCCAGCGCAGCTACCGGAGGAGTGACAGCAGGCCTAGAAGCAGCGAGCGATTCAGGTTGGATTTGCTGCATAAGGGCTGGAAGTCATTGCTGCTTACGCACTGCAGGCACTCGACGGCGTCAGTTTGAGATCCCGGGACTTTGATTTGATCAGTCAGCCCAGGAGGGGGAGGGGAGGGGAGGGGAGGGGACAGAGAGGCGTGAGTGGAAGGAGGGAGAGTTCGAGGGTTGACTTGAAGCAACAACTCCTACCTCCCCTACCTAATTTACAATACAATAATACTTAGCTAGATACTTATAGGTACTTACCACATCTTGCTCCTTACTGCTTGCTTGCTTGCTTGCTTGCTGTGCCCTCCACTTGGCCTGAAGGGATTGCCTCTTTGATCTGCCCTCGACCGCACTGCACCACACTGCACTGCACTGCACCACTCCTGTCTTCCAACAACATCTTCGACGACCAGAGCACCATCGACGAGCACTGAATCCGGCGACTGCGATCACGCAACCATTTTGACTCCCAGCAATCCATCTGCCCATCCAGCTACTGTGTTGCCCTTGTTGACTTGACTTGACCGACTTGACATTCTTGTTCTCGTCGTGCACGGAAACTTTAATCCCACACCGCATTCCAAGAGCCTTGCCTTGCCTGCCCGCACCCCCCAAGCCCAAGCCCGTCCGCTGCGGTGCTGAGAGCTCCCGACGATATCTGCCTCTGCCTCTGCCTCTTGTTGCTCTACACACCGAACAGAGCACTGCATATCATCATCTCTCAAGCTGCACCCTTTCTATCCGCCTTCTCCGCCGGCCACTTCATTGTGCGACGTTGTGTCAATCCGGCCTCCGAGCTCTGCGGCAGCGGCATACAAAGCATAGCCTTTTTAAGGCTCTCGTTTATCAAGCGCAAAACACAGAAATCGAAATCCGAACGAGCCCGCAACATCAACTTCACCTCACCTCGAGTCCCAACAACCACATCATCCACGAACTCATCTTCGACTCACCAGCATTGTCTGTGAATAAGCGAACGCAGCCCAAGGCTTGCAGTAAATATCTTGACGACCAAAACCTCGATCGCGTCGCCATCTCCACAGGCGAACCTTTCATCATCGCCCGCCCACCCCGATCTTCTACTGTGAATAACAAAGGCGACGAGCACTCGTGCAGTCTCTCATACCACGCGGCTTTCTGCAGAAAGCTCCACTGAGGCCGATCTCACTTCATTGTATGTAATCCCGCCTCTGCACTCTTTGTTGAGGATCCTGTCCACGCGCCGCCAAATTTGCATCCCCAGTTTGTCAGCCTCACACTAACGTTTGAACGCGTTTCCAGCTCGAGAAGTGAATCACAGTCCTCCTAACAGCGGATTTGAATATACGAAGTTCTTCATCCCCCACCTTACATAACTGCGGAAGCCCCAACACACAACCCCGTCTCCTTCTTCCCCAAGAGAGGACAGAAGCCATGGCGGACCAGAACGATGTAGATCTCGATTCCATCATCGATAGACTGCTGGAAGTTAGAGGCAGCCGACCAGGCAAACAAGTTCAGCTCCTGGAAGCCGAGATCCGTTATCTATGCACAAAGGCCCGCGAGATCTTCATTTCTCAACCTATCCTTCTCGAGCTTGAGGCTCCCATCAAGGTACGCTCCTGTGCCACCAATATCACCCCACTCAAGATGTACATGTACTGACCTGTCGCGTGCCTGCAGATCTGCGGTGATATCCACGGTCAATACTACGATCTGCTCCGTCTGTTTGAGTATGGCGGCTTCCCACCAGAGGCAAACTACCTTTTCCTTGGAGACTATGTCGATCGAGGCAAGCAATCTCTCGAGACAATCTGCTTGCTCCTGGCCTATAAGATCAAGTACCCTGAAAATTTCTTCATTCTCCGCGGCAACCACGAATGCGCCTCAATCAACCGAATCTATGGCTTCTATGACGAATGCAAGAGACGGTACAATATCAAGCTGTGGAAGACCTTCACCGATTGCTTCAACTGCCTCCCCATCGCAGCAATCATCGATGAGAAGATCTTCACAATGCATGGTGGTTTGAGCCCTGACTTGAACTCTATGGAGCAAATCCGTCGGGTCATGCGCCCAACCGATGTAAGTCTATCCATTTCTTTTCTTGCCATCTCTCGGCTCCCCGAGAGAGGGCCTGAGCTCTGACTAACCCAATTCTAGATCCCTGATTGCGGTCTTCTCTGTGATCTTCTCTGGTCTGATCCAGACAAGGACATCACTGGCTGGAGCGAAAACGATCGCGGTGTCTCCTTCACCTTCGGTCCAGATGTCGTATCTAGGTTCCTACAAAAGCATGATATGGACTTGATATGCCGTGCTCATCAGGTCGTCGAAGATGGTTATGAGTTTTTCTCAAAGCGGCAGTTGGTAACACTTTTCAGTGCCCCCAATTACTGTGGAGAGTTTGACAATGCCGGAGCAATGATGAGTGTGGATGAGAGCCTGTTATGTTCGTTCCAGGTTAGTTATCTACAAAGATCCGAAAACATCCAGCAGCCATTAACCTTTTTCCTGTCCAGATCTTGAAGCCAGCGGAGAAGAAACAAAAGTACGTTTACGGTGGTCTTGGTGCCAGCAGGCCCGTCACTCCTCCGAGGAAACCCAAGCATTAGTGAACTATTACGAACTTCTATGTGTATAGCAGGTTCGGACGCAGATAAACACACCTTCGCGATTTTCTCTCGAGTCTCCGGACAAAAATCTCGCCAATGCGCTACTCGAACCGTCTATTTCCCATCCTCAGTCTCGATTGACCCAAGCTCTACATCTCGAACATCACTCGACCTCTCATCCGATAACATAACTATGGTGGCGTGCGTGCATACCTTGCGTCACACGGCGGGCTACCTCTCGACGACATGTCTCGATTGTACACATCTCCTTTTCCCCACCACCCATTCAGCTAATACGATCGAACACCCCATGCATGAGCCTCGAAAGCTGCGAATCGAAACGACCAACCACGACTTTCACGACGAACTTATCCTCCAAAAGAAAGAAAGAAAGTTTACAGGGACAAGCGGGGGTTTTTCTTCTTCATTCTTCGTTCTGGGGGCGGCATATGGGAAACTGGTTAAATGGAGCGAGCTTGGCTCTGGTGGCATCTTCCAGTGTGTATATGAGATTATGATGTGCGAGAGGCCTGCTTCTTCTGCGCGCAATGTTAAGGGTTACTTTTTTATCTGTCTGTGTAGCTCTTTTCTCTTTTCGACCAATCAATGCGACTGACTGAACGAACGAATCCGCGAATTGACGACCTGTTTGTATGGCTATACTGATTGTGGGCAAGGCAATGGCAGATCTAGCGTTAGGGGTGTGAGAGCGGGGTGGGCAGGGTCTGATTGTGTTTAGGTTCGACTTGCAGTCGGCACTCTGATATGCTTGCGGTGGCTGTGTGTGGACTTCTTCTGGCTTTTCCCTCCTCTTCTGTTCTTCTAGTTTGACCCTTCTCCGTCTTGTCTACTGCTGCCATAATTAATAACTGCTTGCTTTCGATGCTTGCACTGCTCCACACCGAGCGATCTGATTTACATTGCGAGTGGAGCATGTGAACTGACACGGAACGAACCTTTGGTGATCTCAAACATTGTTTACATATTTGGTCGCGTCTGTTAAATGACACGGCAAAAGGAATTTACTACTTGTACCTGATTTGTTCAAACTACCGCTCGCTTACCGTTGTTTGTAGATTGTTGATGTTTCCCATTCCAGCCTTTCCTCTCGCTTGGTCGCCTTTATATTGACATGCCAAGCAGGGAATTCGCTTCGTGATGGAGAGATATACGTCCTTTCATTCCATCTGATGAGCAAGTACTCGTTTCAACCATCATCGGACGTTGGACAGTCATCTGCTTTTTAGCTTCAGCCAGTCTTTCCAAGCTGTGACATCCAAGCCCTGAGCTTTGGGCGGCAATCATGCCAATCGTTGTCCTCAAAACCGAGATAGCGTTTCCCTTGCCTATGCTAGAGGATTCGAATTGCACAGGTTATGTACCCTGCAAAAGCCTCTAGCTGCCAAAAAATTGTCAAAATTCACACTCGCCCATCACCAGCCTATGCACCGAAGGTATATACATGATCATTTGGTGGCATGAGACTATCTGCAAGCCCCCCTCCGTGTCCTTATGCCTGACCATTTGTACAAGTGATTTTCTAACCCCCTCCTCACATCCTCTATTCATTTCTTTTATTTGAGTGGTCTCGAGTTATTCTGTCATGCCATTTATGCGTTTCAAGCTTTCCAGGATAAGATAGGCAAACACTACGGTACTATTCCCATCTCACTCAACATCCAGTCGCTCGCGCCTTCATCCCCTTCACGAGCGCTCTAACCTTCCGTCTTCTCTACTCTGCTCGAAATAAATTATAAATTCGTTACGTCACATTCAGCCATTCATGGTCGGGATCTCAGCTTGACCATATACCATCCAGCAAGTCAGTCAATCAGTCAGTCGGGGTATCAAGGCCAGCCGATTCTGGACACCACTGGACCGAAATTAGGTGTGCACATCAAAGCAATCACTTGCATCTTATAGTGTCCTTCCTCTTACTCTCCAAAGGATCATTGAGCTTGCTTGGGTAGGTAGTACTTACCTAGCATATAACCTCTCCAATACACAGACTCTCCAAACTATCTTGGCTGATTGATTTGTATCTGTGAATCTAGCTCTATTTCGATGAGTCTCCGTTCTTGTGTCTTCTCTTCTGCCGGAATCTGGGAGGAGCCTGATACAAAGGCTCAGACTGGGCTCATCAGCAACTGGGCCGTGTCAATGGTGATTGATGATCTATGTATCCAAGTCTATATATGCTACTCGTCATCACGAAGTCACTGCAATGTTCTTCTCGCTACTACTAAGCTTGCTGAGCCTGACTTGAGACATTATATGTTTTATATACGGGAGAGACGGAGGGACGGAGGGAGGGTACGAGGGCAGGGACAAAGAGAGTTACGTCCATTATGGTAGGGAGATTTGGCTGAGCTTCGAATGAGGGGAAGTACGAGTTTTATTTTTGGAAATGAATGGTTGGAGAGTTCAAGGGGAGCGGAGAGCGTTCATAGGAGTGTGAGTGTAAGTAACTGTTAACATCTGCGAGTGTGTGGAAGACTAGACCAAGGCAAATCGGGAGGAGGGCGAGGTAGATATTGGGCCTCTGTATATAGCCCCAGAATGGGTGAGGGATGCTTTGACAGTCCATGGCTAGACTCACAAAGTGTTACTAAATCACATATCCCATCATAGTCAGTTTGAGAGAAGACGGCATCTTAGCAGCTAAAAAAGGTTTGTTTCATTATGCCTCCCACCTCCAGTACCAGCCGGGTCATGCCATGCCCATCCATCCATCCATGTCGTACGTGCGTTCGTTCGTCTGGTCATTTGTATTCCCGCTCGCTCAATGCAGATACAACAAACAAGAACAAATGCCAGCCATCATCAGGGTAAAAACCAACAGAATAAAGCATCAAACGCCCCATTTCCATCCCACACTCCATAGACCAACCCGATGTAAAGTAAAAAGGAAGAAGAAAAGAAAAGGTATCCCATATTTTACAAAGCCTCCATACTGTCCCACCAATCTGAGATCTAGCTTTCGCACCAAAATGCTTATCAGAAGAAGAAGTAAGAAAGAAGAAATAGGTGACATTCTCTCTCCACAAAGACATGTCACCCCACTCGGTAGAAGGAGAAGAAACAGCATAAGAAAAACCAAAAGTGAAGATGACCTCCCAACCCAGACGCTATGCTGATGACAAGGAATAAAACGAGAAACGAGTAGACCCCGTCCGCCCCAAATTTAATGCAAAAGTCTTTTTGGTTCAAGAAACAGCACACACACCAGAGTCGAAATGCAACTTTTTTGGGAAGAGAAGAAAAAAGACCATGGGTATCAAGAACAGCCTCCCAAACGTAACTACCGCCGCCGCGTGGACGTTGATGACCCGTCCACCGCAATCTCCGGTTGTGGTGGCAATCCTCCAGTGAAGGGGACCGCCGGCGGGACTTATTTATCCTAATGTCCGTTGACTGTTGGCCCGAGGTGTGGTAGGACTCGGCCGAATGGTGTTCGCAGGACTGTAATCCGGGCTCCCAAAGGTTTGTTGGGGATTCCGCTGCGAGTCCCAGCCTTCTTCGCTCAGGACGGAAAGCCAGCCATTACCAACCTCGTTCCGCAACGCTTCGAGCTTCTTTCTATAGATCTCTCCGCTGACTTTCCAGTCCTCTGACTCTTTGTTGTTTTGTGATTTGACGAGAGGAGTGTCGTATGTCACTGTCTCTATGGGGGGTAGTCGCGGCACTACCGATGTATCTATCCGAGGAATATCTGTCTGGCTCTGTGTCTGTCGAGGATCTGACGGCATATATGACGGAAAGGTACCGGGTGATGGATCGGGACTGATACCATATCCACTGTCGGACCCTGCAGCGGTAGACGTTGCTTGCTCTGTTGCAGGTCTGACAGCAGGTTTCACAGGCTTGCTAGGAGAAGTTTCTGAAGTCGAGAGGTCAACGATTCTTCTCTTAGGCGTTCTCCTCCTTCGCCCAGAGGAACTGGTATGTATCTCGCTTGTTGTAGCTGCTGGTATCGGCCGTTCCTTGCGTAATACAGAAGGCTCTCGAGAGGAGGGGTATTCGATAATTGGCTTGTTTACTTCGAACGCAGAGGGTCCGAGGTCTTGTGGAGGAGGCTTGACAACGGGCACATTCGCTTTCTCTGCTACCCTTTCAACGAGTTGCCGTCTTTCGCTGTAGCCTGGCGCATATGTATCAATCAAAATGTCCTCTGTATACCCAGGAGTGCTTCTGAAGAGGTTGAAGATGATCACTCTGTAGCTGCCATGAGTCCTCGTAAATGGATTACCAGACACCCAGATCTCTCTGATATCGGGTATTCCAGTCAGTCTCGCCAGCTCGGTAGGATCTGTCATCTTGTTGTCCCGCAAGTCGAGTCTCTCGAGAGGGTAGAGTCTCTCAACACCAGCAATAGATATCAGTCTATTTGACCGAAGGTTCAAGGCCGAGATCGCTGGGAGGGGATTTCTGGTCAATGAATGAAGGGAGTCAATCATACAATTCGACAAGTTGAGGGCCCGAAGGGCAGTCAGAGAGGCAAGACAATCGGGGATCTGTGCGAACAGATTGGACGAGAGATCCAGAGAGTGAAGGGTGTTGGCCAGCGGTGCCAAGCTCGAGGCAGATATGGAAGTCAGACCGTTATCAGCAAGACTGAGATGCTTGAGAAATCTCCATTTAGATGAGGGTAAAATCCCCATTGACAATAGATTCGATGAACTGCTCCGAGGATTGTGCCAGCTTTCTGACATGCTCGAATGAGAACTGCCTGATCCAGATCTCTTGACTTTGTGAGAACCTCTAAGATGGCCATGAGTAGAACCAGTTCTTGAACTGTTAGGTCGCATGGGAGAATTGCTCCTTGGCCTGGCCTTGGTGGGAGACTTCGCGCCATCCGACCCGGACCGCACAAGTGAAGCCCCTCGCTCTTCGCTTTCATCGCCAATATGATTCCGATCATCAGGTGAACCCGGTGCTGAGTTTGATTTGACCAGTTCCGCATGTGCCATTGTAGGACTGCGTCTAGGGCTGGTAGCCGCTGCCCATGTTGAGGTTGGAGACATTTGTGCTTTGGAAGATCTCCGCCGTCTCTTGTCCATGTCGTCCAGCACAATGTTGATGAGCAGATCTGCAGGGTCGTCTACTCCAGCACGCTTCACAGTCAAAGATCTTAATTGTTCAGCAAGACGATCCCATCCGAAGAACTGTCGAATGTCGATATCACTTATCTCCAATGCACTGATATTCTTGAAAGCGAGAAGAGGAACAGCGCTATCGAATGGGAATTCTTCGTAGCCTTCTATTAATCGGGCTCGACGATCCGGTGCCAGTCTCAGGCAAGGGATCTTTGTGAATGCCGAGTATAGGTATTTGAGGTCGGCTTCGATTGCAGCCTTCTGCTTTTCGGTTCTAGCAGCAGCGCCTCCAGATCCTAAGCGAAAATTTGACCATAACGAGGACATACCGGACATCACACTTCGCACACTGGATACGGAGTGTATGGACCCATTATCAGAGCCGCCGCGGCCTTTCGGGCGCTGTGACTGGCTCAAAAAAGAGACATAGTTGGCTGCGGAAGTATCTGAGTGTAGATTTTCCAACCGCACATTCATAGGCCCTACCGTTATACCTAGATCTTCGAATCGTGACAAGAGGTAGAAGAGGTGATGGGGCGTAAGAGCAAGTTTGGCAGGTTTAATGTTATGCGAGGCAAATGTCAAGTATGGGAGGGAGAGGGCTGCAGCGAGTGTGCTCGATGTCGTAGCAGAAGAAGCGGATGAGGGAGGGTGTGTACTTGTTGGAGAGGTGGGAGTCGCTGCCCCTCCAACGGATCCAGATACACTCTGTGAAGAACCATGCTTAGGAGCCTGCTGGCGTCGCAATTGTAGAGCGTTTGCCAAAGCCTTCTCGTGCGTTCGAACAAAGTGAGCCAAGTTCTGCTGGATGTTAGCCTCGTGTCGTCGGAACAGGGAATACATAAACCTGCGGCTGCCTGCCTACCTTTATAAAGAACTGACCATCCTCGGTGTCCATCATTGAGGATGCATGTGGTTTATCGCAAGTGTGTAGGGAGTCTAAAGCCCTTCGGCAGACACGACGCGTTGAGAAGGCTACCCACTGCCTTGTATCTCAACTTCGGAGGGGCTCGTGTGATAGACGTGCGACTCGAGTTATGGGGAGAGAGGAGGAGGGAAGGAGGGCGAGGCGGTCTAGAAGTAACACAACATTAGATCAGTCTTGAAATGCGGCTTGAATGAGAGGAACGGAAAGCAAAAGAGAGAGAAGTTAGAGACGAGCAGTTGAGCGATTGGTCGCGGCCTTCTCGACAAAGCTACGTCCCGGTGTTCTGGGTGAAGCCTGGGGCATTTGTGAAAAAGTCTCGACACGCTCCTGGGCACGATGGAGGGGTGAATAACACGGTGCCGCGAAGCAGACGACGTGGACTGACGTGCGAGAGTGGGAGAGAGCGTTGCAGACGTACCTCGAGGCAGAGTTGAGGCCGTGGTCGTGCTGAGCACCGTGAGCAACACAGCTCCAAGTACAAACGCTCTGGAGCAACGAGGGACAGAGCAGAGTAAGTAAGTGGAGGACGGAAGAGGAAGTTAAGAGGCCGACGACATGTAGTAAAAGTTCCTTCTCGTCTGTCTTCCAGTGCAGCACAGCGGTCCCTCTCTCTGTCTCTCTGTCTCGGGACGGGCCAATAATAGTGGGTGCTAGTGGAGATGGGTGGCTTCTGGCTTCACGACGAGTTTGTCTGCTCATGCAAGTGTATGCAGAGCGAGGTCGGGCAGGCTATCTCGTTCGTCCACAGGCCAGGCCGGCGCAAGCATCCACTCTGCTGGTTAGTGCTGCAGGCAGTTTGGACCAGGCAAGGGTGACTGATATGCGTCCAATGTCTTCCTTGTCTCTCGAGTGCTTGCAGATGCAGGCGCCGCACGCACAAAACAGCAAAGTCGAGTATGCGAGTATTGGAGCAAAGAAGTGGAGAGGAGAAGAGAATGGATGTCAAGTAGGTAGGTAAGTAGTATCACGATGAGGCCGCAGAGACGATAGCGTGTTTTAACAGACGGCCACGGCAACGGCAGGGAACGGACGAGGCCGAGAAGAGAAAGGTAGATGAGTGGGTGTGTGGGTGTGTGGGAGGATGTTGGATGACCGTGACTTCAAATGACAGAGGTAGTCATCAGTAGGTAGGTAGATACCCTTAAACTGGGTGTGTACCGTATTTGAGTCGTGAGTGAGCGCTGAGAGCGGCTTTGTTTTGCAATAATGCAGAGCAAGAGGCGCTCGCTGATAGATTTACGGCGCAATGGCCAGGCAAGGGCATGGGGTGGCATGGGATGGGATGGCATGGCATGGGACGTCCAAATTTCGGGTGGAGGGCCACGATGCGGGCAAATCAACGCAGAAGAAGCAATAGCGCCGCTGTCTGTGCTCGAACAGTGGAGACCGTTAAGCAAAATAGCGTTTGCTAGCGAGGTGAACCCTGAAAAAAGATGTCGTGATCCTTCCTGAGAACCCTGACAACCCTGACAACCCTGACAACCCTGATAACCCTGACAACCCTGACAACCCTGACGACTCCCTGACGGGCGCTCGCTAATTTGACAATCTGACAGGGTCGCTCTCACTTCTGCCCGTGCTGCTGTCGCCTGTGTTTTTGCCGTCGGACGCTGGCTTCTGTTGACTTTCTTGATCGGTGGGGGACGACAGAATCAATGTGGATATGGATGTGGAAATGGATATGGATATGGATATGGATATGGATATGGATATGGACATGATTTGGATAGTTATTGTACTGCACTGTACTGTACTGTACTGTAGGGTAGGTAGGTACGGCATCACCGCTCGTGTTGATAGTTGATACTGAACTTTCCTGTGCCTGCTTTCAAGCCATATCGATATCATATCGATTATGATAGTCAGATAACCGCCTGTCTTGGTACCGTACATCACATTACGGAGCACATTCCAACGATACAGTAGTGGGATGTAAACCCTAATATCTCTTCAGGGAGGGATCGGCCTTGTGTCAACTAAACCGTCCATCGACTGGTCGTCCCTCACTCCCAGCGCTGCTCCTTCGTTGCTGCATCTCCGGGATAGACAACACTATTCGCAAATGCAGTCAACAAACTGCTGATTACACGATTCTCACTTTTGCAAGTCTGCAAATCTGCAAATCGTCAATTCCTCAGCTCAGCTCAGCTCAGCTCAGCTCAGCTCAGCTCAGCTCAGCTGAACTGCGCACTTGCATGTTTTACGAATGCAGCAATTAATTACCACTGCCTGCCTGCGTCGCCCTTTTGCCGTGCCTTCTTTCCTTCAATCCTTTCAGACCTGTCAACACCACCAGCGAGCAAGACACATTTAGTGAGATATCCAAAACAGCCGCCCATCCTCCTCCATCTCATGCTCCAACCGATCCTCGCCAGACGCTTCCAATACCAATACGCGGTGTGAGTCGTGCCAATTTCTCTCTGCCCTCTTGGTCCATTCCATGACACTATCCCGACTGTCACCGCCGTCGTCCAGCACGATCGACGACATCAACAGGCTGGCCTCGAAATTGCCTCTCCGGCCTGAATTGGGAGATCCTGGTCGGTGGGGGAAAGTCGCTGGGTTGACCGCCACGCTGACTGGCTCCAGTGACATGCATGCCGGGTCAAGCCTGCAGTGCGTCTGCCTTTGGGTCTTGGCCTTGGAGGGGTCAAGTCTCGCTGTCTCAGATGCCAATATCAACTGCTAGCCGCGATGACCTCCAAATCTCCAACATCCAGTACCATACCGACCAATCAGCCACCGAGGTCAGATCTCGTTCTTGACCCCCGCGAAAACGACCTCGTCGCCGTCAATTTTGGGACTGGAGGCGAAGGCAGGCAAGGCGCCAACATGCTTTCACGGCACCTTCATGGCCCGGCCAGACTCACATTCTCTACTCCCCGCTTCAACATCAGACTCCAACACTCGCTCTTCGTTGCCACACTCAATGCCTTTTCATACGGTACACACCACTTCCAACAACAAACCCTTGGGCAAATCTACCTAGGGTGAGGGATACGAGACAGCCGAATCAGCCTCAAGCCCGGCGCGGGTGAGGTCAGGCGAAACCCTCCCAATCCTCTGCATTCCTGATCCGAGTCTCAACACCCACTTCCATATCAACCACCCTCAGTCAGCTGTCAGGTGTCAGCCCAAGAGATGATTATGAAAGCCTGGTCAGTCTTGTCAGTCTTGCGTGTGCAACTTCTGGCTCAGAGTGGCTAGCTATCTCAGCTGGAATGTGTTTTGATTTAAATGTTCTTCAGTGAGCATTAATAAATTGCCTTCATTCACGCTACAGAATTGTCAAATGCAGGACGACGCACTTACCACAGAGTGAACGGTGTGCAAGAAAGAAAAGCAAGTATGACGCTGTTTGGCTGCATCGCAGACTCACTATTCGACAATGGAATACTCGATGTAGACTACCGAGGCATCCTATGCATGCCAATCATTGGTCTGGTTTGGATGGAATCTGCAGCATTCCATCTCGCATATCACCAGTCACCACGACCGTCCATCCAACAGTGTGGGGTTGGCCGTCGGGACAATATGGAATGAACCCCAGCATCATTCCATGCCATGGCATTAGTACTTACCCAGGTCCAAAATACACACCTGACTCTATTCCTAAGCTTCTACCACATCTCGATATTCACTTTCTACTTCTAGCATCCGGAAGTCTCGGGGGTGTCTGATTCGATCCCATCGAGGTTCACCTGTAAACCCGTACTGGACGGACCTACCTCCATGAAACTTCTCAGTGGCGCGACCATCACATTGATACTTTCCACCACGGATCGCGAGAGCGAATGGAGTTCTAATCTGTACTGGAAAGGAAAAGCACAACACCACGATGACGGGCGCAATTGATCGTGAAGTCTGTTTCGACAGCTGTAGCGCATGGCGGTGAGTGAGGGGTTGACAAGTTGGACCCTTCCAATCCCACCCAGCCACCATCCCTCGTTTGCCCCTCTGCCCCTCCATGGTCCCTCCCCTCTTTGGGCGACCAAAAACCTTATTTTCTTATCACAGTTGCTCCGTGCACCAAAATGCACATCACGGAACGCTAAGATCCTGGCCTCATCCTGGCGGCATGTGCGCTTCATCGAGAAAGTCATCCGACGCGAACTCGAGGGAGTTTCCTGCCTCTCTGAGACTTTGAGCAGCGTCGATATTTGGCACCAAGAGTATTAGCTTCGATCCGATGCCGGTCTTCCACACCAGATTGTATTTCACCCTTGCAGTATCGAAACACTTCTGAAATCGTTTTGAGCGAGCTTGTTTGCCTCGTTGACCAGGGTCGACGATGCTCACCGATGTTTCATCAGTACATCAAGTAACGACAACAATTGATGTCCAGGCGGGTAAAACACGGATCTACCAACATGAGGGGAAAGACGAGAAAGGGTGAAAAAGGATAGGAGAGTCAAGCGACGGTCCTACTCTCCGTAACTGGCCCCAAACATCTGCAGTACAACGCTCATTTGGTGTAGATCTCCAGGTGGGGGATTTGACTATCAGCGAATGCTTCCAGAAACGTGGGATAGATCGAGTCAGGAGCCTCGTCTTGACTCGGCATCCAGAATGCTTGATGAAGTCATATTCACCATACCACCAGTAGTAACTCAATCTATTTCAAGCTTTGAACACCTGTTCAAGCGATTGGTCTGCCTGTAAAATGTCACGGAATTTACATCAGCATCACGTTACTTTAACAGGACCCCTATTATCTGGCCAAGGCCGCAGAAAAGCCTGGCGAGACACATTCCAACGTCACTCCGCCCCTCAATAATCACAACACAAGTCAAGTCAATCAAAGAAGTCGAATTGAGACTCGGTGAGAACGCCTCCCCAGGAATTGCCATCTGGGAGGCAGGTCGGCGTTAGTTTTCCATGCCTCGTCCCTGCGATTCTTCTTTACTTCATGCCCGATACCCCACCAACGTCGCATTGCGGGGGTCACCCTAGACTGTTGACACGTCGAAGGATCCAAAAACTACGTCATTTTCTCTATCTTATATCCTGCTGTATAGCTTTGAATGTACGAGTAGCTTCGTTCTGTTCGTTGGCTTCTGTGAAGGTCAACTCCTGAGACCAAGTGGAGTTTTCGCTGGTGATAGTGCGATGCGTGGTGAAAGGCAATCAAGGCTTGCTAGAGCACTGTACTATGATCGGGAGAAAAATCTCCTATGGACCCTGAATGTCCCAAGGTTAGTTACCATACGCTACCCGTACTATCCCCCCCCAAGCTTGAATGTTAAACTGCCAGTTTTATGGGCGAAGGCCTGACTGAAGTCTTCTGATTAGCTGAATACCCTAGACAGCTCAAAAGCACAAGCTAAGATTGTCATAATTACAGTTGCATAAGGAGCTACTACAGAGAGAGAGAATCTCCTATATAAAGGGGTAACGTACTCAGTAGTACGGCCTACAGTACTGAGTCTACGCCTATAATCCCTATATTTCTAACAGCCCTACTATTCTCTATATCTGTAGTAAATAGAGCCTTCTAAAGCAGTATAGCGCTAAATATTCCCGAAGCGACGCCAGAGTATCGCCGAAGCATTACCGATAACTTATATTATATAAGGAGCCTCGATTATACCTTATTAACTCCTGTAATATACTAGCATATATATAGTGCTTACGTCTCCTGTTTTCCTAGGAGTTTAGTAACTTTACAGTATTTATAATAGTCCGGTATTTACTCGCTGTAAATATAGAAAGCTATAGTTAATCTCTAATAATTAAGAGGTAAGTGTATTATATAGACGGGAAGATAGTTACTAAGTATTAGAATACTATTTAAAGTTAAGTATAAAGCTCTTATCTAATAGTAGACGTGCTAGTCTTATATAGAACCTTCGTTTACCTTAGATCCCTTAAGATACTAGATCTTTAGATCCTTAGATCTGTTTTCTTATAAGGGGATCCAGGGATCTAGGGATCTATCACGTGACTTATTATCTACCGTGATCTAAGTAACTATTACTACTAAAGCGTGAGTATATAGTAGTACTACTCGATTATTCTTATATTATTCCCTAGCTAGTACTACTCTATTAATAGTACTACTAATAGTTTTATTATTATATAAGTATTAACTGAACTATAGCGCTAAGGGGTTTATAATACTATCCCCCTCTTAGCTTAGTATAGTCCCTACGCTTAAGTATAACCTTAAGAAATATCGATAGTTGCTAATAACTATCTTCCTTATCTATTATATCTAGTGTTATAAAGAAATCGAGTATCGCTTAGATAAAGAAAAAACAGAGTATCTAGCTCGCGCTTTATATCAAGTATACTATATAACTTGTAAAGCCTTATTCCTTCTGCTATAGCTTTTCCTATACTTACTTCCTAGATTTATCTATTTCGAAACGATACTCTAAGTGTATTTACTTAAAGCGTTATAATTATAATACCTCAGGGTATATCAAGAGGTTCACTCTTAAATAACTTATATATTAGTTTAAGATAGGAAAAACTATAACCCCTGCTTACCCTCTAACGCCTCCCTTTAAGCCTGTCGAGGATAATTCTACTTCTTAGTTCCCTGCCTTTAAACTTAACACTTACTTAGTATCTTTTTTCAAGGGCCCGGCTCCTAACCTTAGGTCCCCTTCTTTCTAAGTAAACTTAGATTTCTTTAATAGAATCCCTGTAGAAGCTTAAGGTAGTAGAAGTTAGATTTAGGTTCTTAAGTATTTTCTAATTATAGGTACTTTTTCTATTTGATTAGATATTTTAGTTTACTATAGAAATACTAATAGTTAAGAATAGCTTCTACCTTATATTTAGCGTTTAGATTAATCAGTTATATTTCAGTAATAGGAGTAAGTAGTACTCCTAGTAGTACTAGTTCGAGGAGAGATATATAGAATACTAGGTAGATATTTATTATTTTTAGCAGAGCTAGTTAATAATTAACTAGTCCCTTAACTTTAGTAATCCTAAATAGTCCTAGCTTTTTATAATCTAATTTATAACTTAGTCGTTTAGTTATAATATTCTTTCTAAGTAAGTAGACTTTATCTCCCTCCTTAAGTATTAGTCTTATACTACGCTTTCTATTATAGTAGATTATAGATCTTTACGTGATAAAGAGAATATTAGTTAATAATTCTTTATAGAGCTATTTAAGCTTACTTACTTATAGTATAGCTTCTTACGCGGTACTCTGACCGGCTATTAGTAGATTATATACCGTAGGATTATACCTATAATTCGCGTAGAATAGCGATACTCTAATAGTCTCTTAATCCGCGCTATTATATATAAACTAAGTAAGTAAGAGTAGTTATACTTAGTTATCTTACTTATAATTTATATAATACTAAAGATAAGTCTCTATTATCTAGTTAATTCGTTCTATCTATGTATTAGTCTAAGGATAGAATATAGTTAATATTTTTTACTTTATTCTTAAGAGCGTGATAAGAGTTTTCTAGAACTTCGAGGTAAAGAGCTTATCTCTATCTAAGATAATCTTATCTAGTATTCTATAGCTTATAAAGATTATTTTAAGGAATACTTACGCTATTATAAGCGTATCTTATGTTCTAAGTACTAGTACTATATATATATACTTTATGAACTTATCTGTTATTATATAGATTGAATCATATATAATTCTTATAATTAGATCTTTTAAGAGTAGTAGCTTAACTATGAAATCTAAAGCGATTAATTTCTATAGGCGAGGTAGTATTATTAGTAACTTTATGAGCTTATATAAAGTATAGTATAATACCTTGTTCCGGATATATATATCATATAACGCTACTATATTTTTAACTACCTTCCTTATTCCTAAGAAGTAGTATTCCCTAGATAGCTTAGATAGCGTCTTAGCTACCCCTTAGTATCTATAAGCGAGTAGCTTATACTAGTACATAATAAATTTAATCCTATCCCTAGTAAGTATATAGATTCGTTCTTAGTATAGAAGCGTGTTATTTAAGGTGAAGGAGAATCCTTTACTTAGCTACTTCTTCTATTTAGTT